CTTTCCATGTTCTTGTCATTGAAAAACCTCTTGACTATCTCGTCCATAAATGCGTTGGATTTGCGCCTCAGATGCATGTGTCGCGGTCGCCCTGCGTTTCACCCCAGAGTTCATGAGAAACTCTGCTCTTTGTCCTTTACCTGAGGCTGAACTGAGGCTGATCGGCCCGAGGACAGGAGCGCCACGGTTCATCCTCTCATTAACAGCAGTGAGGGCTCTTTGTGCAGGGATTATGTGGACGACCAAAAGGACATTATACCAGATTTCACCAGTGGGAGCTGTCTGTCCAATCACAGCTAAGGAAGCAGGTCACCATCTCTGCAGTCTGGCTCCGAATGTCCACTGAATGTCACTTTATCTTCTTATCCTGCCCTATATGTACAGAACTTTGCACTAAATATTTATAAATAGATAGATAGAAGCATTTACAGCAAGCTAAGAAACATAGCAGCTACTTACAATCCATATTTTGTGTGCCCCCTGTGTGCTCTTACTACTGTCCTGTATGCGCATTTCCTCATTGTGGGACGAATAAAGGATTTCTTATCTTATCTTAAACACACTGAGGAACTCTTGCTCCGTATCTAATGTACCTAAGAAATGAAATGTATCATTATGAAAAAAGGAAATTGGCTCCAGCTAGCTTTTGTTCAAACTGGCTAATTCCGCATTAAGGCAAGTACATGATGTCACACTCCTAATGTACGCACTATGGCAGACATGTCAAACTCATTTTTAGTGGCCCCTGAAATGATTTTCAATTACCTTGATCACAGCAACTTGCAGCATTGATATTAATGGGATACTAAGACAAGTTATGGCAATCTATTTTAAAGCCTATTGTCTCAGGAAAACAACCATATCATTGAATTGAATCTGTTCTAAAATGTTATCCAACATGTAATTAGAAGTTAAGTTAAAGATGTATTATTTACATTGAACTACTAGCCTTCAAATACATATCTTCTTGAACAAACTTTCATTCCTTCTGGCCCCAAGCAGCTCTCATGCTTGCCCCCGACCAAAATGAGTTTGACACTGCTGCTTTATGGTCTGAGTGAAAGTCTATTACTGTGGGATATTTACTGCCGATGGTTTGAAGCCGAGACAGAAAGAAGAGATGATTCAACACCCACAGGTCAAACAGTGATTCTGGCCAACTAGCCAATGGATGCACAACAGTTTTGTTCTAGTACGAGTGAAATATTCACTGCAAAAACTATAGTATTAGAATCGGACCACTGTTTATAGCCGGAGGGAATGGAACCCGCGACCTTTAGTTCAGAAGAAACACACTCCACACAAAACTGTCCCTTTCACAGACTGTCACGTTCGCCCTGGGGCAGACTGACACAAGTGTGCCTGTTAATCTGCACCGCTCACCCCTCATAGACAAAGTGTGCTGCCTCAGGACACAAGGGCAGCCACAGCACCAGCTCTGTGTCTTCAATGGAACCCCAACCAGACACAGGAAGAACATGCAAACTCCTCACAGACAGCAGGGCTTATCCCAGGATGGTTTAAAGCTCAGGTACGTAACCTTTTCCTTTAATGAGTAACACATTTAGTTTGTCCGACAGTAAAAAGCCCAGCCCTGTGAGTCACTATTTGACTTTTTGAGCTGAGAGCTGAGTGAGTCTCTTTTTCACTTTTCAGTCTGAATAAGCGGATCTAAATATGGGACAGAGGCAATTAATAAATGCATGTGAAAACTAGACCAGGACCAGGACTAGGACCAGGACCAGGAGCAAGACCAGGACCAGGAACAGGCGCAGGCCCAGGAGCAGTGATACAGTAGAAGCAAACTGTTCTAGAGCCAGGAACAAGTGTCGTGTATTTGATTACAGAGTTTTATTGGTGTGGGCTGAAAATTACATACCCTAGCTTTAATGTTAATTGGCCCAGCATTAATGTTACGTACCCCAGCTTTAAATGCATGAATATTTATTTTACCTGATCTCTGAGCTTTGACGCAGCTGCAGTTCTCTGGTCTGACGAAGGTGATGCTGACAGAGAGACAGGAAACTCCCAGGAACAGGACTAGAACTAGGACCAGGACCAGGACCAGGACCAGAGTCCGTGCTCAATCCATGAATGAGTCTCAGTCCTGGCACAGACCTCTGTAGAGTGGACCTGAGGAGAAACACAATGACTTTATGTGTTTTATAACTCATCATAGAAGTTTACCCTAGCTACCATGGCATGTTATACATAATTTTAAAGCTAAGAAAAGGACAAGAAATAATTCATTTAAAGCAGCAGTATGTAAAAATGGCCAAAACTGGTACTGCAACCTCTCCCACTCTCCCTGGCTTGGGTTGCCAGATATGCAGACGAATCCAGCCGGGACCATAATATCTGAAAAGAGTTTTGTCAACAACAAATCTATAACCAACACATTTTTCACAAAGGCCGCAATAGAAATCCTGGTTTCATTCCTTGTTTTGTTGTTAAAGATTTGAGAATCATGACAAGACTTTTTTTAGCTCTGCGGCCACATGTTACTTTACCAGTGAGATTAGCTCGACGCGGTGAGTTCTGGCAACCCGGATCGCAGATTGGTGAAACGGTGGAGGACAGGACATCAAAATGAAAACAATAACAAGATTTAGGGGCTGTAAAACTAATTTTGAAATCCAAATATCTCAGCTGAACTACTGTTCTCAGTTTTACTGTAAGTATTACTGCTTTTTGACAGATTAGGGAAAATTCTAAATAGACCTTAAATAATTATTAATAGTTTGATTTCAAATATACAGGATAAACAGGAAATTAGAATGTAAAAATGTCAAATAATTTCTGTAATTGAATATAAAATTAACACCAATATGCTCGTTACGTTGTTATTATGTCTGAGTATTATCCCTGGTGTGACTTGTGTGTAGTGTTGGAGACTTCTTCCCCTGAGCCACATGAGAGCAGGGGCTAGAAAACAGTGTGTGAGGAAAAGGAGACTCAGGGTTTTTTCTATGTTGAATGAGCGAGGTTTTATCTCTGGATTTCCATCTGTCTAATGATAAGATCAAGTTATTCAAGAGTTTTTTACTTTCAAAGTGTTCTACTTTGTCTTTTCTCTCTTTTTCTCTTGCAGGAACGTAGTCCAAAGCTCTGCTCACACACTAAGGCCTGTTGCATGAGCTCATGGAGGAGGGACGCTAATTCAATCAGGAAACTGTGCAAACACTGGACCAAAGCAACGGCTGCGTCCAATTCACTAGCATCCCTCTGTATACCTGCTAACCTGCTAGTCTCTCTCTGGTCTCTCTCTGTGTCTGAAAAAGCTGAAGTTGTGACAAGTTGTGAGTCCAAAAACACATGCAAGTGAAAACTATACTGATAGTAACTGTTTTAGAGCCAGGGGGAGACATGGATTTTTATTAGAGAGTAAAATTGTTGTGGTTTGAAAGTAACGTACCCCAACTTAAAAAGTATTTAAAATTGTAGCCACTGAAAGAAAAGAGGAGAAATGTTTGTGATTGGGACACAGCCGATGTGTCTGTCGTTTCCATCTAAACACAAGTAAAACCGCAGCAGAGACCAGAGCCTCTTGTTCCGGGAAAACACGGAGACACATGTGAATGATGTAAACCAGGAGCCGTCACCTGCGTCTGCCACAGCCATAATAGTTCCATGGCATGGATCTATTATAATGATGTTCCATGGCCATTGGCCACAGCTCAGACGCTGCTTTAGCGCCATCTGCTGGACAGCGTCAGTAAGACAGCTTCTGGGCCATGAGAGAGCAAGACATGTTTTATTGGTAGAGTTTTGAAGAATAGAACAAGGACTTAACCAGGACTAAAGCAAGACTGAACCAGCACTGAACCAGGACTAAACCAGCACTGTCTGAGGATTAAAGCAGGAATGAAGTAGGATTAAAGCAGAATTTAAGAAGAACCAAACCAGGGCCAGGGCCAGACCAGAATTGAACCAGGACTAAACCAGGTCTGAGCCAAGACTGAACTAGACTGAAGCAGGACTAAACCGGGACTAAAGTAGGAGTGAACCAAAGTGAACCAGAACTGGAGCAGGATTAAACAGGACTTAACCAGGACGGAACTAGGACTGGTCCAGGACGGAACCAGTACTGAACAGGACTAAACAGGACGGAACCAGGTCTGAACCTGAACTGTTTGATTGAGGTTCAGAGAGACCAAAGAGAGACCAGAGAGAGGGACCATAGAGAGGACAGAGAGACCTCAGGGGCTGTGAACTTCCTGTTCTGGAGGTCTTTACCAATCCAGACTTTTAAACAAAGCTCTTAGGATTGTCAATGACTCTTCCGGCCACCCTGGGAAAGCCATGTTCCAGCTTCTTCCCTCTGGCAGAAGATATCGCTCTCTGAGATGCAGGACATCTCGACATGCTAATGTTTAATGTTCTTGCTCTTTGTATTGATACTGTTTTAGTCGATCGATTTCACAGTTTGTCTGTTTTTTTTGTTTTTTTTCTGTACTTTTAATGTTTTATGTCTGTATTTGTCTGTGCACACTGGAGACTTTTGCTAATCTATTCCAATGTGGGTTTTTTACTGCAAATGGCAAATAAAATGAATCTGAATCTGAATCTGAGACCAGAGAGAGATCAGAGGGAGACCAGAGAAAGAGAACAGCGAGAGAACACAGAGAACAAGAAATATCATATAAAACTAAGATATATAAACATCTAAAATGCTCAAAAGTTTTTGTTTAAAATACAACATCCTTTAGGCGTGTGTCCTTAAGGCCTCAAAGACACATTCCCAGTGAGACGAGGGGAAATACCAGAAGTTTACAAAATCCTGACAGCGCAGAATCCTGGAGCTTTGATCAATCGCAGTGAGAAAGAGCCACATGTGACGGAAAGCTGATGGAAAGCCTCTGAATCCACTTCCTCAGCTCTGCGCCGAAAACCTCGTTCTGTCACGAAGAGACGGTGACACATGGACGATATACTGGAGGGAGCAGGTTCATTTGAGCCAAAACGCCCTGTCCTCAGCTTGTGTCCATGCTGCCTCTTACCTCCAGTCAGGCTCCTGCAGCAGAGGATTCCCTTCCACACAGACCTCTCGAATAAACGGACACAAGGCCACGCTGCTGCTCACTGCCAAGACCTCTGAGGACAGAAAAGTCACATCAGACTGAGGAGGCGTGTTGTTTGGCCCTGTGTCGGCTTTTCACAGACCAGAGAGAGACAAGAGATGAGAGAAAGGCCAGAGAGAAACCAGAGAGAGTCAGAAAGAAGCCAGAGAAAGAGACCAGACAGATTAGAGAGAGACCAGAGAGAGGCAAGAGAGCGAGCGAGACCTGAGAGAGACCAGAAAGAGACTAGAAAGAGGCCAGAGAGAAAGGGAGGCCAGAGAGAGGGAGAGAGAGAGACCAGCAAGAGACCAGAGGGAAACCAGAGAGAGAGCAGAGAGAATCAAATTATAGTTTACGATCACAATTTCTTCTCCTTCCTCTGATGACAGCAAATGGAGTTACAGGCAGAAATAATATTGTTTTTCTTTCACCATATATTTTTAACTGGAGATATTATTATCACATTCTAAAACAGAAAATGACAATGCTGTAAATAAGTCTACCAATCAAAAATAATCGCAATTATGTCATCTTTAATTTTTCACATGACCAACAATATCTCTTCAGCAAACATATGTTACAACCACAACATATTTCTTTAGTCTCGTACCTGATAGACAGTTGTAGCTCAGGTCCAGAGTGTGCAGAGACAGGAGGTGGGACAGAGGCGGCAGCTCGGTGAGTCTGCGGAGGAACAACACAAAGGAAACTCTCACACGGCTCCACAAATCTGCTTGTTGAATCATTGAAGCGGCACCTGTTGTGAGCCACAAAGAGCTGGTGCATCATGGGAAGCCAGAGCTGAGTCAAACTGTCCAAGGAGGAGATGGAGTTATCATCCAGGAGGAGAGCTCTGAGGAGGACCTGGTTCTTCAGATCTGGACACTACACACACACAGAGAGGACACACACGCACGCACGCGCACACACACCCACACACACACACACACACACACACACACACACAGAGGACCCACAAACACGAAGATAATGAATGAAACAAAACACATGTTCTAATTCACTTTAATCTCTGGCCTCTTTCTAGTCTCTCTCTGTTCTCTCTTTCTGGTCTCTCTCTAGTCTCTTTCTGGTCTCTCTCTGGTCTCTCACTGGTCTCTATAGTTTCTCTCTTTAGTCTCACAGTCTCTCTCTGGTTTCTCTCTGTTCTCTTTCTTAGGCCTTCCTCTGGTCTCTCTCCCTGGTCTTTAATATCCTCTCTGATAGATGCCCATTCTTCTTGGCAAAAAGTTCCTCCAGTTCACTGTAAATTCCTGTGCCACCTTGCATGAATTGTGCATGTGAGATCTCCCCAAGGGACAAAAATAGGCCAAAACTTTGACATCTCTTTGTCTCCATCTCTGTATGTGGACTGTCAAACACACTTGTACATAGTGTATTACCTGCGTGAGGCTGTTCCCACGCAGGTCCAGCCTCAGCAGCAGGGGGCAGTGTTGCAGCTCGTCCACAGAGGTCAGGTGGTTGTGGGACAGGTCCAGGTGCAACAGACGGGGCAGAGCAGAGAGGCCTGAGAGACTGCAGATCTGATTATGACTGAGAGAGAGAGACACGAGGAGCTGCAGCGACGACACTGCACCTGGACACAAGACGCAGCTCAAAACTAACACCACACTTTCAAAATAAAGGTCTCCTAATGTCACAGCAGGGAGAGACCAGAGAAAGAACAGTGAGAGATCAAAGAGAGACCAGAGAGAGAGCAGAGCAAACTAACTCCAGAGTTTCAAAATAAGAGAGAAGGTACTGAGAGAGCAGGTATTGAGAGGTACTGATGTTTTACCGGTGGGTGTGCCAGTGAGATGGTACTGTTAATATAATAGATCCATGGATGGTACTGGTGTGTGTGACAGTGAGATGGTACCGTGTGTGTGACAGTGAGATGGTACTGGTGTGTGTGACAGTGAGATGGTACCGTGTGTGTGACAGTGAGATGGTACCGTGTGTGTGACAGTGAGATGGTACCGTGTGTGTGACAGTGAGATGGTACTGGTGTGTGTGACAGTGAGATGGTACCGTGTGTGTGACAGTGAGATGGTACCGTGTGTGTGACAGTGAGATGGTACCGTGTGTGTGACAGTGAGATGGTACTGGTGTGTGTGACAGTGAGATGGTACCGTGTGTGTGACAGTGAGATGGTACCGTGTGTGTGACAGTGAGATGGTACCGTGTGTGTGACAGTGAGATGGTACCGTGTGTGTGACAGTGAGATGGTACCGTGCGTGTGACAGTGAGATGGTACTGGTGTGTGTGACAGTGAGATGGTACCGTGTGTGTGACAGTGAGATGGTACCGTGTGTGTGACAGTGAGATGGTACCGTGCGTGTGACAGTGAGATGGTACTGGTGTGTGTGACAGTGAGATGGTACCGTGTGTGTGACAGTGAGATGGTACCGTGTGTGTGACAGTGAGATGGTACCGTGCGTGTGACAGTGAGATGGTACCGTGCATGTGACAGTGAGATGGTACCGTGTGTGTGACAGTGAGATGGTACCGTGTGTGTGACAGTGAGATGGTACCGTGCGTGTGACAGTGAGATGGTACTGGTGTGTGTGACAGTGAGATGTTACCGTGTGTGTGACAGTGAGATGGTACCGTGTGTGTCACAGTGAGATGGTACCGTGTGTGTGACAGTGAGATGGTACCGGTGCGTGTGAGGCGGTTGTGGGACAGGTCCAGTCTAAGCAGGTTCCTGGCGCCCCTCAGACCTCCTGTGGACCTGATCCGGTTCTGTCCCAGCAACAGAACTCTCACATTGAGCAGGTCCTCACAGTCCACAGCACTGATCTCATTCTCCTGTAGCGACACAGACAAGTCCTCCTAAGTCACAGACCTGAAGCTTTGTTTAGCTCCATCCACGCTCATATCAGGGGCTTCTGGCAAAAAGAGAAGCTACTGATATGAGCTATTTTACTACTGTGACATCACTATGATAGATAGATAGACAGATAGATAGATAGATAGATAGATAGATACTTTATTGATCCCCCATAAGGGGCAGCAGTTTGCTGTGAAATTAAATTATTTACAATAACATATGTCATGTCATCAAAATTATTATTATTATTATTATTATTCATGATTATTATGTATTATTTCTATATGTTTGTGTCTTTGTATGCATTCATTTTAATATTTTATTTTGTTTTATTTCAATTAATTGATTTGAATTTTTATGAATAAATATATTGAAAGAAATGGAGAAGACTCTGCACAGCTTTAGCTCCCAAGTGATTTTAATTATCACCACAAACTGTTGTGACGTTTCGGGTCACTACCCTTCATCAGACATGAATAAATATACTCCCTTCACGCCTGCAGAGGGACTACAGGGGGATATTGTATTTTCATGGAAACCATGGAAACCATGACCTTCTCTTTAGCTCTAACGCAGACCTGTAGACCCCAAGTTGGTCTTTGATTCTAAACTCTCTTTCACCTGGGCGTCGATGTAGCTCAAGTTCTGCAGGTGTTTGATGTTCTCCAAAGATTTGAGTCCACAACGTCTGAGAGTTAGAGAGCGTAGAAACGGATACGTGGACAAAGAGGACAGGCTGAAGCTGGACACCTCCTTCTGTGGAGAGAAAAACCAGATCTGAACCCGGGCTGAACCAGTTTTAACCTAGGGCTGAACAACCAGGTCTAAACCAGGACTGAACCAGGTCTGGACCAGGTCTGAACCAGGGCTGACCCATGTCTAAACCAGGCCTCAACCAGGACTGAACCAGGACTGAACCAGGTCTGTCCCAGGTTTGAACCAGGTCTAAACCAGTGCCATTGCAGATACTGTACAACAAGAGCACAGAGAGAGAAAACCAAAGTCCACATACTAGCTGTCATATTTGTTATTCTAATGCTTTAAAGAGATTGTAGAATCTAAAAGTCCACAAATATTGAACTTGGAGTTTTGTGATGACAACTTAACTTTTTCAACTAACTAAAAACTATTAGTTATTCAGGACTCTATTAGAAATGTGAAAAGCTCCAGAATCTGCAACAGAATTGGAGTTTGAAGGTGAATATCTTGTGGTTGTACCTGTATGAGCTCCGTCAGCCCCTCTACCCCAGCTTCTCTCTCTGGGCTTCGGCCTCTCCCACTCGGCCTTGGGTCTGCTTTACTGGCCTGGAACCTCAGTCTTGTCCAGGGCACACACTCCTTCATCCACCGCAGCCTCATCTGCTCTGTCTGCTCTGGCAATCTCCAACCAGACCACTGAGAACCGTCCGAACCCCCAGCATCACACACATTTTTGCTCACACCGCTTATGTCACAGCCTTCACTCTCAGTTCTCGGAAGACCAGGTTTTCTGTCTTTGTCTTGGCTCGTCTTGGAAAGGTGATCAGTATTATTAAGAATAGTAGAGTCAGGGTTAGGGTCCTCAAAAGCTTTCAAAACTCCTGAAGTCTCTCCATTCACTTTTGAGGACATCTCAGGCAAGTCTTTTCTCTCAGTAAGTTCACTCAGATCGATCAAACACTTGTTGCTTAAGGACCTCACATGACCAAATTCAGATAAGACTTTGGTGCCTACAGCTTGAGAATAGATTTGGCTTGAATTCTGAGGTGAAACAGTCTCTCCTGTGCCATTAATCTTTCCCCCATGTTGCATTACAGCTCCCTTGCATTCAACTACATCACTTCTGGTTCTCAAAATGTCAACTATCATGTCCTCTTCGTGTCCAATAACAGCTTTTTGAGAAGAATCTATTTGTTTTTCTTGTTTTATTGACGATGGAACTTTGGCAGAATTGGCTTCCTTACGTTCATCTTGTCCACAACCTTCACTTTTTGCCACAGGTACAGATCCTTTACTAATGGACACATTGTGTGTAAAATCCCAATCTGTACATGAAGTTTGCCTGATATTATGCTGATTTTGAGTCATTTCTTGGCTGTCTGTGACCACATTTTCAAAGGCAACACCATCGGCTCTGTCTCTTGTATTTTTGGACGAATTTTTGCAACACTGCTCGTTGCTAACGCTATTTTCTGCATATTCTGTTTTATTAGAACTAGCCTCTCTGTCGGTATCTTGAACATCTGGGCAAAAGCCTTTTTCTTGGTTGTACTGGCTGCCATCTTGACTTTCTTCAAAAATATTGTTTGTTCCGTTGCTATTCCAGTTTGCCTCTTCTCGGTTTCCCAACAAAATCGTATTGAGTTTTGCTTTTAGGTTTCCTATTTCAAAATCACTCAATCCTGCTTTTGTTTCATCCAAATGCTCTGTCGGTTGAAACCGTCTTGAGTTAGCTCTAAAGTCACCTTGTCCTTGCTCATATGTCAAATCTGGCACTTTACTTTGAACAATATCTTGGTTGTGCTGGATGCCACCTTGAATCTTTTCCAAAATGACGTAATTCTCTGGTTCGGCGTTCAAGCAGGCCTCTTTCCGATTTCCCAAGCCAAAGTTTGAAAAAGTTGCGCTAAGCTTTGTATTGAGATTCTCAGCTTCGAGATTACCCGTAAATTGCTTGAAAGGTTTGTTTTGTCTTGAATCAGCTTCAAGGCAATCTTTGTTTTTATCACATATTTTATGTATCTTTTTGGCAGCCTCAAAGCCTGTAGCGCGGCTCAACGTGGACCCAGTTGTACTACTACTATTTTGACTAATGGAACTTTTATGGATAATATCCTGTATACTGAGGTCTGTTTTCTTCGTAGGGTCTCCACTTCTGTCAAACCTAACTTGTCTATTCTGCAGATTCCTGAGCATAACATCACATTTATCATCCCTTGTCTGATTTTCCAGCTTCAAATTGGCATTTCTTTTGATCTCTGCCTCCAAAAAGGGTGCCTTTTCTTCGTCTTCCAATGGAACTTCTAGTTCAACCGTTGAAGCCATTGAACTAATGTCTCCAGTCTCCCTAAAGATTGTCTGAGAGCTACTTCTGCAGACATTTTGGCTCACTTTAGGCTTGTTTTCTGAAGGGGTCTCAAAGATCTTGTTTGCGTCAACAGCTGTTGTCTTTCCAATGCTCTTATGTGTTGGTTCTTGGCGGAATCCACCCACGATCTCCGCTCCATTGAAACCAGTTTTGTCCATACTTGACACTGCTTGTTGCATTATCTTACACTCATCGCTTCCCAAAATATTTTGCGTGGACGTATCTTGCGTTGCATCCAAGACTTTCTGCTCTATGATTCCATTCCCTCTTGTCTCATCTGTGTCTGTCTTTTTCATTGTTTTGTGCTGAAATCCCACCACGTTTGTCTGTTGGAATACTTCTTCTTTGGATGCTGTACATGCGTCTCTTGGTGTTTTTGCAACTGTTTTGTTTGTGCATTCTGCCCCAACAGCCTTTGAAGCCTTTGCTTTAAGGTGAAGCTGTTCTTCACTGTTCTCATGTGTTTCTTTCAGATCTGTTTCATTGTGCGATGACAGGGCTTTCTCTTCATTTTCGATGCGGTTCTGTGGTTCATGTTTTGTTATAATTGCAGATGCAGCAGTAGTTTTCTCTCTCTGGGAGCAGGTGGTTGAACATCTCTGCTGTTCATCCAGGGTGTTTCTCTGAAGTCTATTTTGTTGAAGGTTTTTCTCCAGTTTGAACTCTGCCGCACACTTCCTGCTCTCTTCCTCCACTCGCCGCCGCAAAGACTTCAGCATTTCCTGGAGAGAAAAAGTCATTTAAAAAACAACAGTAGGAGATAACGGCACAAAACTACTTGAAATCATGTTATTTATTCTAAGCTATTTAGGTAAAATGGTCAGAAACACTGGCCCTTCACTGTAATGCGGTTCACCTTTCACAACCTCGCTGTTTGTCCGATTTTTTGTTTGCTTTTTTACAGTGTGAACAAAGTGAAGACGTGTAACATCTTTTTTGATTGATAACTTTTCTAATCTGCTGGGGGAAAATCAACATTATTGTGGCATCCTCGAAGGTAATCGCTAATGTGACTTTGAGCTGAACATAAATGATCAGAATTTGCACAGAAACCTGCTGCAGATGCATCTCCCGCTGCAGTCTGGTTTGAGCACTGTGGGCCTCGAGCTCCAGCTGCTGCTGCTTCACCTGAAAACAGAGACGTCCAGTTAGAGACAGAACAACCGGACATGTTGTACCTGAGGTTTTTCTGAGGAACACATGTACGAGATGTGACCATATAGTGTTCATCAGGAGAGGACCGCCTAAGTGTGACATCACCATAGTGTTTTGATTTGAACATATGCTAGCTGGAGCTAATTTCCTTACATGGACATCGGGTCTGACAGCATTCGCTTTGTGCCGTATCAGGGACAGCCGTGTTGCGAAGGCAAGCTGGAGTTTCCCCAGTGAATGAAGGCAACAGATTGGTCATCCTTATATAGCTCATCTGGATTTATAAAGACAATAGAGGGGTCCCTTATTTATCGCTGGCATTTTGTTGAAAAGATATCCCACAATGCACTTCTCTAACCACCTGAACTCACGACTTATGGAGTGTGATCGCTGAGATAGGTTCTGTTGGAGTATACATGTGGCGTATGAGAAGCATGCAAAATGTCACAAAATCTGCAAAACAGCGATGCCGTAAAGGCTAAACCATGTTATAGCGTGGGACCACTGTATCACAATCAGTGGGGGCAAGTCCCGGCTCAAAAAGCTCCACGTGCGCTGACATACTTGCAATACCACTCCTAGTCGGTGGGAGTGGACCCGGAAAGAGAATTATGCCCACAGAAGGCGAAAGTGGTGGCACATTAGTTTCAACGGCGGAGATAGGCGTGACTAAGTTTGTTAATATTCACGGTCTATGATCACAATATAAACATCAGAATCACAGAGAGCACTAAACCACGTATGTAAGTCCTCTAGCTCATATAGTTACTGAGCTAGAGGAGTTTACTTATGAAGCTAAAACAGAAATTCAGACTGGAAAACAAGAAGAACTAAGCTCACAGGGCTCCAAGTCCTTCCACTGTTGCTTCACAGAACGATAATCAGTCAATCACACTCAGCTGCAGCTCCACATGCCAATCGTCACCTTGCAGGAAGCAGGCACTGCCTCCATCCAAGCAGCAGCTTCATTCACGCCGCAACCCTCCTCCTCCCCATCTTCCCCCATCTTGCCTCATAATCTCTTTCCCCTTCTGAAATCATGCAGTGCTTTTAGTTTTTTAGCCTAGGTTTTTATTGCTTTTATTCTTCTACTTGTTTTAAAATAAAAAAAATAAAAAAATTGCTTTTAATCCAGTGGTATCATTTTTAAACCTGGGTCCAAAGAACCTTCTCCTTCACTTTTGACAGCACAAAACAACAAGTGTTTCGGAGTTACTTAGGACTTGCTGCCGTTTTCCAGGGCATTCAAAAGTAAAAAGTGTATGTGTAGGTTCTCTTTCAACATTTCGTGAGGTATCTCACATATGGGGAACGCTCTCTGGCTGTTTCCCCAGAAGCCCTATTTCACCATGCCAGTCTCCTGATTGGCAGTCAGACGTGACGTCACCTCCAAAGGGAGGCGGGGCTACCGCCTTCTATATAGAGCGTGACAGCACGTCTAGACATCAGTCTAACACCTCTTCTCGCTCCCAGAAGCTTACTCTCAGTCTGGTGGTTAACGGGCTAGCTAAAACTGTTCATAGAAGGGGCTAATCACTCCGACGCCGAACGCTACCCATTACCGCTCGTTGTCTGAGAAGCTCGTAGCACGTCTGTCACCAAACAGGTACTACTGGCTTGCTAGCTGAAAAGCTAGTAGCACGTCTGTCTCCAAACAGGTGCTACCGCGATAAGTAGCAATACTTACACTCACTAGCTGTAAAGCTAACAGCACGTCTGTCCTCAAACAGGTGCTGCTGGGGCCAGTAGCAATACTAGCCTGGTGAGACGCTGTAGCACACCTTCTTCCCCACCATGGAGAACGCTATGCTACAGCCAAGGTTGTGCACATGTGGGAACAAAATCTCCGGAGCAGATTCCCACTCTGTCTGTGCTGCATGTCTCGGACTGCAACACGCCCGATATGCCGTAGCCGACACAGTGACCTGTGACCACTGTGCACGCCTATCGGAGAAAACCCGCCGCAGGAGGCTCGCACGCCAAGCGAGTCTAGCGGGGGAAAATCCTGTGATGGGGGTAACCATTCCCGTGCCACAGAAAGAGTCGGAGGAGAGGCCGCGTGGAGTCACCTCCACGGAGCTCAGCTGGTCTATGCAAATGGACGCTGAGCACCCTCTCTCAGACCCGGACGAGTTGGACCTGGGCCTCGGGGCCTCCGGAGACAACCTCGTCGAGTTTCCCGACTCTGGGGATGAGCCCATCAGTCTCCCGTCCGAGGAGGACGAGGACTTGATTATGGAGCAATTTACCCTGACTCAAGCCACAAGGCCGGGAAGCGCGACAGCCAGCAGTGGATCACCGACTCCACCTGCTGCACAGAGCCTGCATGAGGTTTGCCGCAGAGCAGCTGCAAAGCTGGGCATCGAGTGGCCGGAGGCCCCCGCCGAGGCCGCAAAGTCTCGATACGAGGGCCGAAGGCTCCCGAAAACTAAAACCTCGGAGAAACAGCTCTTACCCGCCTTCCCAGAGTGCGTGGAGGAAGCCACTCGATCATGGGGAAAACCTTTCACCGCAAGAGCCCCCGCCCAGGGAGGGGCCGCACTGGACTGGTACGGTATGGAAGAAAAGGGCTTCAGCCGACTTCCCCCCGTCGAACCCCTGGTGGCCTCTCACCTCCATCCCTCACAGCGGTCCGCAATGACCGCTGGTGGCACGGCGCTCCCCTCGAAAGCAGATTGCCTCCAGACAACGCTTAACGAGAGGAGCTACAAAGCCGTTGCCACGTCAGTGAGAGCCCTGAATGCGTCCTCCCTGCTTCTAGCTTATCAGGCTGAAATACAGGATGACATAACGGCCTCACCAAGCGCTGAGATGTGGGAAGAGCTATGCGTGGTCATTGACCTCTGCCTACGCCTCCACAAATGCGCTGTACAAGCATGTGGCCGTGCCATGGGAGTAATGGTTACGCAGGAGAGGGCCCGCTGGCTCAGCCTCTCCAGCCTCTCTCATCGGGACAAAACGGAAATCCTGGATGTTCCTGTGGACCCCAAAGGATTGTTCGGTTCTGCTGTTGCCACTATGCAAAAGAGGTGCGAGGAGAAGAAGCGTGAGGGTGAGGCGCTGCAGCTTTGTCTCCCCAGAAAAGTGCCCGTCTCAAAAGTCCCCTCTCAGTTTCCTCCGCGGCCGGTACCAAAAGGACAGGCCGCGTACCGCAACTCCAAACGCCCGACGCAGCCCCAGCCTCAGAGCAGCGCGCCTCATGAGCTCAAGGGTGCGTGGACCAGGAGACCTTTTGCCCCGAGAGCGAAGAATGGACCCCAACAGGGCCAGCCCGCCTCCCACGGGGCAAAGAAGAAGAAGCGGGACTCCTAGCGTACTTCCACTGCAGGAGAGGACCGGGTCAGACCAGACACCCACCCCCTCTCCGCGGTCCGGTGTCCAAGTGGTTCGAGTGGGAGCGGTGAAACGACGCGCAGAGACTGTTCTATCAGCGCTCGTCACTCACGACATAAAGAGGAGGACCGTGCACACAAAGAGCTCAATGGAGCCACGGCAGCTGCCCGAAGACACACACCAGTGCCTTTCTCCTTCTTTCTCTCACAAATGTTCAATAAAAACGTGTTTTTGCAAAGAAATAAACGTTTGTCCTTTTGTTCACCCACCACACATGTTGCAAGACATAAACGGGGTAGACAGAAAGAAATTGAGCAGCGCAGAGTCATTTCTGCGACACCCTCCAGACCCTCTAGAGGGCGTCATCATACCACTTGTACCTCAACCTCCCCTCAGCCAGACAGCCCCAGGGAGGTGGCTCATGGGCCCACTAGCGCCTTGTGCGCCTCAGTGGCGAGAGTGTGGAGCGTCGAATTGGGTGATGAAAACTATCACAAGAGGATACAGACTCCAATTCGCAACTATGCCCCCCCGGTTCAGAGGCATATTGCTCTCAGAACCGCGAGGAAAAGAGGCTTTGATCCTACGGGAGGAAATAAACACTCTCTTAAACAAGAATGCTGTTCGAATTGTACCGCCAGATCAATCCCAGACAGGTTTCTATTCAAAGTACTTTCTTGTGCCCAAAAAGGGCGGAGGGTTACGTCCTATTCTGGATCTGCGCGCCCTGAACAAGTACATAAGAACTTACACGTTCAGGATGCTGACACACACCGCTCTGGTACAATTCGTACGACAGAACGATTGGTTTGTGTCCATAGATCTGAAAGACGCATACTTTCACATCCCTATCTACCCTCCTCACCGAAAGTATCTAAGATTTGCTTTCCAAGGGGTAGTCTACGAGTACACCGTACTCCCGTTCGGACTCTCTCTGAGCCCACGGGTGTTCGTGAAATGCACAGAGGCGGCAATTACGCCTCTACGGGCAAGGGGATTGCGCTTAGCCACGTACCTAGACGACTGGCTACTGGCTGCTCATTCCCCACACCAAATCCGGGTCGATACCAGGGTGATCTTATCACATCTATCCTCCCTAGGGTTCACGGTAAACTGGGACAAGAGTGTCCTCGTCCCGTGTCAGAGCATAGACTTCATTGGTCTTCACTTAGACTCTGTCACTTCCAAAGCGGCACGGTGGCTGAGTGGATAGCACTCTCGCCTCTCAGCAAGAAGGTCCTGGGTTCGAATCCCGGTCGGACCAGGGCCTTTCTGAGTGGAGTTTGCATGTTCTCCCCGTGTCTGCGTAGGTTTCCTCCGGGTACTCCGGTTTCCCCTACCACTAAAAATATGTACAATAGGTCTGGCATGTACTGGCCCCTCCCATCTCTGTGTGGAGTGAGAGACAAATGCCCAAAATTAACAATTGTAAACCGCTTTGAGACTCAGATCTGCAGTGAAAAGGCGGTATATAAATAAAAACTTACTAACTTACTTACAAAGCACACCTATCAGCGGAGAGGATAAAAGCCTTCAGAGCTTGTCTGGCCTCCTTCCGCAGAGGCACTCTGCTGCGCTTCAGGACGTGCCTCAGGCTTCTGGGTCTGATGGAATCAGCCCTGGTCGCCATACGATTGGGCCGCCTGTACATGCGGCCCTTTCAAAGGTGGGTGGCAGCGCTGCGCCTAAATCCGTCGCGCCACGGCCACCGCTCCGTTTTGGTGTCAGCGGAATGTGTCCGAGCGCTGCACCCATGGAAGTGCGAGACTTTCCTGACCGCTGGTGTGACTACAGGCACAATCACAGCGAGGAAATTTATTACAACGGATGCCTCTCTGCGAGGGTGGGGCGCCACTCTAGAGGGCAGAATTGTGAACGGGAAATGGAGCTCACAGATGCAGATGTGCCACATAAACTTCCTGGAACTCCAGGCTGTGTGGCTGGCATTGAGACATTTTCTTCCTCTTATCAGGGGACAACACGTGTTGGTTGCCACAGACAACACCACTGTGGTGGCGTATGTCAACAAGCAGGGGGGGCTAAGGTCACATCAGCTGCATGTGTTAGCACACAGACTGATTGTATGGGCCAGCTCTCATCTCCTGTCACGCACGTCCCTGGTGTCCTAAACAGAGGTGCGGACCTGCTCTCGTGGGGCAACCCTCGCTACAGGGATTGGAAGCTCCACAGCGGGGTTGTGGCACAGATTTGGGGAAAATACGGCAGAGCCGAGGTGGACCTGTTTGGATCTCAGGAAGACGCTCAGTGCCACCTGTATTTTTCCCTGAGAGATCAGTGCGCGCCACTCGGAGTGGACGCTATGTCACATGCGTGGCCATGCACACTCCTGTATGCGTTTCCCCCGTTGGAACTGATTGCTCCGATTCTCTCTCGTGTTCGAGAGGAGAAACACTCCTTAATTCTCGTGGCCCCATATTGGCCAGCGATGATGATGGATGACGGAGATATTTCAGCTTCTGTGCGATCACCCGTGGACTCTGCCCCTGCGCAGAGATCTGGTGACTCAAGCGCACGGGGAGATATTCCATCCTTACCCAGAGCGCCTGGCTTTATGGGTTTGGCCCGTGAGAGGATGAACTTATCCTCTACTGGTCTCCCAGATAATGTCATTGTTACTATGCAGAACGCTAGGGCAGCGTCTACTCGTAGTGCATATGATGGGAAATGGAGGGCTTTCGACGAGTGGTGCGTAAACTTGGGCCACATCGCGTTTCAAAGTCCCGTGCCGGTTGTCCTGAATTTCCTTCAGAGTTTGTTGGATAAAGGGCTTGCTTTCTCTACCATTAAAGTTTACCTGGCGGCTATTTTGGCCTGCCACGTTGGCTTTGGAGACAAGACTGCTGGTCAGCATCCTCTTATATGCCGGTTTATGAAAGGCGCACGGCGCCTGAGGCCGGTTTCAAGGAGCCTGGTTGCTCCGTGGGATCTGACGACAGTGCTAGACGCCCTGTCTCGACCACCATTTGAACCGTTGCATGAAGTAGAGTTGAAATTTCTCTCTTTTAAGACGGTTCTGCTGCTGGCGTTGGCATCAGCAAAGCGCGTGAGTGACATTCACGCGCTGTCTGTGAACGCGTCATGTATGCAGTTTATAAGGGGAGATTCTAAGGTTTTACTGAAACCTAACCCTTCCTTTATGCCAAAGGTCTTTAATCCGACTTTGTCATGCCTTCCGATTTTTCCACTCCTCCGTCTTTATCGGAAGAGGATCAGCGGCTCCATGCACTTTGTCCTGTGCGTGCATTGCGCGCGTACGTGGACAGGACTGCTTCATTTTGGAAATCTGAGCAGCTGTTTGTATCTTGGGCTAAACCCCACAGGGGTAAGCCTCTTTCCAAACAGCGCCTGTCTCATTGGTTAGTGGAAGCTAAGTGAGAAGGTATCTCACCAGACCGCCCTTCTTGCCTGGAGCGAGAAGAGGTGTGCTTGCTTTGACTGATGTCTAGACGTGCTGTCACGCTCTATATAGAAGGCGGTAGCCCCGCCTCCCTTTGGAGGTGACGTCACGTCTGACTGCCAATCAGGAGACTGGCATGGTGAAATAGGGCTTCTGGGGAAACAGCCAGAGAGCGTTCCCCATATGTGAGATACCTCACTCATGTTATCAGAGAACCGGGGTTAATTTCTTAACCTTACGTTATGTAGTTTCAGATTACTTGCCAACCAAATATATAATTCTAATAATACCCATGTTATGAACTACATGTAAGTCAACAAGAGGCAAAGTGAGTTGGAGCCAAACTTCCCTATTGGGCTACATTGAGCTAGCAGGTTTGCATTGGGCTTGGTGTGTGTAGATCTTATATTCTGACCCGTTCGGTCTCGTGGAGTGTCCTCAGCTCCAGCTCAAAGTCCTCCTCCCTTTGTCTGCTCCTTTGCTCCAATGGACTCTTCTCGTCTGGTGTGACCGTCGTGGATGCTTCCTCTGAGACCTCATCATCATCATCTTCCTCCTCATCATCCTCTGACACAGTGTTACCAAAGGAAGTGACTTACACATTACTAAGTACTTCATAAACTTCTCAAATCCATGCAATTCTCTCTGGTCTGTCTCTGGTCTCTCTGATCTCTCTCTCTAGGTCTCTCTCTTGTACCTGCACTGCTGAAGTAAAGGGACGGATCTGGTCCAGATGTCAGGGGGCCGTTGACCTGAGTTTTAAAAAAAGTGTAAACTTTAAAAGGATTTTTCAATATAAAATACATGTGTTTTTATTGCACCTGTTGTAAGTCCAAATCTTTGAGCATAGAGGAGAAATCCACGACACTCTCCCGCACCGAACACTCTAAGGAAATCACATTCAGATTATAAATATATTTAATGGAGTATGTAACATTAAAGCTAGGGTACGAACTTTCAGACCACAACAACAGAATCCATGTCTCTAGATTCTGACAAACAGTTCTATCACTAGTTTTCACACAAAAGTAGTAGTAGAAGTAGTAGATGTTCTGTATTCATCTGTATTAACATTGGTCTTGGTTTTGGTCTTTGTCCTGGTTTTGGAGAGAGAGACCAGAGAGAGAGCTCAAAGGGAGCGCCACTCTGCAGTGGACCACTTGTATCCGCTATCTCATACTTTCGGTCATTCCCCAAAGCTCAGGACCAGAGGTGAGGGAAGGTACCAAGGGTAATTTTCCCAAATCATTGCTTTTATACTTGAAATTTAAATTTTTCTGTACAAAATTAGTTTCTTGGTCAGTGTCAACTGGACTGGACAAATGCTTGTTACAGCAGACTTAATAACAATAATTATTCATTACATTTTGGGTTCAATGTTTATAATTCTATTTGTCATGCCACTATTACTGTACACGTTTAGTCAATAACTTGAAAATTGTTTGAATTACCCCCTGTAATACCCTCATGTACCCTTAATATATACATAGTACTTTCCACAACTGCACAAACTAGCGTTGTAAATGTGGCAACATGTTCTGGCCACAAGAGGGAGCCACACACTCTGGTTCAAATCCACACTATTCCACAAAAAGCATTCTCTGATCAGGGCTGAGAAGGATTTGAATTTAGAACATTATTGTAGTATTTGTGACCAGGATATGGTCGTATTTATTATGTTATTTCACTGGGGACATTCTGACAAGGCTTAAATCCTCCAAGAATAGAGTTTGGTCTGAGTCTTTCTCTCTGAGGTCCCTCTCTCCCTAGTCTCTCTCTGGTTTCTCTGGTTTCTTTCTAGTCTCTGGTCTCTCTCTGGTCTCTCTCTGAGACCAGAGAGACCTCTCAAGTCTCTCAAGTCTCTCTAGTCTCACACTCTCTCTGTTCTCTCTGGCCTGTCCCTCTAGTCTCTCTCTGGTTTCCTTTTGGTCTCTGGTCTCTTTCCGGTCTCCCTCTCTCTGTGCTCTGACTTTAGAAGACCACGTTTATTTTGCTTTGACAAGTTCCAGTTTTAAATCCTCCATAAATTGAAGTTTGCTCCGATCCAACTGGCCTATGTTCTGTTCCTCTTCTCTCTCCTCCTCCTCCTCCTCGTCCTCCTCGTCCCCCCTCAGGACCATCCTCTCCCACCGCACGGCTCTGCTCCTGGACGTTTCAAAGTATCTGAGCAAAGACTGGGGCACTTCACCTGGAGCCTGAGGACCAGAGAGAGAAGACGAGACAAGAAAAAGAATATTATATATATTACATATTTAGGGCAACAGTGGCTCAGTTGGTGGAATCAGATTCAGATTCAGATTCAGATTCATTTATTTGTCATTTGTAGTAAAACCACATTGGAAAAACTGTGCAAGACTACCCCGGTGTGCACCAGACAGAGAAGACGACACACACCAGAGCTCTTGCCTCTTGAATGTTGACCCTTAGGGCTAAAGGTTGTGGGTTCGAACCCTACTTTGCCTAAAGCCCCTGCTGAAAAATCAAGATCAAGAGCTCTGACTGCCACCCCCCTAACCCAGAAATTGATTAAGGGGAAGAAAATGGATGGATGGATATCTATATCTGTTTATGATAACCACATTGTATTGTTGTTGTTGTTGGTGGTAATATAATCAAAGATAAAAAGTCAAAAATATAGAAAAAGCTGGAGGGAAGGTCTGGAAAATCTGCCCCACTCAGCTCTGTTCTACCATAAAGATATGTCTATGTGTTGTACAACATTGTTAGCTAGCTGCTGTCAAAGAGGTGTGAAAACAGCGTGGGCCCCCAACATTATACCTCCAGGAGTTGACACATAAAACCTTTAAATCCTTGTATGATATTTTAGAGTAAAAACAAACCTCGTGTTCATAAACCGTGTCTATTGCCTCTTCTTCTTCCTCACAGCCCGAGTCCTGCTTTGACTCCAAGTCGCTCATGGTTTCACATCAGCTTGAGAGAAAAAAACAAACAAACAGCTGGAGGTTCATGGACACCTGTACAGGACATCTGCGCGGTTTTTAATGATTTTATCGGAAATGAAGGACGAAGTGTCTGCGAGTGGAGTTTGGATGGTAACCATGGAAACAAACTTTTGCCCCTGAACCAGTTCTGTCAGGCGCACGGCATATTTCCTTTAAAATCCAAACATGATAAACATGATTATTCTCCAAAACCGTACACGTGGTCTATTATTATTGGATATAAAAAACTGTCAATTAAAGTAAGAACACATGTGTTCAGAAAGTGCCAATAGAGTGTACCCAAGGGTAGTGATTACCTGTGTTGGAGAAAATATTTCGTGTCGATGAAGATGAGGAGAGGTAAATAAAAGGTAAAGTGAACGAGATTTTAATCTTAAAGTGAAACAAATATTACGTAGTGTTCCCTAAATTAGCATGAATACCAGAGGAGCTCAGGGCCGCAGAGAACATTCATATTTTTAAAAGCAGGCTCAATACGCACCTTTTTAGATTAGCTTTTGATTAGTATTTGTTATTCATTATTGTGTCTTGTTTTTATCTTCTTAGATTGGTTTTATTTATTTATTTAATCTATTTTGTTTTTTCTCATTTACTAACGTTATTATTAATATTATGAAGGTACCTTTTTTTTGTCTCACATTTTAATGTTGTACTTTTTTTATTATTATTATTGTTTTTATATCCCCAGTATTTCCTGGAGGAGCCCTCTGCACTGGGAGCTGAGGTCTGCTGTGGCTACGGGGGTCTGGCTCTTGGATCCAGTGGGGGTCCGGGGCCTCTTCTCTCCTCTGGGTCCTGTGTCGTCCCCTGTGGCTGAAGGCGACTCTCTGCTCCTGGTGCAGATGTCTCCTTGGATGGCGCTGCTTCAGCTGGATACATCTGCACCCATCCCTATATCTTTTCAAAGTCTTACCAAATGTACCTGTCTGATGTGACTTTTTGTGTGTCTGTGTGTGTGTGTATATGCATGTGAGCATGATAAATGTGGATTTGGGTGGGTCTATTGGGCGGTGGTGTTATTGGATTGTTTTTACCTGAACTGTAAAGCACTTTTTGTTGCATTTTCTGTATGAAAAGTGCTTTATAAATAAAATGTGATTGATTGATATAATATGTAATATATTCACAATAATATTGACAAACTGGCCAAAGTAGCCATAAGGAGACACATTATACAAAGTCCATCCTAAGCACATCTGTGATAATAATTTTTGTGATACGCCATACAACACTCAACACTTATCAAAATATAGCCATTTTGAGAACTTCGTGGAGGCGAGCTTTTTCACAATTTGGTTGACGTCACGCTTTCAATTGAGTCGTTTTGGGGCCTCTCGAGAGTGAAAGAGAAAGATCGCTCTCTAACCAAAGCTTGAGAGAATCAATGAATAAACAACTCTGGCTTCATTGTTGTAAGCGGGTGGGCATTGTCCAACTGTATACCGGTTTTGAGTCACATGTAGGTTTGGGACGCAACCCGCTTGGAGCTTAGTCACATGGTGGTTTGGGGCGCGACCCGCTTGGAGCTGAGTCACATGCAGACTTGGAGCAGGCCCAGAGTGCCGTTTGAGAAACAAAGACTCAGTTGGAGGTGTTTGCATCATCTGATCTGATCACAGGCGGCGACTCGTGCCCACGTCCTGCAGCGCATTCCTGTAACTCAGCTGATGTGATGTAATATAGGACATAAAGTACAGTATTGATACAGTATTCGCCCCCCTTGAACCTTTCAACATTTTGCCACATTTCAGGCTTCAAACATAAAGATATCAAATTTTAATTTTTTGTCATGAATCAACAACAAGTGGGACACAATCGTGAAGTGGAACGAAATATATTGGATAATTTAAACTTTTTTAACTAATAAAAAACTGAAAAGTGGAGCGTGCAATATTATTCGGCCCCTTTACTTTCAGTGCAGCAAACTCAGTCCAGAAGTTCAGTGAGGATCTTTGAATGATCCAATGTTGTCCTAAATGACTGATGATGATAAATAGAATGCACCTGTGTGTAATCAAGTCTCCGTATAAATGCACCTGCTCTTTGATAGTCTCAGGGTTCTGTTTAAAGCGCAGAGAGAACCATGAAGACAAAGGAACACACCAGGCAGGTCCGAGATACTGTTGTGGAGAAGTTTAAAGCCGGATTTGGATACAAAAAGATTTCCCAAGCTTTAAACATCTCAAGGAGCACTGTGCAAGCAATTATATTGAAATGGAAGGAGTATCAGACCACTGCAAATCTACCAAGACCCGGCCGTCCCTCCAAACTTTCATCTCAAACAAGACGAAGACTGATCAGAGATGCAGCCAAGAGGCCCATGATCACTCTGGATGAACTGCAGATAACTACAGCTGAGGTGGGAGAGTCTGTCCATAGGACAACAATCAGTCGTGCACTGCACAAATCTGGCCTTTATGGAAGAGTGGCAAGAAGAAAGCCATTTCTCAAAGATATCCATAAAAAGTCTCGTTTAAAGTTTGCCACAAGCCACCTGGGAGACACACCAAACATGTGAGAGAAGGTGCTCTAGTCAGATGAAACCAAAATCGAACTTTTTGGCCACAATGCAAAACGATATGTTTGGCGTAAAAGCAACACAGCTCATCACCCTGAACACACCATCCCCACTGTCAAACATGGTGGTGGCAGCATCATGGTTTGGGCCTGCTTTTCTTCAGCAGGGACAGGGAAGATGGCTAAAATTGATGGGAAGATGGATGGAGCCAAATACAGGACCATTCTGGAAGAAAACCTGTTGGAGTCTGCAAAAGACCTGAGACTGGGACGGAGATTTCTCTTCCAACAGGACAATGATCCAAAACATAAAGCCAAATCTACAATGGAATGGTTCACAAATAGACGTATCCAGGTGTTAGAATGGCCAAGTCAAAGTCCAGACCTGAATCCAATCGAGAATCTGTGGAAAGAGCTGAAGACTGCTGTTCACAAACGCTCTCCATCCAACCTCACTGAGCTCGAGCTGTTTTGCAAGGAAGAATGGCAAAGAATTCCAGTCTCTCGATGTGCAAAACTGATAGACATACCCCAAGCGACTTGCAGCTGTAATTGCAGCAAAAGGTGGCGCTAAAAAGTATAAGCGCAAGGGGGCCGAATAATATTGCACGCCCCACTTTTCAATTTTTTATTTGTTAAAAAAGTTTAAATTATCCAATAACTTTCATTCCACTTCACGATTATGTCCCACTTGTTGTTGATTCTTGAAAAAAAAATTTTTTTTTATGTCTTTATGTTTGAAGCCTGAAATGTGGCGAAATGTTGAAAGGTTCAAGGGGGCCGAATACTTTCGCAACGCACTGTACATGCTCTTTTAAACATGTTCCAACTCCAGTCACAGACCTGCAAACTCTGATGAATCCTCAGGCTGTGATGTGACGGCGTCAGTGAGGAAATAAGTTCCTCATGTTGGAAACTCCATCCATCCATCCATCCATTTTCTTCCCTTTAATCCATTTCTGGGTCAGGGGGGTGGCAGTCAGAGATGCCACCCAAGTCTCATAGCACCAGCCCCTCACTGACCCTCTGCAGGTGGTGAGTCCACAGGAGGACGGCTGCTCTCTGAGTGTGAGCATAGCCTTTATCTTTCAGTGGGGGCTTTGGGCAAAGTGGGGTTAAGTGTCTTGCAAGGACACAACGACAGCAGTCATCAGTGGTCGGTGGAGAAGGTGCAGAGGTGGGAATTGAACCCACGACCTTCTGGCCTTAAGGCCAATGCTCTACCAACTGAGCTACTGTCGCCCTCATAATATAATCCCATGTTGGAAACTTCTCCTGTCAAACACCTTCAAGTGGCTGTAAAATAACATGAGCCAAATATTTATGTTTTTTTAGTCAAGAAAGAGACCAGAGAGAGAGAACAGAGAGAGAGAGACCAGAGGGAGAGACCAGAGGGAGAGACCAGAGAGTCTTTATAATGTGAAATTAGAAAAGAACACCTGCAGGTGGAGGCCTTATCCTGCCAGACCCCAGAAGCTAAGCAGGACCTGGTTCGTACTGTGATGGGAGATGGTAACTGTGTGAGTGTGTGTCCTCTCACATTTCTTCTGCTGTGATGGTCACAGATGAGCAGAGGTGTTTGTGGAGGACCAGTGATGCGCACACTTGTCTAAGCTGCAGATTATAGCCTGAATGAGGCCAAACAAAAGTGGCCCCTGATAGTTTGTTCTGACCAGGATCTTCTGAAACGCCTGTCCTGAGGCTGTAGACTCAGGACCGAGGCTGTAGACTCAGGACCGAGGCTGTAGACTCAGGATCCACCACATCTCATATTTCAGTGTATTCTGTTTCTGCTCATTTTCAGCATCCCATCTGTCCCTCACAAAGATGTTGTCATTAACTGTGTTTAAATGTGTTTATTGTATGTGTCTGTGTGTGTGTGTGTGTGTGTCTCTCTCTCTCTCTCTGTGTGTGTGTGGGTGTTTGTCAGTGTGTGCATGCGTGTGTCAGTGTGTGTGTGGGTGTTTGTGTGTGTGTCAGTGTGTGTGGGTGTTTGTCAGTGTGTGCATGTGTTTGTCTGTGTGTGTGTGTGTGTGTGACATAAAACAGTCTCTGTGCAGTTAGAATTGATTAAAGACCAGACACTTGGACAAAGCTCCAGCTGCGGGGGGAAAACTGCTGAGTCATGAGACCTCCCACTCTATTGACTGTAAGTAAGTACAGTTTATCTATAAAAAAGAAAATATACAAAAATCATATTGCAGAGAAGTACATAGCACACAGTCCACACAGGCCTCAGGAGGTGAATGGCCCGAAGGATCTGTCTCCTCTGGTTTCATTCAGTTCAAATAATTTGTGTACCGCCCTAAATCACAACAGCAGTCGTCTCGTTGGACTTTACAAAGTTGTGGATTCACCAACAACAGATCAGAGAATTAAACAGTTCGAACATAGAAAATCCAATAATAAAAAACATATAGGAGCCATTGGTCCATAAACACATCACTGTCCTTAGACCATGGATCTATTCTAATAACTGGAGGTGTTACTAGCTTGTAGCTGAATAACTCACGTGCTCAGGGGATTCTCGCGGTACTGCAGACTGAACCAGACTAAATTCACGTGGGCTACCCAGAAATTTTCCCCATAGAACTCAATGCATATTAAAACAGCTCAACCTCAGCTGACAGAGAACCTACAGCTTTCAAAAAGGTTGGATTTTGTGGGGATTTTAGTGTCCCCATTTATTTTTGGGCACTTGTCCTCTCACTCCACACAGAGATGGGAGCAGGGTCGCCAAACAGGAGGCATGTGCCTGTGCGGTGGTAGGGGAAACCTACGCAGAAATGGGGAGAACATGCAAACTCCACTCAGAAGGACCCTGGTCCGACCAGGATTCGAACCCAGGACCTTCTTGCTGAGAGGTGAGAGTGCTATCCACTCAGCCACCGTGCCGCCTGTGGAAAAAGTGTATTTTGATATTTACCTCAGAAGGCTCCAAATAGAAAAGAGGCCTTACATTTTTCTTTAGATTTCATTTGTTATGCCATTGATATTTTTTATCATTATTATTATTATATGAAACTCAGTTTTTTATGTCACTTTATAAGCCTTGCTTGTTCAATATTCAAGGAAAAACATGTTTGGGTCCCTATTAAATTTTGGCCCACGCTGTATTTGAGTTTGACACCCCTGCCTTAGGGTGTCTCTCTCAAGTCTCTTTGTGGTCTCACTCTCTAGTCTCTTAGGGGTCTCTCTATGGTCTCTTAATGGTCTCTCTCTGGTCTCTCACTCTGGTCTCACTCTGGTCTCTCTGTGGTCTCTCACTCTAGTCTCTTAGTGGTCTCTCTGGTATCTCTCTAGTAGTCTCTCACTTAGATCTCTCTCTAGTTTTTCTCTGGTTTCTCTCTGGTATCTCTCTGGTGTCTCTCTAGTCTCTCTGTGGTCTCACTCTGGTCTTTCTGTGGTCCCTCTCTAGTCTCTCTGTGGTCTCACTCTTGTCCCTCTCTGGTCTCTCACTCTGGTCTCTCTGTGGTCCCTCTCATCCTCTCTGTTTCACTTTTCTCTCTGAAAAAGCGGATCTCTAAACGTAACAGAGGCCAAAAACACCTGGAAACCAGTAATGGAACAAAATACAGAGTTCTGTTGTTGTGGTCTTAAAGTTATCGTTTTGTGAAGAAGCAAAAGCTCTGGAGAAAAATGTCCCGTGTCGTGTGTGGCTTTCATGGTCCCACCAGGGGGGACAGCTGCGCCCGGCGGGACATGGGGACTGGTCCAGGGCCCGACAGCGCAAGGCCTGGTGTGAGTCCAAAGGCTTCTCTGGCGGTCTGAGGAGGTCTGAGGAGATCTGTGGAGGACTGGAGAGGGAGGGGAGGGAGGGAGGAGGGGGGGGGCGGCTAACGTCTGCAACATGGGGTCCAAACCTGAGTCATTTTCCATCTTTCTATTACTATACTTCAGGTTCAGAGGCTGTGTTCGTATTGTAGAACTGTACGTGAGTATTTCAGCAACAAATGTGAGAGACCAGAGAAAGAAAAGAAAGTGAGAGACCAAAGAGAGACCAGCGAGAAATCAGAGAGAGGACAGAAGGAGACCAGTGAGAGAGAGGCCACAAAGAGACCAGAGAAAAAGACCAGGGAGAAACCAGAGAGAGGCCGGAGAGAGACCAGAGAAGGACCAGAGAGAGGCCAGAGAGGGATAAAAGAAAGAGACGAGAAAGACGCCAGAGTGAGATACCAGAGAGAAATCAAAGAGAGACTAGACAGAGAGTCCAGAGAAAGAAAAGGGAGAGAGGCCAGGGAGAGACCACAGAGTGACCAGAGAGAGAGAGAGACCAGGGAGGTCAGAGAGAAACCAGAGAGAGATCAGAGCGAAACCAGAGAGAGATCAGAGCGAAACCAGAGAGAGATCAGAGAGAGATCAGAGAGAGACCAGAGAGAGGCCAGAGAGTAGAAGAGTAGAATAGGACATGGGGGATGGAAATGGGGCTTTTGAGAAAACGCAGATTTGAAGATTAAGATTAAGAGATCCTTTATTTGTCCCACAGTGGGGAAATTTCGGTGTTGCATCACAGGAATTGGAACTTGTATCCAGTGTTCCTGCCTTCTAGCCCGTTCATGAGACAGTATATGAAAGAACTCCTCCGCAGACACAACACTGGTTCAGATAAAAGCTTCTCTCTTCTCTTGTTCGGTTTTTATCTATTGAATGATACAGCTTTCACTCGACCTTCGCTTTTTTCCACCTGTGACACACTATTATCACTAAGCGACTGGAAAGACGTCACTGAGTCTAAGTCGGGGTAACAAAGTGATTTTGAACTGAAAAAACTTACCGCGGCTGCACAGAAGACACCTGCTGCCAGATGGAAGCCCCCTCGCTCATTGGCTCACGACCAATGGGCCAAACAAGCGAGTATGAAGGGGTCTTCTGGCTCATAGCTGATTCTGTAGTTTTAAAACTGTTGAGTGACCAGAGAGAGAGACATCAGAGAGAGACCAGAAAGAGATCAGAAAAGAGACCAGAAAGATTGGCTAGATCAGAAAGAGATCAGAGAAAGACCAGAGAGAGAGAGACATCAGAGAAAGACCAGAGAGAGATCAGAAAGAGACCAGAAAGATTGGCTAGATCAGAAAGAGATCAGAGAAAGACCAGAGAGAGAGAGACATCAGAGAAAGACCAGAGAGAGATCAGAAAGAGACCAGAAAGATTGGCTAGATCAGAAAGAGATCAGAGAAAGACCAGAGAGAGAGAGACATCAGAGAAAGACCAGAGAGAGATCAGAAAGAGACCAGAAAGATTGGCTAGATCAGACAGAGATCAGAGAGAGACCAGAGATATTGGCCAGAGAGAGAGAGAGAGACCAGAGAGAGGCCAGATAAAATGGCCAGAAAGACCAGAGAGAGAGAGATCAGACAGAGAGCAGAGGGAGACTGGAGAGAACTCGATCAGAGAGAGGCCAGAACAAGACCAGAGAAAGAAACCAGAGAGCGATGGAGAGAAACCAGAGAGAAATACCAGAGACAGAGACTGGAGAGAAAGAGAGATCAGAAAGAAATACCAGAGAGAGACTGGAGAGAAAGAGAGATCCGAGGGGCCAGAGCGAGACCAGAGATAAATACCAGAGAGAGAGGCCAGAGAGACACCAGAGCGAGACCAGAGAGAGAGAGAGAGCGACGAGCCTTTGTGCTATCTTGTGGTGAAAATGACTTGTGCACAGTGATCCAGAATGAGATCAGAGAGACCAGACAGAGACACCATAGAGTATTGTCCCTGGTGTGACTTGTGTCAGACCCACATGTGAGCCGTGGCCTAGAAAACAGTTTTCCCTGCGACACAAAAGCCTCGTCTTCATCACCAAAGATCAGCTCGAGTTTCTGGAGTCATCAACTATTCAACATGTGAGAGGTGAATTGAGGATGCGTGTCTTCCACCAGGTCAGAGAGTGTAGTCCTTTAAAGCTACAGTACGTAACTTTCAGACCACAACAATAGATCTTCATAATAAATCCTTCTTTCTTGTTCCTGGCTCTAAAACAGTTTGTTCTATCACTAGTTTTCACAGGCATGTGTTTTTGGCCTCTTTCAGACAGAAACATGAAGGGGAGAGACCAGTGAGAGACCAAGAGAGAGACCAGAGAAAGACCAGAGAGAGAGAAACCAAAGAAAGACTATCGAGAGCAGAGACAGGGACTATAGAGAGACCAGTGAGATACAAGAGAAAGAGACTAGAGGTACCAGAGAGAGAGACCAAAGAAAGACTATAGAGAAACCAAAGAGAGACCAGTGACAAGGACCATATAGAGAGAGAGAGACCAGAGAGACAATGAAAGTAAAGGTGCACCTTATTTATCTCCATAGGGCCATTCATCCTTTGCATTTGACCCATCCTGATGACACTAGGACGTCTGTCAGGATCAGTGGTCGCCGTAGTAACAGCGCTCAGGGACCATCTACAGATGTTGATGGTCAGCTTGGTCAGGACCAGACATGGAGAATTTTACCTATCGAGACCAGAGAGAAACCAGAGAGAAACCAGAGAGGGATGATCTGGAACAGGACATTTTTGTTCAGAACCAGAACCAGAACCAGAACATGAACATGAGCAGAGAGGAGGCTAATCCCCGCCCTCTGGTCCACTTTTGCCACAGAGTGTAAGCCATCTTGGTTCCCGGAGGCCGTAATCCGGTTTCTCTGGTTCAATGCTTTTATGAACTCTGAGATCACGAGACGCAGAGAGTTCTGTCCCCATGTTTCCATTTCCCATGAACACAGAGACACTGAACACAGCTCTGTACTTCTCAAACAGAGATAAACTGTTGGTGAGCACTTCTCCTTCCCCAAGACAATCCACCATCATCACAGCTGTAGCGTCAGCTTCAGTGTCACCCCTGGAAAGGTGACATGTGAACAATTCAGACCACACCTGAACATGAATGCTCATAAGATGAATACAGAGAGGTATTCATCATTCATGTTCTCTTTGGAACCTGAAACATAAAGAAAGAGCCCTGTGACTCACTCTTTGACTCTTTGGGCTGAGTGCTAGGATTAGATAGTAGACCAGTTTCAGACCAAACATCGGACCAGACTTGGAGCAGTTTTAAAACCAGATTTAGACACTATCTTTGAGGTTGTTAAGTTAGTGGGAAATGACCACCATTTTTTTCCCCATGAGATCCGATTATTCAACTTCAAATCCGATCCGATCTCAAATCCCAATTCAATGCTTTTGATCATTGGTATTGCAAATTATAAAACAATGTTTAGAGCAAGACTGATTAGATTGATAAAATCAAAGAGAAGTTAATCAGCCTCCGTTTATTCTTTCACTTCAGGCAAAAGTAAAAAATAAAACATGTTCAGTCCTCAAATGCTGCAGATTTGTGGCGCTGCCGCTCCCACCATCAACATGTTGCATACTTTCCATGTTGCTTTTGTGCTGTCCTCGTTTTCTAATGAGAACTACCACACTTCTGACATGTTTTAGCTAGTAAAGCCACATGAATACCACCCTGATCAGTCAAAAACCATGAAATGGCCCTGATCTCGGCCCAATACCGAGATCAGGACATCCCTATAAGTTAGGTACCCCAGCTTTAATGTTGTTGTTCTATCACAAATGAACTGTGGACATTTCCAGTATAACATGTCTTTTGTTGTTGTTGAGGAATGACAGTGGCTCAGTTGGTAGAGCACCCTTTGGGCCTGAAGGTTGTGGGTTCGAGCCCACCAAAAGAGCTACTTCACGACTCCCACTGATGACTGCTGTCATTCTGTCCTTGGGCAAGACACTCAACCCCACTTTGCCTGAAGCCTCTGCTGAAAGATCAAGGCTCCTGTGGACTCATCTCCTGCTGGAGGATCAGTAAGGGGCTGGTGCTCTGTGTACTGGGTGCAGCTCTGACTGCCACCGCCCGACCCAGAAAGGGATGAAGGGGAAGAAAATGGATGGATGGATTAGGTTTATGCAGGAGGAGCATAGTCTGAGGACCCCGTTCGGATCTTTAGTCCAGCTTCCACCAGCTCTACTCTACTGTACTGTACTCCACTCTCCCCCACTGACCCTGTTTAACCAGTGCCAAGTTCCTTCTAGTCCCTCTTGGCCTTGGTTCTATCAGGCTGAGCTGGTACTAAAGTGTTCTAACTGACAGTGATTGGTCAGAGTGTTGCTGGAAGCCATGGTTCCCAAGGAAATTCCTCGGATACTGGTTTGTTGCTAGGATACGGCACCAGAGACTGAAGTGTAGTGGAAACGCAACCAGGTAGAGTGGAGTAGAGTAGAGTATTGTCGGGCAAGAGCTGGTGGAAAAAGAGCTGTAGTTGACTTTAAATCTACCCTTATAGTAAATAAAATAAATTGTATTCCTCAGTTTTGTCCAAAATATTCCCGCTGTAAAAACCTAATAGATCCAGACTAAAAACCCCATTCAAATTTCGGCTTTTGTTTCCGCCAGGCGCTGTTTCTACAGACGCACGCTCCTCCTCTCACCTTGAACAAGACCAAAAACATAAACTATAGTTAAACTGTAGTTAATGTGAAAGCTGTTTGTGAAGCTCTTTCAGAATGAACTTACATCCCCTTTGTTTCGCACCATTTCATATGAAAACCTGGACGCAGACGCGTAATTGGCCATATATAAACACTGGCACATGAGTCTTTCCGTGTTGCATTGCGTGGAGCGTACCAAGTCCAGAACAGGGGTGCGAGAGCTCAAAAATACGGATTAAACCAACAATTACAGACTGAAATAAAAAATAACACGTTTTATAATCAGACACAACGCTATTTGTGACATCACTGCGTTAAATAAGTGTTAAACCTTAATTTCTATCTAAACCCGGTCTCGTTTTGGAGTCGCCCGCCTCTTTCCACCGCCTTGGCCGCTCGCTTCAGTCGCATCGTTCTCATTCTCGCATCTCTCGCATCCTCGCTTGACACATCTACATCATTCGTGACAAAATGCCTTTCCCCTGCTCCCACAACTTCATCCCCTGATACTGGACCACCAGGAATACAGATTACCCTCATCTTAGTGCTTGGTGAGTCTGTATTATTTTTAAAGATGTAATATTCCAGGATGTTGAATGGGGCCACGCGCGCAATGTGCTCAGTGGATGATGAAACACTGGGAGGGCGTGCGCGTACTATTCATCATCATGTATCTCCTATTTCCTGGACTCGAACACATTACATATATCTTAGAACACATTGCTTTACACCGCTCTGTCTACATATTATCTGCGATTTGCGAACCACACCAGTGCCGTTTGGGGCTGAAAAACCCCCATAGACGCACATTTATTTTGTTTAAATGATAGAAATAGCCAGAACAAGCTTTTTCCTTTAGTTAAGTCTGGTCTATATCTGCGTAGTAACATCACTCTAGTAAAACAACACCATAGTTCCCATGTGTCCCTGATCGCACAGAGAGTAAATGCCAGGGCCGTAAAGAGCGAACCACTTCTTAAGGGCCTCAGATCCCCCATAGTCCCAGTAATAGCTTGGTCTCATTTTGAGCCATTTTATAGATACTGTGGTGATTGTTAAGGAGTAAGTGGGCCTAATTCGTAAGAAAAATCCCGTTTGAGATCTGCCTTCAGGGCAGGTGATAATGTGGTTAAGCTGTGGGCACCAGTCACCAGGGGGGCGGACGAGAGCGTCAAAGTGTAAAATAGTGAAAAGCCGAGAATCAAAAAATGATTGATGAAAATACATGGGGGGAGGGCGAGTAATGGAACCCTTATAGAACAAGATATCTATTGTATCTTGAGGCTTACCAGTTTTTGAGGCTGTTTATAATTATAGCAGGGCTGTGGTAGTAGTTTCCCTTTTAACCAAAGGACTGAACAGAATCTGAACTGAAATATTTTAACTTTATCTGTGAAATGCGCTATATAAATAAAGCTTACTTATTGACTCACTCTCTGCGGACTACAGTTGGCAACAACACAGTAGAAGGAAACCCGTTTTGTGCCATTATCAATATAAAACAATATGGATTAAAAATAATAATTATGAAACAATATATTATACATAATTTGAAGATTGTCCAAATTCAATATTATAAAATGTAAACATAGAAATGAGAAGGTTACCATAATATTGCATTTGTGCAGCAAGTTTAAAGATTATACATGGCCTGTCTGTGGCATATGGCCCGACAAATAAATACAGTAAATGTAGATATTGTGGTATACACGTGTTGTACTTACACTGATTTACTCTCAAAATGTAGTTCTTATAAAACATACTTGTATATATCCAGCTGGTTCTTGTAGTCTTCCTTCTGCTGTTATTCTGCCTCTGATCTCACACGTTATCAAAGTTCACACTGTGTCCTGCCTTTTATCGTTGCTACAAATAACATTTTCATAACTTGAAAATGTTCCATCTACTGTAGCCTATAAAGGTGTTGTTTGATGCACAGTTCATAAACAAAGTAACTCAAAGTGATGAACAAAACAAGAAAAGAAACTTTAAAACATTATTGTTGTGTGACCTGCCTCGGGGCTATGGATGTAAATTAGCAGTTTTGCTACAATCTGGCACATTTACAATTTGTGTACAACTTGTATATGATTGTTCATTAATGTGATCAAATAAATAAATAAATAAATAAAATTAGAAAAACGATTCATAAAATATAAAAATTAAATGTTTTCTAAGATGAGATGGAGTTACCCCCGCAAATGAAGACATCTGTATGGTCAATCCTAATATGGCTAATAACATGAGATTATCTGGATTTAGAAAGACAACATCACAATATGAACGTACTCACTGAGCTAGAGGAGTTTACTTTGCAAGTCAATAGGAGCCGAAGTGATTTGGAGCCAAACTTCACTATTAGCACTTCCCTCTTGGGCATCATTGAGCTAGCATCTTAGCATTGACCATCTGTTGTCTATGTTCTGGATATTTGTTTAAAGGGACAGATCACAGGTCGCATGTTCTCTTCATATCTGAACAGTTTAGTGGAGTTATTCTTACCTAAAAAATACTATGGACATGATCCAACAAATTATCCGGGAGAAGAACGAGGCTCTCACTTGGGTTGCCAGTTTGTAGGTGAAGCTGTAGCTGGTCTTGGCTCTTATCTTCATTATATGTCTATATATTCACAACAAAATTCACAAATGTAAAAATAGCTCCATATTTTCATTTAAATGAAAGCAGAGACAACGTGAGATGGTAATGACTTTATTTAACCCTGTTTCCACCAGCCCTACTATATTCTACTCTACTCTGCATAACAAACCAGTATCCAGGGAATTTTCTTGGTAACCATAGCACCCAGCAGCACTCTGACCAATCACTCTCAGTTAGAACACTTGAGTACCAGCTTGGCCTGGATAGAACCAGGGCGAGGAGGAACTTGTACTGGTTTAACAGGGTCTGTGGAAACGTTCCCAATTGGGGGAGAGTAGAGGAGAGTAGAGTAGAGTTGTGGAAACAGGGCTTAAAGCCTGGTTCACACGAGACGATTTTAAAATTGTCGGCCGATTTTTCTCCGTGTTAGACCCCACACGGGGAGATTAAAAATCCTGCGTCTAACCACTTTGGTCGTGCAGTGTGTGGTGCGTAGCCACACGGCAACGTGCCCCCCCCCCGAGCATTCCCAGGTCAGACGGAAATCTCACAAAATCTCTCGAGATCAAGCGTGACTTCAGAGTAAACAGTCATGGCGGACGAAGAGGATGCAGTGGCGATAGTGTGCAGTTTGTTGTTAACAGAGAAGACACGTAATCCAAAGAAAAGGCAATGGTCAAAGCCATGCTGCTGTGTTTTGGTTTTTTTCCGGTGTTTCCTCACCGGCTTGTCACCTCGTCTTCTTATTGGCTACACGCCGTAGTCATGGCAACGCGCTCGCTTGTCCTCGGGGGACACCACACACGACAAGAAATCGGGCCAAAACAATCCAACATGTTGGATATCCCCGATTTGAGATCGGGAGCAGTCCCGATGTCCTTCCGAGCGACGAGTGCAGTCTTAACACACCACACACGGCAGGATAATCTGTAAGATTTTGTTACGGAAATCGGAGCGTTTCTTAAGATTGTCGTAAGGGGTAAATCGGGTCTAAATCGGCCTAAATATCCTGCCGTGTGAACCAGGCTTTAGATCACTAAGGGCAGACTACAGACTGTCCCTTTAAGATTCCTGATGTTATAACCTGATGTTATTAATAAACTTGCCCTGCCTTGCCTATGACCTGTTATTTGGCTGCATGTGTTTCTCATTGGGGGACACGGTCACGCCCGGGCCCCAAATGCTGAGCTCCGGCCCTGTACGCATCACTACTCATGAATAATTCAGCTATAAACAATGACACACAACGTGTTTCCGTCTGTATGAGCCGCTCTGGTCTCCGGTGCTGTCTGACCTCGGACCTCTCTCATTGTGGGGAAGCACGTGTTTCATTGTTGTGTTTTGGTTTCTCTCTGGTCACTCTCTCCCTCTTTTCTCTCTCTCTCTCTGGTCTCTCGCTCTGTTCTCTCTCTGTTCTCTCTCTGGTCTCTCTCTCTGCTCTCTCTCTCTGCTCTCTCTCTGGTCTCTCTCTGGTCTCTCTCTGCTCTCTCTCTGCTCTCTCTCTGCTCTCTCTGACCACGCGGTCCCTCCTCCCGAGTCCAGTATTGTCTGTGAAAAGCTCTGTGTGTGGAGCGATCACATGTGAGCGGTGTGCAAAATGGACACGCAGCTTTGGTGATTATTGTAGCATGCCGAGAGTGAATAGATTTTTATTTAGTTTTACAGTAGTTCTAAAAATTATCCGCAATAAATAAAATCCTTGAAGTAGCAGCTACATGTTTTAAGGCTATAACATTTATACACACTGGTCTTTCTCTGGTCTCTCTGCTGTCTCTCTCGACTCTATCTCTGTTCTCTCATTGGTCTCTCTCTCAGTCTCTCTGCTCTCTTTTAACTCTATGTTCTCTCTCTTGACTCTCTCTCTCTGTTCTCTCTCTGGCCTCGCTTTGTTCTCTCTCTCTCTTCTCCCTCTAGCGTCTCTCTCTGTTATCTCTTTGTTCTTTCTCTGTTCTCTCTCTGTGATCTCTCTGCTCTCTCTCTCTCTCTCTCTGGCGTCTCTCTCTGCTCTCTCTCTCTCTCTCTCTGGCCTCTCTCGCTCTCTGCCCCCCTGCTTTCAAAATAACACTATAATCATTACATTACATCCGCCGTCTCATTGCAATATCCTTAAAATTGAACGATGAGTTGGTGTAATGGCAGTGGATGTGGATGTGCTGCTGGTGTCTAGACTGGAGCGTGTGTGGATCTGAGGTTACGTAAGGACATGGACTCATATTCAGCCTTTTGCTCGAACCAGAAAACACTATATTCAGACGTTAAGAGCAGGTGAGAGACCCGCCGTGGGATATTAAAGGAGACATACTGTGCATCTTTCTCTCTGGTCTCTCTTTCTGGTCCCTCCCTCTGGCCTCTCTCTCCAGTGTCTCTCTCTTGTCTCTGGCCTCTCTCTGGTCTCTCTCTAGTCTCTTCCTCTGGCCTTTCTCTCCAGTGTCTCTCTCTTGTCTCTGGCCTCTCTCTGGTCTCTCTCTAGTCTCTTCCTCTGGCCTTTCTCTCCAGTGTCTCTCTCTTGTCTCTGGCCTCTCTCTGGTCTCTCTAGTCTGGTTTTCGGGTCTGTTATGTGAGGAAACAGTTAATACTTTTCTTTTATCAAAATTACACCGATGTCTCATCCTAATCAAAGGCTTCAGATAAAAGTGAACGGTCTGTAAGTGTTCAGAAACCAGAGATAAAACAAGATGCGTTCTCACTTCCTCTGAGAGAAAACAGAACTGAACCAGGTCTAAAACAGGAATGAACTGAGAGAGAAAGAGAGAGACCAGTGAGAAAGACCAGAGATACTATTTCCATTGACAAATCTTCAAATAAAGGACCCCATGTTTACATCAAAAAAGGGTTATTAGTTACTTCTATTACATTATAACAGTATTACAGTCCCCTGTCAGTCTCTCAGTTTGCTGCCATAGAAACCCCCCTTTTCCTCTTCCGCCTCCTCCAGTGTTTGGGTTCTTATGCAAATCCTCCTCATGAATAACTCAGAGCAACGTGACGCTTTGGAGTCATGTGAACATGTCTCCTTTAACTTTTAACTTTCATAATGACACGTAATCAGAACACAACAGACCACAACAAACTGTGTGTAGAAAGAGCCCAGTGATTCACGGCCAAAGTGACTTATCCTTGAATCTAGTGCAATTATACCTCCAGAGTTTTATTTTATCTTATTATTTCATCATGTTATTATCTATTATCTTAAAAAATAGATCCTGTTGGATGTTTTCAACCTGAGTGCTCTTATTTTCTCCTTTTGTTCTGCTGTAATGTGGGCAACGATGACATTGAAATTTCCACTGAGGGACGAATAAAGGTTTATCTTATCCTATCTTATTTGACTCTTTGGGTTGAGAGCTGACTAGCTTTCTGGACCCTGTCTGGTCTCTCTCTGGTCCCTCTCTCAGGTCCCTCTCCCTGGTCCCTCTCTCTAGTCCCTCTCTCTGCTCTCTCTCTTTCTCTGTAGTCTCTCTAAACAGAAGCGAACTGTTTTAGAGGCAGGGACTCGAGTGCTATTGTTGTGGTTTGAAAGTTATGTAGCCAAGCTTTAAGGTTACATACCCCAGCTTTATTGCTTAGAATAAGGACAGGTAAAATATATTGTTAATCCCTGTGTTTCCTCTGTGTTATCGCAGGTCTGTGGTGAAAATGAGGAAATAAACCAAGACTTCACTTTGAGCTTCGCCTCTGCTTCCTTTGCCCCGCCCAGGCCACGCCCCTCTACGGTTAAAGACCACGCCCCGTTACTGTTACAGGCCACACCCCTCTTCTGTTACACTCACAAACAACTATAAGGTCTCATACGGTCTATACACACATACCTGTAACTGACACATACACACCTGTATCTGACACACACACCTGTAACTGACACACACACCTGTATCTGACACACACACTTGTACCTGACACACACACCTGTATCTCCCGATGCCCAAAACCGGTAAGGCGGTGTGCAGAGCCGACCCAGACGACGATGAGGCCGTGGAGTCGGCGCGAGATCTGCTCTCGCACGAGGACTGTGCTCTGGACTCGTTCAAGAAAAGCGCACTGATCGTAGAGGTGGGCGGGGCTAAGGAGGAGGCGGAGTCAGAGGAAGAGGAGGAGGAGCGACCGGCCTGGAGCAGTAAGCTGCAATACATCCTGGCCCAGGTCGGCTTCTCCGTGGGACTTGGCAACGTGTGGCGGTTTCCATACCTCTGTCAGAAGAACGGAGGAGGTGAGAGACCAGAGAGATACCAGAAAGAGACCAGAGAGAGAAACCAGAGAGAGTGACCAGAGCGACCAGAAAGAGACCAGAGAGAGAAACCAGAGAGAGAACAGAGAGAGAGACCAGAAAGAGACAAGAGAGTGATCAGAGAGAGACCACAGAAAGAGAGAGTTGAGAGAAAGACTAGAGAGAGACCAGACCACAAATGCACGCACACCAAACATAGAACAAACATAGAACAGTAGGATACTTTTTCACAGATGATACAAAATGTTCCTTGTGTGTGTCCTGGTCTCCTGCAGCTTTCTCTGTAATTAGATTAACCTCCAGCCACCCCATGTGTGTGTCTGTGTGTGCGTGTGTTTCCCCTTCACAGCAAGCGTCTGCGCAGATTAAAGTAAAAACATCTCAGCTGAAGAAGTCCTGCTTGTGTCCAGTTTAAAGCTGGGGTCCCTGACTTTTCTGCTTCATAAAGAACACATGTAGTTTTTTCCAGTAGATAGAGTCTTTTAAAAGTAAAATGTGATCAATACCAGAACAAATGTTGTCTTCATTTTCATTAGAAACATGATAGAAAGTTAGAAAGCATGACTATTTGACTCTTTGGGCTGAGAGCTGATTGGCTGAGTGAGGGTGGTCCTCTCTAAAAAGATGTGACAGAGGCCGAACATACATGACGTGAAAACTAGTGTCTCATATGTCACTCACATCTCGGATCTCTCTCGACTCCGTGTCCTAGGGGCGTACCTGGTCCCGTACCTGATCTTGCTGGTCCTCATCGGGATCCCCCTGTTCTTCCTGGAGCTTGCTGTGGGACAGAGGATTCGGCGCGGGAGTATCGGGGTCTGGAACTACATCAGCCCGCGGCTCGGGGGCATCGGCTTCGCCAGCTGCGTGGTGAGTACCCGTCACTAACTCACTCTGAAGAGGCGCTCCTGCTGTGTGGCTGTGTGGCTCCTGCACCTTCACCAGTGGACCCGGTTTCCGTGGTTTTGCCCAGCTCAATCACATGAGTTTTACATGAGTCACTTCTATAAAATTAAATTGACTGGGACTTGCTGGTGCTCTGTGTCTGATGCAGGTGTGTTTCTTCGTGGCGCTCTACTACAACGTGATCATCAGCTGGAGCCTCTTCTACTTCTCTCAGTCCTTTCAGCAGCCGCTGCCCTGGCACGAATGTCCTCTGGTCAAGAACAAGACCTCCACATGTGAGCCTGAGACCAGAGACCAGAGAGACCAGAGAGACCAGAGAGACCATAGAGACCAGAGAAACCAGAGAGACCATAGAGACCAGAGGCCAGAGAGAGACCAGAGACCAGAGAGATCAGAGAGAACAGAGAGACCAGAGAGACCAGAGAAACCAGAGAGACCATAGAGACCAGAGGCCAGAGAGAGACCAGAGACCAGAGAAATCAGAGACCAGAAAGATACCAGAGAAACCAGAGACCAGAGACACCAGAGATCAGAGTGAGAGAGAGAGAGAGAATTGTCAGTTTTCGGCCTTTAAACTTTTGCTTTAAAGGCAGAAAACTGCTCTGAGTGTGATGTCATAGTGGTACAATGACATCATACTATTCGTTCCTGATATTAACGTGGATGGAGCTAAACACAACTCCAGGTCTGAGACGAAGGAGGAACTCACTCTATCTTAAAGGACACATATAAACTGGATTCTTTCTCTTTTATCAGGTTCCAATGTTGACCTGCAGTTGTGTTTTGCCCCATTCGAGTGTGAGGAGTTTGATAACTGACTTGAGCTTGTTCTCAGATGTGGTCCCGGAGTGTGAGAAGAGCTCGGCCACCACCTTCTACTGGTACCGCGTGGCTCTGGACATCTCCGACAACATCTCTGAGAGCGGAGGCCTGAACTGGAGGATGACATTGTGTCTGTTGGCGGCCTGGACCATGGTCTGTCTGGCCATGATCAAAGGCATCCAGTCCTCCGGGAAGGTACTAGAACACACATAACTGTATAATACTGTGAAAGAACCTCTCCTCCGCAAGGGTACTAGAACACACATAACTGTATATACTGTGAAATAACCTGTCCTCCGCAAGGGTACTAGAACGCACAACATTACACTCTGAACAAACCAGTCCTCCGAGAAGGTACTAGAATGCTACAGCTCTACAAAGACACTAGTGTAGCTCCTGATGACAGCTCTACAGAGACACTAGCTCCTGATGACAGCTCTACAGAGACTGTAGCTCCTGATGACAGCTCTACAAAAACACTAGCTCCTGATGACAGCGCTACAGACACACTAGCTCCTGATGACAGCTCTACAGAAACACTAGCTCCTGATGACAGCTCTACAGAGACACTAGCTCCTGATGACAGCTCTACAGAGACACTAGCTCCTGATGACAGCTCTACAGGCGCACTAGCTCCTGATGACAGCTCAACAGAAACACTAGCTCCTGATGAAAGCTCTACAGAGACACTAGCTCCTGATGACAGCTCTACAGAGACACTAGCTCCTGATGACAGCTCTACAGAGACACTAGCTCCTGATGACAGCTCTACAGACAAACTAGCTCCTGATGACAGCTCTACAGAAACACTAGCTCCTGATGAAAGCTCTACAGACACACTAGCTCCTGATGACAGCTCTACAGAAACACTAGCTCCTGATGAAAGCTCTACAGAGACACTAGCTCCTGATGACAGCTCTACAGAGACACTAGCTCCTGATGACAGCTCTACAGAGACACTAGCTCCTGATGAAAGCTCTACAGAGACACTAGCTCCTGATGACAGCTCTACAGACACACTAGCTCCTGATGACAGCTCTACAGAAACACTAGCTCCTGATGAAAGCTCTACAGAGACACTAGCTCCTGATGACAGCTCTACAGAGACACTAGATCCTGATGACAGCTCTACAGAGACACTAGCTCCTGATGAAAGCTCTACAGAGACACTAGCTCCTGATGACAGCTCTACAGAAACACTAGCTCCTGATGAAAGCTCTACAGAGACACTAGCTCCTGATGAAAGCTCTACAGAGACACTAGCTCCTGATGACAGCTCTACAGAAACACTAGCTCCTGATGAAAGCTCTACAGAGACACTAGCTCCTGATGACAGCTCTACAGAGACACTAGCTCCTGATGAAAGCTCTACAGAGACACTAGCTCCTGATGACAGCTCTACAGAAACACTAGCTCCTGATGAAAGCTCTACAGAGACACTAGCTCCTGATGACAGCTCTACAGAGACACTAGCTCCTGATGACAGCTCTACAGACACACTAGCTCCTGATGACAGCTCTACAGAAACACTAGCTCCTGATGACAGCTCTACAGAGACACTAGCTCCTGATGACAGCTCTACAGACACACTAGCTCCTGATGACAGCTCTACAGAAACACTAGCTCCTGATGAAAGCTCTACAGAGACACTAGCTCCTGATGACAGCTCTACAGAGACACTAGATCCTGATGACAGCTCTACAGAGACACTAGCTCCTGATGAAAGCTCTACAGAGACACTAGCTCCTGATGACAGCTCTACAGAAACACTAGCTCCTGATGAAAGCTCTACAGAGACACTAGCTCCTGATGACAGCTCTACAGACACACTAGCTCCTGATGACAGCTCTACAGAGACACTAGCTCCTGATGACAGCTCTACAGAGACACTAGCTCCTGATGACAGCTCTACAGACACACTAGCTCCTGATGACAGCTCTACAGAGACACTAATGTAGCTCCTGTTCTCTGTACAAGTCCTAGATCAACGTCTCAACACGTTCTCCTCGTCTGTTCTGTGTGGATTTGGCGTGAGATCAGTGATAAGACCAAATCAAAGAGTTTCCTGGGATTAAAGCGGGGGCCCTATTGTGGAATTATCGTCACAAAAACTATTCTGTTGGTTTTGAGACGGAAGAGGAGGAAGTGAGGGAGGATGACCTGAGAAGACGTTAATCCTCTCAGGTGGTGGCCACGTGGAGCTCAGGTCTCAGGCTCGCTCCAGTGTCTCCTACAACTTTGTTTTTGTGTATTGCCCTAAATTGTCTTGGGGAACTTTGTAAGTTGTGGATTCACCAGCAACATATCAAACCACTCTCTCTGGTCTCTCTCTTTGCTCTGTCTAGTCTTTCTCTGGTCTCTCTTTTTCTAGTCTCTGTCTCTAGTCTCTTTCTAGTCTCCGGTCTTTCTCTGGTCTCTCTCTGGTCTGTCTCTGGTCTGTCTCTAACCTTACTCTGGTCTCTCTCTCTGATCTCACTCTGGTCTCTGATCTCTCTCTAGTCCCTCTCGAGTCTCTCTCTGGTCTTTATCTGGTCTGTCTCTTGTCTCTTTTTGGTCTCTCTCCCTGGTCTCTCTCTAATCTCTCCATATTCTCTCTCTTGTCTATCTCAAGTCTCTCTCTATGGTTGTGGGTTGTTAACAGTGGAAGGAGAAAAACGGGGCTGGTCAGAGCAATGGTCTGAATACAGGACAATACAGATACTTTACAAAGTCTGCCCTGGGCTCATTTCCCATCATGCCCTGGGGCTCTGTAGTCTTTCTCCCTTTGGACACGGGCCCCTGCACCTTTGAAGCGCTCACAATGAACCCCGGTCTGGACCAGGACTCGGCGTGGGAGGGCGGTCCGGTCCTGTTGCCATGGAAACTCGCGCTCTTTCGCAACTTGGCTCCAGCTGTGAAAAGTGTGGCGTTCACAAAAGGCCAAAGTTAAAGAGGAGAGATTTTAAAAGAGAGAAGGAGCAGAAGGGTGCGGGGGGAGAGGACCACATGCTTGTACCATAGGCTGGACCAGGTCTAAAGCAGGACTAAATCAGGACTGAAGCAGGACTAAAGCAGGTCTAGGACTAGGACTTAATCAGGACTGTAGCAGGAATAAATCAGGTCTAAAACAGGTATGAAGCAGGACTAAAGCAGGTCTAGGGCAGGACTAAAGCAGGACTAAAGCAGGACTGAAGCAGGACTAAAGTAAGTTTAAAGATGGTCTAAAACAGGTATGAAGCAGGACTTAAGCAGGTCTAGGGCAGGACTAAAGCAGGTCTGAAGCAGGCCTAAAGCAGGACTAACTCAGGACTGAAGCAGGACTAAAGTAAGTCTAAAGCTGGTCTAAAGCCGGACTTAAGCAGGGTTAAAGGCAGGTCTAAAGCAGGACTAATGCAGGACAAAAGACTTATTTATTTAAGAAAGCTTTTAGTTGATTGGGTTCTCACTGATGTCACTTTTAAGTACATAAAATGTGTAATGTGTGTAAGTGTATTTTATATTGTTTTGTATTTGCCCACTGTCCTGTACAGCACTTTGTGATTTTTATCTGTGAAAAGCGCTTTATAAATAAACTTTACTTACTTACTTACTTACTTACAAAACCAGGACTAAATCAGGACTGAAGCAGGACTAAAGCTGGTCTAAACCAGGACTAAATCAGGACTGAAGCAGGACTAAAGTAAAGCTGGTGTAAAGCAGGTCTAAAGCAGGACTACAGAAGGACTAAAACTGTTTTGTTAAAATATCTGTTTCGTGCCTAGGTTTTAAATTGATCAAACTCTAACTAACTAAAGTAGGAAAAAGCAGGACTAAGCCTTGGATCCAGTATAATATCTGTTTCTTCCGAGAGGTCCCCAGTTCGAAGCCATTATTGACTTGAACGGGCCGCCATTTTGGATTGGAGAGAGCGGGCTTGGACAGAATGTATTTTCATGACGCTCATCTTCATGTCTGCAGGTGTGAGTGTCACTGTGGTCGTCTCTTACTCAACTTTTTGTCTGCAGGTCATGTACTTCAGCTCCCTGTTCCCGTACCTGGTCCTGATCTGTTTCCTGGTCCGAGCTCTGCTGCTGAAAGGCTCTGTGGACGGGATCAAACACATGTTCACCCCGCAGGTACTGAACTGGGTCTAAAGCAGGTCTGAAGCAGGTCTAAACCAGGACTAAACTAAGACTAAACCAGGTCTAAACCAGCTCTGAACCAGGTCTTTTGTAAAGCGTCTTTGAGTGTCCAGAAAAGCGCTATATAAGTACGATGTATTATTATTATTATTATTAAACCAGGTCAAAACCATGTCTAAACCAGGACTAAACCACGTAAGTAAGTAAGTAAGGTTTATTTATATAGCGCGTTTTACAGACCAAGGTCACCCAAAGCGCTTTACAAAGAATTTTTTTTTGCTAACTGAAATTTCTTTGCTCAGCGAACCAGGACTAAACCAGGACTAAACCAGGACCAAACCAGGTCTAAACCAAGACCAAACAAGGTCTAAACCAGATAATAAACCAGGTACTAAACCAGGTCAAAACCAGGTCTAAAACCACATACTATACCAGGTCCAAACCAGGTCCAAACCAGGTCTAAAACCACATACTATACCAGGTCCAAACCAAAGTCGAAACCAGGACTAAACCAGGACTAAACCAGGTTCAAACCAGGTACTAAACCAGGTCTAAACCAGGTCTGAACCGAGTCCAAACCAGGTCTAACCCAGGCCCATCCCCTCTGATCCTGCAGTTGGAGATCATGCTGGACCCAAAGGTGTGGAGGGAGGCGGCCACACAGGTGTTCTTCGCTCTGGGCCTGGGCTTTGGAGGAGTCATCGCCTTCTCCAGCTACAACAAACGCAACAACAACTGTCACTTCGACGCCGTCCTCGTCTCCTTCATCAACTTCTTCACGTCGGTTCTGGCCACGCTGGTCGTGTTTGCCGTGCTGGGCTTCAAGGCCAACATCATGAACGACAAATGTGTTGCTGCGTAAGTCCAGCTCGAGCCATAAAGCTGCGGTACCTGACTTTAGTCTGAATGACACTGAGAGCTGTGTGGCCAAGAAACTGTTCTCTCTCTGCTCTTTCTCTGGTATCTCTTTGGTCTCTCTGGCCCCTTGCTGGTCTCCCTCTGGTCCCTCTCTTGTGTCTCTCTCTCTCTATTTAGTCTTTCTCTGGTCTTTCTCTGGTCTTTCTCTGGACTCTCTTCGGTCTTTCTCTGGTCCCTCTCTGGTCTCTCTCCCTGTCTCTGGTGTCTCTCTGGTCTCTCTCTGGTCTTTCTCTGGTCTCTCTCTGTTCTCTCTCTGTTCTTTCTCTGGTCTTTCTCTGGACTCTCTTCGGCCTTTCTCTGGTCTCTCTGGTCCCTCTCTGGTCTCTCTCTCTGTCTCTGGTGTCTCTCTGGTCTCTCTCTGGTCTCTCTCTGGTCTCTCTCTGGTCCCTCTCTGGTCTCTCTCTCTGTCTCTGGTGTCTCTCTGGTCTTTCTCTGGTCCCTCTCTGGTCTCTCTCTCTGTCTCTGGTGTCTCTCTGGTCTTTCTCTGGTCCCTCTCTTGTCTCTCTCTATTCCCTCTCTGGTGTCCCTCTAGTGCCTCTCTTGTCTCTGTGGTCTTTCTCGTGTCTCGTTTTTCACTTTTCTGTCTGAAAAAGCTGAAGATGTGAGAGGATGTAAAACATGGATGTGAAAACTAGACCAGACAGGGGTCGAGATCAAGAAAAGGACCGAATCCAGGACTATGGCCAGGACCAAAACCAGGACCAAAACAAAAACCAGGACCAAGACCTAATATTATGTTTCCTTTTGGGTAAATACAGTACGTCAGTAAAGTCACACACCCCAGCTTTAAAGTGACACACTCCAGCTTTAGAGGAGGGGTGTGTGTTTGTGTGTTGAGTGTTGTTTTGTGTTGCAGGAACACACAGCGGCTCCTGTCCCTCCTGGGCCACCGGGTCGAGCTCAGTCTGATCCCGCACCACATAAACCTGTCTGCGCCCGAGTCTGTGACGGCGGAGGACTACCAGCAGATCATCCAGGTGCTACGGGGCGTGGAGGAGGACGACTTCAGGAGCCTGGGCCTGGAGATCTGCAGCATCGAGAAGGAGCTCAACCAGGTCTGAGCAAAATCTCCCACACTGCTCTATAGACCGCTGCTGAGGTCTCCCTCGGGTCTCTCTCTCTCTTCGGTCTCTCTTTGGTCTCTCTCTCTGGTCTCTCTCTGGTCTCTCACTCTGGTATCTCTTTGGTCTCTCTCTCTCTGGCCACTCTCTCTGGTCTGACTCTCCACTCTGTCTCTGGTCTCTCCTTGGTCTCTCTCTCTGGGCTCTCTCTCTCTCGCTCTGGTCTTTCTCGCTGTCTGGTCCCTCTCTCTGGTCTCTCTCTGGTCTGTGTCTGGTCTCTCTGGTCTTTCTCTCTGTCTGTCCCCTCTCTCTCTCTGGTCTCTCGCTCTGGTCTCTCTTTCTCTGGTCTGTCTCTGGGCTCTCTCTCTGGACTCTGGTCTCTCTGCTCTCTCTCTCTCTCTGGTGTGTCACTCTGGTCCTTCTCTCTGGTGTCTCTCTCTGCTCTCTCTCTCTCTGGTCTCTCTGCTCTCTCTCTGCTCTCTCACTCTGGTGTCTTGCTCTGGTATCTCTCTGGTCTCTCTCTCTGGTCTCTCTCTCTGGTCTCTGGTCTCTGTGGCCTGTCCTGAAGTGCTCTCCTCTCCACAGACGGTGCAGGGCACAGGTCTGGCCTTCATTGCCTTCACTGAGGCCATGACCCACTTTCCTGCTGCTCCGTTCTGGTCCGTGCTGTTCTTCCTGATGCTGGTGAACCTGGGGCTGGGATCCATGTTCGGGACCATCGAGGGCATTCTGACTCCTCTCATCGACACCTTCAAAGTGCGCAAGGAGCTGCTGACGGGTAAACTCCTCCTTCTGCTCCTCCTCCTCCTTGTCCTTACTCCTACTCCATCTCCTCCTTTTACTCCTCCTCCTTCTCCTCCTAGTCCTCCACTTCCTCCTAGTCCTTGCTCCTAATCCATCTCCTTCTCCTCCTCTGGCTCCATCTTCTACTCCTCCTCATACTCCATACTCCTGCTCCCCCTCTTGCTCCTCCTTCTCATCCTAGTCCATGCATCTAGTTCTCATCCATCCCCTTCTCCTCCTCTTACTCCATCTCCTACTCCTGCCCCTCCTCATACGCCATCTCCTTCTCTTCCCTCGACTCCATCTTCTTCTACTCCTCCTCCGTCTGCTCTTACTCCTCCTCCTCCTACATCACAGCAGTGTTTATGTCCTCCTCTCTGATGTGTTTTATGTGTTTCCAGTCAGTTGCTGTGTCTTCTATAATCTGTGTGTTGTGTGTTTGCAGTGGGCTGTTGTGTACTCGCCTTCTGCATCGGTCTCCTCTTCGTTCAGCGATCTGGAAACTACTTTGTGACGATGTTTGATGATTACTCCGCGACGCTGCCGCTGATGATTGTGGTGGTCCTGGAGAATGTGGCGGTGGCCTGGGTCTACGGGGTGGACAAGTGAGGACCATACACACACACACACACACAAAATTGACTCAAGTGACCCATGTGAGGGCCACACACACACACACACAACCCGCATGTGTGTTTCAAAGCTCTGATGTGTGTTGCCAGGTTCTTCGAGGACCTCAAGGACATGCTGGGCTTCACTCCGTACAGGTTTTACTTCTACATGTGGAAGTTCATCACCCCCATCCTCCTGCTGCTGCTGCTGGCCTCCAGCTTCATCCAGCTGCTCATGACCCCACCCAGCTACAGCGCCTGGAACAAGGAACAGGTCTGTATCACAGTCTATATAACCACAGCCTGTATGTATACTGTGTGTTATGTTTTATAACAGTCTGTATCACAGTACTGTATATACTGAGTGTTATATACTATACCAGTCTATAATGTGATTCTTGAAGCTCGGTGGCTCCACTCTGAGGACGCTTTGGAGATTACACTCAGGCAGCTTCATGAGAGCTTTATGAGTGAATAAGTGTGTAATCTGCTCTCTGATTGGACTCTCTCCTCATCCATCCATCCATCCATTTTCTTCCCCTTAATCCATTTCTGGGTCGGGGGGGTGGCAGTCAGAGCTGCACCCAGTACACTTAGCACCAGCCCCTCACTGATCCTCCTGCAGGTGATGAGTCCACAGAAGCTCTCTCTTCATGTGACACTCATTCTCCTCTCTGATTGGTTCTCTCACCTCCTCTTGGATTGCCCCCCTCTGACGGACTCACTCTCTCTCCTCCTCCTCTTCTCTCATTGGCCCTCTCCTCTCTCTCTTCCGCAGGCGTCCGCGCAGCAGCTGCCCTTCCCCACATGGGGCGTGGTGACCTGCGTGTCTCTGGTTGTCATAGCAATCCTGCCTGTGCCACTGGTCTTTGTCCTGAGGGCGTGTGGCGTGGTGGACGAGGGCCGCTCTGTGGCGTACCAGAAGGGACGCATGGTTGTGGACACGCCCGACGACACGGATCACGAGAGCCTGCTCCACGCGCCCTCGCCTCAGCCCGCCATGCACCGCAAGCACAGCGTCACCACCGCTAACGGCGCTAATGCTAACAATGCTAATGAGGCTAATGCTAAGAGTGCTAACGAGGTCAATGGGACAGCGGGAGGCTGGTACCACTTGGCGGCGCTGCCCGACATGCCCGAGTCGGACTTGTAAACACAGAAGAAGACAGAAGAAGACAGTGTAGAGCAGCAGAGCAGCAGAGCATCAGAGCGGTCTTCAGGTCCTCAGGTCTTCAGGTCCTCAGGTCTTCAGGTCTTCAGGTCTTCAGGTCTTCAGGAAGTGGGTGGAGTCTGTGCTGCTGCTGTTGGAATGCATCTGCAGCACACGACCCTTTGAGGACCGCTCTGACCGCTCTGCTGTAAAGAGATTGTGTCGTAGATTTCTGCCGTCACTTCAGGAGGTGTTTAGTTCAACATTCGGGATGACAGTATTAAAGAGACCAGAGACCCAGAAAGAGACCAGAATGAGACCAGAGAGAGACCGGAGGTCAAATCAGAGATATCCAAAACTGTGACCTTTGTGTGAGTCTAAAACTGAGACTTCAAAGAAGTGTAAAAATGTGGAATTATGAACCAAAAAGTGACGAGCTTTTGATCTAAAACTGAAACTTTATTGTAGATTATGAACAGTGCGTTTTAGAAGTTGGGTCCTGCGGGTCTGGATTTTGACCTCAGGATTTACTCTGTTTGTGGATGTTCTGTTGCTTCAAATCTGCAGTGGGACTTAACCCAATGTTAAACCAGTTCTGGGTTATTGAAAGATCCTGGTCCTCTCAAGATCCAAAATCCTGGTCCTCTTCAGATCCAGGTCTTGGTCCTGGTCTTCTTCAGATCCTGGTCCTCTCCAGGTGCAGAGGTGGAGGACTGTGTCTCAGAGGACCATGTGTTCTGTGAATCCAATAGCACTTTGCACAATGTGGATTTTGTGGATAAATTCTTGGAACTGTTCCAGATGGTTCCGGATCAGCTCGGCTCGGCTCGGTCTCTGGGCCTCGTGTTGATGGAGGCTGAATGTCTGCTTGAGATGTTTAGACATGTGTAGAACGCCAGTCAGACGTATGTACAGCGCCCCCCGTAGGTCACATACTGGACCTGTCACTAATATGCAGTTATTTTACACGTCTTTATTTCAAATGTGTCAAACGCTTTGTTCTTTTGTCTCCTGTGAAAATTCAGTGCAAACAATAAAAACTGTGAAAGAGCATTTGTGTTTGAGAATGTTTTATAACATTTACATTCAAATTAAGATTGGATACATAACTCTAGTCACAAAAATAACATGTAGTTTGTCCAACAGAGAGAATGTTGAACACCCTCAAGAGAGGGCAGCTCCCACAGACTGTGGTTCTTCAAAGACTAAAGTAAGTGTAATACTCAACTGCGTCTCTCTAAATAATGGACTGCAATATATGATCTCAACGCTAGATGGCAGTAAAAACTACTGACTGTACAACGGTTACTATTGAGACTAAAGTTACATACCCCTGCTTTAAAGTATACTCTGTGCAATTTTTACAGTTGCTCCAACTAAAAAACATGTTAACCAATCACAAATGGTCTATATAAGAATATTTACCTCCACCATGTTTTTGAATTGTTGTCATAGGCTAAGAATCTGACTTATAAATGTCTGTGAGGCTGGAGGACGCTCCAGGTTAATGTGTCATGTTGATCCACCAGTGGTGGATAAGGGAGGACCACAGTTATGTAACAGAACGACACGAACAAGAATCTTTTAGAAACAGTAGTATGCAAAAATCTAGAAACCGGCGTCATGACAGCAAACTGTCAACATTGCAAACCACACGCATTTGTGCCCAAAAAAAAAATTCTGAGTGTTAATGCATATAATGTTATCAGTTGTGTTCCCTAGAATCAGGAAATTTATTTATTTTTTTACAATTTTGGATATTGCCTTGAAAATAATTGCATTTTTAGGGCTAGCAACTATAGTTGCCGTGGGTAAATAGCTTTTCAGTAGGTCATAATGGATATTATAACTGGATATAATCAACCCAGAAAGGTTGTGATCAGTTAAACTGATTGTGATTGATTCCTCCTTTTATAAAATCCTAAACAACAAACAACTTGAACGGTTTCTGTATTCTAAAATAAAATATTTTTTTTTTTCAAAAAAGTAAATTTCCCATTGGCAATTTTTAAAAGCAGCTAAAAAATGGCTTTAGCCTACAAGTACTTTCTATTGGCTTTTCTTTTTCCCAACAGCAAAACAATAACAAGGTCTGATGCCAAGGGTAATCTCAAGAAAGTATACTATAGATATCCATGTTATATAAATGTATTCTGCCCTATACACACTCACGCAGTATGATACTTGAAGCACTCCACATTTCTCACAGAACTTGCATCTGTGAGAAACTTGTACTTGTACTTGCTACCGCTGGTGCAGGGCCAGTGTTTGAGGTGGTCGAACCTGCCGGCATCAGCCATGCCCACTTCATCTTACTCCAGGCACGTCCAAACTCAGGCCCCCGGGCCAATTGCGGCCCTCTGGGCCATTTTATGTGGCCCGCTGCTGCAAACACAAAGTCGCAATTGAGCCACTTCGATAGTGTCATCCAACAAACTTCAGCTCCACCAATACAGTCAAATCTCAGACTCTCAGTAATCCAGTCGTTGACTCTATCGTTATTTACTGACATTTATTGTTATTTACTGACATTTGTTTTATGATTGTGTCACAACATTCCACATAAAATGCAGCTGTGGTGTGAATCAATAACAACCTATCATAACTCATTTTAAATTACAGAATCCAGTCAATCCAGCTCAAATCCAGAGTTTTTTAAAGCCAGGTCGTCGACCCAGGTCAAGTCTGATGGACTAAAGTGGCCCTCTTACTAAAAGTCTGAACACTTGTGTCTTACTCCACGACGCTGGAGGAGGGTCTGGGCCACAGACACATCAAAATCGAACAGAACTACAAAATATGATCTCAGGTGGGAGTAAAAACTACACAGTGTGCCTTTAAACCTGTGTTATTTATGAGAATAAAGTTACGGACCCCAGCTTTAATCAGTTTATTCAATGTTTATCGCTTTAAAATAAAAACAAATATAAATTCTCTTTTTATTATAGATTTCACATTTTACAAAAGGCACAAAAATAAAATAATGGCTTAAAAACGTTTCATCAGAATAAATCACAGTTCTACCAAACCAGACCAGTCCAGGACCAGACCAGACCGGTCCAGGACAGAACCAGACCAGACCCAGACTCAGACCAGGACTGGACCAGGATTGGACCAGAAACTGACCAGACCAGACCAGGACCACAACCAGACAAGGACTAGACTAGAACTGAAACAGAACCGGGTCAGACCCAGGCTTGTGGAAGGACCAGAGAAGCTCCTCCAGCTTGTGTCCCTTTTCGTCTTCATCGGAGGTAAAGTTCTCAACGTGTCGGTCCCTTTTTCAGGAGCGTTCTGAGGAATAAGAAGAAGAAGAAGAAGAGGAAGAGGAGGCGTCAGAGATCAGGAACAAAACACCAACTCCTAGTGAGAGTTTGAAGCTTTTTGCCAAGAAGAATGTAGAGTTTTACCATCACAAAGAGAGACGATAGACAGACCAGAGTGAGATCAGAGAGAGTCCAGAAAAAGACAAGAGAAAGACCAGAGAGAGAGAGAGAGAGCCAGAGATGAGAGAGAGACCAGAGAGAGACCAGAGAGACACCATAGGGAGATCAGAGAGAGACCAGCGAGAGAGAGACCTGGGGGATGGAGACTTCTGAAGAGGATCAGAAAGAGGAGTTTCTGACCACGTTATCATTTGAACAAACAAGAACAGGCTCCAAACAACCACAAGAATGAGGGGGATGTGTCCTCACCCGCCTCCCCCACCTCACTGCTGCGTCTCCCTCATGCTGGCGGCCATCTTGTCCCTCCTCTCGCAAACTCGGCTCAGGTCTCGCATTTCTCTGGGCAGAGAACTGCTCCAAACAGTCACCAGCGACTCGTCCTCTGTGAAGGAAGTGAGCGGTTACACTTATGCTGGTTCTACTGAGGACCAGAGAGGGCAGGACCGGACCAGAGCGGACAGGACCAGACCAGAGGGGACAGGACCAGACCAGAGAGGGCAGGACTGGACCAGAGCGGACAGGACCAGACCAGAGGAGACAGGACCAGACCAGAGAGCACAGGACCAGACCAGAGAGGACATGGTCAAGCTAAAACAACTGCTTTTAGTCCAGTTTAGTCCAGTCATTAAAATTCTCCAGATGCTTAAAGCTGGGGTATGTAACTTTCAGACCACAACGTGTAAATACAATTTGTGTTGAACTAGCTAAAAGTGTTATTTATGAAAGTGAGGTACCCCAGCGTTTTAAAACTTACAGTCATAGAGAACTCACCAAATTGAGTCTTGTCCTGACGCGGTTTTCGGCCTAAAACCAGAACCACGTTTCTCCAGTTCGGAAAATCTAGAAAATGATGTAAAAAGATCAGATTTAAAGAAGGCAAGAGAGAGAGAAGAGAGTGACCAGAGAGAGAGAGCGAGAGAGCAGAGAGTGAGATCAGGGAGAGAGAGGAGAGTGACCAGAGAGAGCAGAGAGAGAGACCAGAGAGAGAGAGAGCAGAGAGAGAGACCAGAGAGTGATCTTAGACCAGAGCGTGACCAGAGAGAGAGAGAGGGCAGAGGGAGAGCGAGAGAGCGAAAGACCAGACAGAGAGACCAGAGAAAGACCAGAGACAGACCAAGGACAGACCAGACCAAAAAGAGCACACACCATTTTGGGCCTAAAACACATGCTTTCTGTTATCCTGTTTATATTGTGATACTGTCTTCCAGATATGAGCCAAATAAAGATTGACCAATCAGATTCATTTCTGGGAAAACTCCATCTTGTCTTAGCAACCGCCTTAGCAACACGTAGTTTCCTGTAACAATGTGAATGAGCCTCACGTCTGTTCTCTCACCTGCGTGCGCGGACACCATGTGGCGCACACTCTGGGCCCCGCTCCACAGCACCTGCAGCGCGCTGGTCTTATTCAGCTCCACCAGGACAATGTGGCCTCCTCTGGTGCCCACCCACAGACCCACACAGGACTGGACCCACAGAGACTTCACCTCGGCCCAAGACGGAGGACACTGAGAGGGGACAAGGCCATGGGAGGAGGTCGCACACTGTCTGAGGAGAGAACACAGCTTCTGTCAGCTTCAGTCTTCCCCTCTCTCTCTCTCTCTCTGTCAGCTTCAGTCTTCCCCTCTTTCTCTCTCTCTCCTCTCTCTGTCAGCTTCAGTCTTCCCCTCTCTCTCTCTCTCCTCTCTGTCAGCTTCAGTCTTCCCCTCTCTCTCTTTCTATCTCTCTCCTCTCTCCTCTCCTCCCTCTCACTCTCCTCTCTCTGTCAGCTTAAGTCTTCCCCTCTCTCTCTCCTCTCCTCCCTCTCTATCTTCTCTCTGTCAGCTTCAGTCTTCTCCTCTCTCTCTCTCCTCTCTCTGTCAGCTTCAGTCATAGAGAGTAGCTCTTCTGTCAGCTGCAGTCTTCCCCCTCTCTCTTTCTCCCTCTCTCCCCTCTCCCTTTTCCCTTCTCTCTCTCCTCTCTTCCCCCTCTCTCTCTCTTCTATCAGCCGTACCTGATGACTCGAGCACAGTCGACGTGCTCCACCATCTTCTCCGAGCATCGGTCCCACACCTCCACCGCGCTCGCTCCGACTCGGCTCAGGTACAGCAGCTTATCCACCGCCAAGCGCGAGATGTAGGCGTCTGAGGGCGGAGCTTCTGAGGGAGGAGTCTCTGAGGGCGGGGCTTCAGAGGGTGGGGCACGCGGCCTGCAACAGAGACCAGGACCAGGTCTAAAACTAGTTGACATAACCAAAAAAATAAAAATACAAAATACAACGGAGAGATGTACACCTGACATAACTAGGATCACTAAGGTTGTGCAAAAGACAGGAAATGTGCAAACAACATGAAAAATAGAGAAAAGATAGTCTTATGTAGATATAAATTCAAAGTGCGCAGTCCTAGATAATGATAAAGTGCATCATGTGCTCACGGTGACAGACAGGTGTGAACGCTGGGCACAAACATTTGGATCATGTATTCTTACACACTTGAAGACATAGCTTTGTAGTCATTACACTAGGCCCAAACGATCTTCCAAATACAAAATACACTGAACAAATACGCCAACAAAACACACATTTTACCAGGTATAACCAGATTTGCCATCAGGACAAGCCCTTGAGTCTAATTTCAAATTCCACTTCAATTAATTTCCTAATAGAAACAGCTGCCCTGGGGCAGACTGACAGAAGCAAGGCAACCAGTCTGTGCCATCGGCCCCACCCACCCCCCCAACCCCACCAAGCATTCACACACACACACAGAGACTTCTTACTGTATGTGGGTGAAGTGTCTTGCCGAAGGACACAACAACTCAGAATAGGTTCCACGCAGGCCTGACAAAAGAACACTCACGGCTTGGCTCGGATATACACACTTGGGTCAGAACATTCATGACTTGGTCGGGTCAGAACACTTGGGTCAGAACACTCACGGCTTGGCTCGGATCAGAACACTTGGGTCAGAACACTCACGGCTTGGCTCGGATCAGAACACTTGGGTCAGAACACTCACGGCTTGGCTTGGGTCTTGACTCGGGTCTTGGCTCGGGTCTCCAGGCTCTTACACACTTCGTACTTAGCAGAGAACATGAGGATCCTGGAGCCGTAGGCGCCCCAGAGCGCGCCGCCGTCCAGAGCGTGAGCCGAACGACCCAGACACAACAGCGGAGTGTTGACGGAGCCCAAGGACCAGGTCTTTACCGGCTCGCCCTGATCCTGCTGAAGAAAGGCCACCGTTTCGGAGGATTTAAAACACGCCTCAGCAACTTTAGTCTCATGAGCAACGCAAAAGTCGAAATCAGCCCTGCTTTAGTCCTACTTTAGACCCGCTTTAGTCCTGGTTTAGTCCTGGTTTAGTCCTGCTTTAGACCCGCTTTAGTCCTGGTTTAGTCCTGGTTTAGTCCTGCTTTAGACCCGCTTTAGTCCTGGTTTAGTCCAGCTTTAGTCCAGCTTTAGTCCTGCTTTAGTCCTGCTTTAGACCTGCTTTAGTCCTGCTTTAGACCTACTTTAGTCCTCCTTTAGTCCTCCTTTAGTCCTGCTTTAGTCCTGCTTTAGTCCTCCTTTAGTCCTACTTTAGACCTACTTCAGTACAGTTTAGTTGTCTTACACTCACCAGGAGAACGGAGTCTTCAAACACGGTGAGAGCGCCATCTGCTGTCCCCACAAGTAAGTAGCTCCTCCTCTGTCTGTAAACAAAGCAAACATCCACTTTTCAGATGAGAACTTCCTCTTTTATCGTCTGTGGAAGTCCTCTCCCCTCTCATACCTCCCCTCTCTATCCTCTCTTCCCTCCCCTCTCTATTGTATCTTCCCTTCTCTCTCCTCTCTTCCCTTCTCTCTCCGCTCTTCCCTTCTCTCTCCTCTCTTCCCTTCCCTCTCCTCTCCTCTCTTACCTCCCCTCTCTATCCTCTCTTCCCTTCTCTCTCCTCTCTTACCTCCCCTCTCTATCCTCTCTTCCCTTCCCTCTCCTCTCCTCTCTTACCTCCCCTCTCTATCCTCTCTTCCCTTCTCTCTCCTCTCTTCCCTCTCCTCTCCTCTTACCTCCCCTCTCTATCCTCTTCCCTTCCCTCTCCTCTCTCCTTTCTATCCTCTCTTCCCTTCCCTCTCCTCTCTCCTTTCTATCCTCTCTTCCCTTCCCTCTCCCCTCTCCTATTTCTCCTCTCTTCCCTCCCCTTGCTCTCCTCTCCTCTACCCACCCCTGTCCTCGCTCCTCCATCTCTCCCCCCTCTCCCCCCTGTCTCCTCTCTCTTACGTGCGTGTGGGGTGTGTATGGTAGTAGATGGAGGTCACTGCATCGGACACGCTCTGCAGCCGGTGTCTGAGGTTCCAGTCCTGAGTGTTCAGGACCAACAGAGACCCAGACTGAGTCCCAGCGACCAGCCACTCCCCAGCCCCCGAGACCTGCCCTAGGACCCTCCCTTCAGCACCAGAGACCTGGACCAGGACCATACACAGGACCGGACTAGTGTCAACCACCTGCAGCACAAAGAGCAGCGTTCGAGTGAAGTCACACCATTGAAGAAGAGACAAGAGAAAGACCAGAGAGAAACCAGAGAGAGACCAGAGAGAGACCAGAGAGAAACCAGAGATGAACCAGAGATGAACCAGTAAGAGACCAGAGACAGATCAGAGAAATAGTCCAGAGAGCGACCAGAGATGAACCAGAATGACACCAGAAACAGATCAGAGATGAACCAGAAAGAGACCGGAGATGAACCAGAGAGAGACCAGGGAAAGAGACCAGAGATGAACCAGAAAGAGACCAGAGACAGATCAGAGAAATAGACCAGAGAGAGACAACAGACCAGAGAGAGGGAAAAACAAACTTTCTGCCTGTAACCCATTTGTTGAGGCTGGAGGAACTACAGGTTTGAGCCAGAAGTTCCTGATATTAGCGTGGATGGAGATAAACACTACTGCAGGTCTGTGACTGAGGAGAAACACTGATGGAACATGGAAAAAAGAGAGAAAGGGATATTTAGAGGTTTCTACCGGAGAATGAACGAGTCCTGAGTCCATATCCACTGTACTGATGATCCCCTTATGTTCGGAGCTGCTTCCCCCTCCGAGCCAGACCACTGGAGAGGAGCCAGGACCAGGACCAGGACAAGGACAAGGACCAGAACCAGAACCAGAACCAGGACCAGAACCAGGACCAGGACCCGACCCGAGCAGGAGGCACGCAGCTGAGGACGTCAGCTGCAGCTCACTCAGCAAACACAGCACATCTGCAGAGTTCAGACGATGGAACACCTGAAACATGATCAGTGTCTGCTCAGGAGCTAAGCCGTGCAGGGCTTGTACAGTGCTGTGATGGGAGACATCTCTCTCCTCTCTTCACCCCCTTCTTGTCTACTCTTCTCTTCTCTTCACTCTCTTTCCCTCCTCTCCTCTCCCCGCCTTTGGCCTGTCTGCTGTCGTTGTGTCCTTGGCAAGACACTTAACCTCTGGGAACACCATGTGCCACAGTGGGGCGGCTACGGCTGTAAAGTGCCAAACTGCCATTCTGTCCTTAGGCAAGACACTTTACCCCCATTGCCTAGAATGAGTCTAGTGTGTGTGTGCATGGTTGGTGGTAGTCGGAGGGGCCGATGGCACATACTGGTTGCCTCGCTTCTGTCAGTGTGCCCCAGGGCAGTTGTGGCTACAGTAGTAGTTTATCAACACCGTGTATGAAGTGAAAGAATAATGACACATGTGAAGCGTCTTTGAGTGTCCAAAAAAGCGCTACAGTGCCTTGCGAAAGTATTCGGCCCCCTTGAACCTTTCAACATTTCGCCACATTTCAGGCTTCAGACATAAAGATATAAAAATTAATTTTTTTGTCAAGAATCAACAACAAGTGGGACACAATCGTGAAGTGGAACGAAATGTATTGGATAATTTAAACTTTTTTAACAAATAAAAAACTGAAAAGTGGGGTGTGCAATATTATTCGGCCCCCTTGCGCTAATACTTTGTAGCGCCTTTTGCTGCAATTACAGCTGCAAGTTGCTTGGGGTATGTCTCTATCAGTTTTGCACATCGAGAGACTGGAATTCTTGCCCGTTCTTCCTTGCGAAACAGCTCGAGCACAGTGAGGTTGGATGGAGAGCGTTTGTGAACAGCAGTCTTCAGCTCTTTCCACAGATTCTCGATTGGATTCAGGTCTGGACTTTGACTTGGCCATTCTAACACCTGGATACGTCTATTAGTGACCCATTCCATTGTAGATTTGGCTTTATGTTTTGGATCATTGTCCTGTTAGAAGATAAATCTCCGTCCCAGTCTCAGGTCTCCATAAACTCCTTCCATTTCAATATAATTGCTTGCACAGTGCTCCTTGAGATGTTTAAAGCTTGGGAAATCTTTTTGTATCCAAATCCGGCTTTAAACTTCTCCACAACAGTATCTCGGACCTGCCTGGTGTGTTCCTTTGTCTTCATGGTTCTCTCTGCGCTTTAAACAGAACCCTGAGACTATCAAAGAGCAGGTGCATTTATACGGAGACTTGATTACACACAGGTGCATTCTATTTATCATCATCAGTCATTTAGGACAACATTGGATCATTCAAAGATCCTCACTGAACTTCTGGACTGAGTTTGCTGCACTGAAAGTAAAGGGGCCGAATAATATTGCACGCCCCACTTTTCAGTTTTTTATTTGTTAAAAAAGTTTAAATTATCCAATAAATTTCGTTCCACTTCACGATTGTGTCCCACTTGTTGTTGATTCATGACAAAAAATTTAAATTTTATATCTTTATGTTTGAAGCCTGAAATGTGGCGAAATGTTGAAAGGTTCAATACTTCAATACTTTTGCAAGGCACTGTATATAAAACCGATGCATTATTACCCCTCTCCTCTCCTTCCCTCTCTTTCTCTCTCTCCTCTCCTCTCATCTCCCTAGACGTAAAAGATGTTACGTGGCGTTGTTTTAGTCAGATACTAAATACTCATTTAAAACACTTATTATGTACAACACAAAAGTCTCTGATTTCCTCACATCATTATAAAAAATAACCCTAACCCTCCCCATAGACCTGACGCGTAAACCTGCTAATTTCTGTAAAGTTCTTGTATTTTGCTTGAACAGTATGGAGCAGAACTGACCTGTGCGGAGGAGGGCCGCTCGTGAGGACTCTCCCTGAGACAGTCCTTCATCAGGGACTGGAGCCGAGGCCAAGGGCTGAGACCATAGTGCTTCTCTGGGTCTACAGCATGATCCATCCCCCACCAGAGAAGACATGTTTAAACAGGGCAAAGGAGCAGAGCAGAAACAACACAATTCATTCACAAACACTTTCCAAATAACATTTATAACCAGTGAACTATTATAAACTACTAGTTAAAGCTGGGCTACATAACCAATAAGCCAAAGCCGAGTAACTCTAATGAAATCCATATCACTGGTTTTTGGCTCAAAAACAAAAGTTTGCTTCTAGAGACACTAGAGAGAGACACCAGAGAGAGACCAAATAGAGAACAAAGAAAGGCCAGAGAAAGACCTGAGAAAGACCAGAGAGAGACCAGATAGAGACACCAGAAAAAGAGACCAAATAGAGACCAGAGAGTGACCAAAGAGAGAGACACCACATAGAGAGACCAAATAGAGACCAGAAAAAGACCAAAGAGAGACCACAGAGAGAGACCAGAGAGAGACCAGAGAGAGACCAGAGAGAGAGACCAGAGAGAGACCAGAGAGAGACCAGAGAGAGAGACCAGAGAAAGAGACCAGAGAGACCAGAGAGAGAGACCAGAGAGAGACCAGAGAGACCAGAGGGAGAGACCAGAGAGAGACCAGAGAGCCAGCCAATCAGCTCTCAGCTCAAACAGTGAAATAATGATTCACAGGGCTCTTTCTTGCATAAAAAATAAGACAAATACAGTGTGTTGTGCTCTCATTTCTTCACTCTTTCTATTGGACAAACTACATGTTGTTTATGAGACTAAAGTCACGTACCCCAGCTTTAAGTGATGTTTGAGTGATGTTGGCTTTAAACCATAATGTGGTGGTGTGGTCTTGTACCGGGCAGTTTTCCGCGCACCGCCATCTCGTCGAACTCGCTGGGGAACTTGGCTCCGTCGCTGATCCGCGCTCCGCAGGTGAACAGGTCGTACAGCAGCAGACCAAAGGAAAACACGTCCGCTCTTTGGTCGTAGATGAGACCGCCTCGGGCCACCTCAGGAGCACGGAACCCTGTGGAGACAACGGGACTACAGCTTCAGTCCTGGATCTACTGCCTCAGTCCTGGATCTACAGCCTCAGTCCTGGATCTACAGCCTCAGTCCTGGATCTACAGCCTCAGTCCTGGATCTACAGCCTCAGTCCTGGATCTTCAGCCTCAGTCCTGGTCAGAGATCAGACCTGGTGTCCCCTCTGCGCTCCGTACTCCCATCCCGCAGCAGTACTGAGCGATGCCGTAGTCCGTGATCTTCGCGATGGTGTCAGAGTCGCTCCTCAGGTTAAACAGCAGCACGTTGTGAGGCTTCAGGTCCCTGTAGATGATCATGGAGGAGTGGAGGAACCTGAGGAGACAAGGACAAGGACTAAACTGTCACCTTTCTTGTTACATTATTCCTCACCAAAAACAGACAGAGAAAGTTAAAAACTCTTCTGCTTTCACTAAGTTTGCAAACAACATTTAGGCCAAGCGTGACAAACTGGTCCTCAAAGGGCTGGGGTGGCTGCAAGTTTTAGTTCCTACCTAAGCAGAATGGGCGGAGTCTGGTGTTCTCTTAATCACTTTGGAACTAAAACCTGCAGCCACACCGGCCCGTTGAGGACTGCTTTGACACCCCTTATTTAGACCATGGACAGACTCTCAGTCCTGCAGAACCATGAACTGCAGAGGTTCTAAAGCAGTATTTGGGAGGTTCCAATCTGTCTTTTTAGCTGCTCTGGATCTTTAAAGTTTGCCCCGGAACAAACTTTCACATGACGGGCTCTAAAGCTGTGTTTGACTCACGGAAAGTCTCCGTATGGTTCCAAATGTGTGTCCCCAGTGTGTCTCCACTGTCTCCTTATAGTGTAGCTGTGTTGTGATATTTGTGTAAATGAATCTCCGTACCTCAAGCCGTCTGCCACCTGCAGGCTGATGCGGTGCTGCAGTTTGCGGCTCAGACTGGACTCTTGTTCAAACAGAGAATCCAGAGATCCACGCGGCGCCAGCTCCATGACCAGGACCTGAGGACAGCAGCCGGCCGCCAACAGGGACACCAGGCTGGGGTGGCGAAGGCGACCCAGCACCGTCAGCTCCTGAGGGAAACACACCACAACGTCTGGAACTGCTGCACGCTCACAAGTGTGTTTAGTATGTTGCATTCCAATAAAAACTACACACAAGTCACGCCAGGGATAATACTCTGCATAGTGACAGAGAAACAAGCCGTTGAGCCGTGTTTGGGTGAATGAAGCTCTATCTGTCAGAGTTTGGCCTGCTGCACGTGCTGCTCTTTTCTTGATAAAGTTGACTTTGTGAAAAATATGATGGAAAATGTCCATATACTGTAGCTTCACGAGGATGAGAAACTTGCCAAAGGTCATTATAATTATTCATAAAGGTGGTCTCTCTCTCTAGTCTCTCTCTAGGTTCTATATGGTCTCTCTGTGGTCTCTCTCTGGTCCCTCTGGTCTCTCTCTCATTTCTCTCTGGTCTTTCACTCTGGTCTCTCTCTCTGGTCTCTCTCTAGTCTCTCTCTCTGGTCTTTCTGGGGTTTGGGGCTAGGGTTTTGGTTGTGGGTATTACCTGTCTCAGCAGCCTGTAGACGTACAGCTCGGATGCGTGTTTGTTAAAGACCTTCACGGCCACCTCCTTGTCCTTGTACGTCCCTCTGTAAACGGTGCCAAAGCCTCCGTCTCCTACGACAGATGAAGACATGTCAGCTCCCTCATGGGTCTCCATGGGTCTCTCCCTCATGGGTCAAGTCTGGAGAGATCTGGGACAGCGGTCCTCTCTCTGGTCTCTGTCACTGGTTTGTTTGGTCACTCTGTCTCTCTGGTTTTTCCTTGGTCTCTTTCTGTGATCTCTCCCTGGTCTGTCTCTGAAATCCATAAAACATGAAATCCTCGTGGATCTGATTCGACAGCACTTTCTCACCCAGACGGTTGTCCACAGACATATCAACCTCCAGCTCTTCCCGCTCCAGTATCGTGGCTGCGGATTGGTCGCTCAGAACCAGGTCTGGAGCGATCTGGGACAACGGAAGAGTGCAGCGCGGGTCCTCCGGGTTTATCAGCAAGAAATCTGACCACAAAACAATGGCAGCAGCTTATATACATGTCAAAACACGTAGATTGTCAGTGACACTGCATACAGAGCCCCCTACTGGAGAAGAAACAGCACTGTCCTCTCTCCTCCTTTATCTGTCATCATTGTAACTTGCTGATAGAGTCTGGTTATTGCTATTCACCCGCTGTCCCATCGTCTGTTTCAGAGTGTGACGATGGGACCCCTGAACCCGGCCTCTTTCATCTGGCCCTGTAAAAGACTGATTGCCCCCGACCTGACCTGGGAACCTCCTTGGTCCTGCACCGTACAACCTCAGTCCTGGATCTACAGCCTCAGTCCTTGATCCCGCTCCCTATGGACCAATGGTTCCTATGTGTTTGTTGACTTTGAGATATACAAACACATTGAATTACATTTACGCAGGTTCTGTAAATTTGTGAATTACATATTCTGCTTTATGTGCTTTAAGGCTTTAGAACCCAAAGCTTTTTACCGGTGTCGAAGCAGGAGAACAGATCCTCCAGCAGGATCTTCTGAGGCTCCTGTCCGTCCTCAAAGCTGTACACTGCCCACCTCTTCACCAGGGCCTCTCCGCTGCCGTGCATGTCTGTGTTCAGGAGACCGGGGAACCACTCCTCCAGCAGCGAGTCTATGTGGTCCACCATCTGTCCCAGCAGCACACGGCCTGAGGGGGGCAGCAGAGAGACATGAGGAACATGGAAGTATAAGATTATGTGGAGGGTGTTGCTGCTTAAACCCCTCTCCACATGGATAAGGTGCAACAGGTTATAAAACTTAAATCCACACGGCTGTACAGGTCTCTCTCTGGTCTCTCTGGTCATTTGTCTCTCTCTGGTCTCTCACCTCTCTGTGTCTCTCATCTCTTGTCTCTCTCCTTTCTGTGTCTCTCCTGATTCCCCTTTCTCTTGTCTTTTTTCCCTCTCCTGTCCCCCCCTACCTGTCTCTCCTCTCCTGTCTCTACCCTTTCTGTCTCTCACCTCTGTCTCTCCACTCACTGTCTCCCCCCCTCCCTGTCTCTCACCTCTCTGTGAACAGGGCACAGTGATGCGCACACAGCTGCTCTCCTCCACAGTTGCAGACTCCACGAGGCTGTATGCGTCTGGAGCCCAGTTCAGATACACTCCTCTCCTCCAGTAGATACGGTTGGGTCTGCAGCCGGTGTCTGAACACAACCACATTCAGTACACAAGCAGAGAGAGACCAGAGGGACCAGAGAGAGACCAGAGAGAGTCCAGAGAGAAACCAGAGATAGTGACCAGAGAGAGAGACCAGAGAGAGACCAGAGAGAGACCAGAGAGAGAACAGGGAGAGACCAGAGAGAGACCAGAGAGAGAACAGGGAGAGACCAGAGAGAGACCAGAGGGACCAGAGAGAGATCAGAGAGAGTGACGAGAGAGAGACCAGGGAGAGACCAAGGAGAGACCAGAGAGAGACCAGAGGGACCAGAGAGAGACCAGAGAGAGAGACCAGAAAGAAACCGGAGAGAGTGACCGGAGAGAGACCAGGGAGAGACCAGAGAGAGACCAGAGGGACCAGAGGTAGTGAACAGAGACAGACCATAGAGAGAGACCAGAGAGAGAGACCAGAGAGAGACCAGAGGGACCAGAGAGAGTGACCAGAGAGAGAGACCAGAGTGAGAGGCCAGAGAGAGGCCAGAGAGAGAGAGAGAGAGAGACCAGACAGAAACCAGAGAGAGTAATCAGACAGAAATTAGATGGAGACCAGAGAGAAACCAGAGAAAAACTAGAAAGAGGCCAGAGAGAGAGAGACCAACGAGAGACCAGAGAGGATATAAGGATGTGGACAGAGACCTGGGAGCAGCAGGTAGGACACCTCCAGCAGCTGTGTGATCAGACGGGACCAGAAGTCCAGCGGAAAATAGGGCATCTGGTACAAGCGCACGATCACCTCCGAGTTCTCTGTGTGGGGGAGGTCGATGACAGGCCGGTGCTTGGACAGTCTGAGGACACACAACGAGACCAAGACACACATGGGCACAGTTCACATGCTTTTTGATGTCACTCTGAGCTCAAGGCTTAAAGCTGGGGTAGATAAATGTAGTAGTAGTCACCTTTGTTCATATAGACTGTGCATAAATTGTGGTGTGGGGGGTGTTGGAATGCAGCTGCACAAGTGTTCTGGGGAATTTGGTCAGCAGTTGCTCAAACACACGCTAATTATTGAAAACTAAGATTGTTTGGTACTTTAGTGATGTACTGTATGAAAATACACACATTACTCATGGTTCACATCAACATGATCCCCCATGAGCCTTTGCGCTTGCAGCATCAAGTTTACAAGATTGAGATGAACAAAATCATTGGCAACAGACAAGAGGCATTTTACATCCGCGTAGTTATAGCAGATTGTGTTGAATCTAGTTTTGTTGTTGACATTTGCACAGTTGCAATTTTGTGGCTGCACTTGTTGTTTGTTGTTCTTCCACCTCAGGGTTTGTTGTTTTGTTTTCACTCAGCTGTGATTGCCACTGATAGACAATTAATGCATTTAACTATTCAACAATAATTAAAGGCATTTTATTAAATTAAATCGGGGGCAATAAAAAAGCTGGAGGTCGCTGGGTAAAGGCATCACTGCAGGCGCAGGGCTGAAATGCATGGCCCGCCACTGCTGTCTGGTCTCTCTCTCTGGCCTCTCTCTGGCCTCTCTCTGGCCTCTCTCTGGCCTCTCTCTGGCCTCTCTCTGGCCTCTCTCTGGTCTCTCTTTGGCCTCTCTCTGGCCTCTCTCTGGCCTCTCTCTGGTCTCTCTCTGGTCTCTCTCTGGTCTCTCTCTCTGGTCTCTCTCTCTGGCCTCTCTCTGGTCTCTCTCTCTGGCCTCTCTCTCTGGCCTCTCTCTGGCCTCTCTCTCTGGCCTCTCTCTCTGGCCTCTCTCTCTGGCCTCTCTCTCTGGCCTCTCTCTCTGGCCTCTCTCTCTGGCCTCTCTCTCTGGCCTCTCTCTCTGGCCTCTCTCTCTGGCCCCTCTTTGGCCTCTCTCTGGCCTCTCTCTCTGGCCTCTCTCTGGTCTCTCTCTCTGGTCTCTCTCTCTGGTCTCTCTCTCTGGCCTCTCTCTCTGGCCTCTCTCTCTGGCCTCTCTCTCTGGCCTCTCTATAGTCTCTCTCTGGCCTCGCTCTGGCCTCTCTCTAGTCTCTTTCTGGTCTCTCTCTGGTCTGTGGGGGCGTGGCCTATCACCTGCTCGGCACCAGCAGCTGCTCGTCTCCAAACGGCAGAGCGATCTGAAACTTCTCCAGGAGTTTGAAGAACTGCAGCGCGTGAGACTCTGGGAAACATCTGGAGTCGAGGAGCAGCTTCTCCACCGTGTGGCGCTGCAGCACGCCTTTAGGATGCTCCTGGGACAACGAGTTTTTCACCGACAGCTTCTGAGGAACCAGGACCACATGGATACTATGTAATATGTACTGTGCTCTCACTTTGGTCACTGGTCTGACTCTGGTCTCTCGCTGGTATCTCCCTCTGGTCACTGGTCTGTCTCTGGTCTCTCTCTGGTATCTCCCTCTGGTCACTGGTCTGTCTCTGGTCTCTCTCTCTGCATCGTTACCTGGGTGATGATGTCACATATCCACTGTGGTTCGATGAAGTACAGCTGCTGCAGTTGCAGAACAGGGTCCTCAAAGTGCAGCAGGACTCCTGCACCAAGAGCAACATTGTGAGCAGTTATGAGCGGCTCTCGCCTTCGCCCCAAGGAAGGGGCCCTACTGTGTCCTGATCTCTCTCTGCTGCGCCCCGACCAATGCTTTAGAATGGTTCATCTCCAAAATTCTATTAGAAAATAGAGACTTGAGGATTTTGCTTTTGACGTAAACTGGGACGTTTCTGTTGTCACTATGGTAACAAGGAAAGTATTCAATTAACAGTTTTCTATGGGGAAAAGAAAATGTGTTTAGTCAGTGTTTAGTCGAGGATCAGAGACGTTTCAGACAGACCTGCTTCTGAGAGAAAGTGCACAGCATGCGGCAGCTCGTGCTCGTCCAGGGGCAGCTGTGACTCCTGAATGAACTGCAGCAGCTCCGTGTGGGTCAGGACCGGGAACTGGGGACTCACTCGGCTCCTCTCCAAAAATACTCTGTTCTGAAGCTCCATGAAGGAGTCTGGGACCAGCTGACCCATCACAGGCTGGCCAGAGACCTGAGACAAGACCAGAGATCGAGAGTTTTATTCCTGTACTTTTAACCTTGTTTTCTTTATGTACTTGTCTTGTGCATACTGGGGACTTCAAATATAGTTGATAACCCCCGGTCTATGGTTTCGCTGCAGCTGCAGTAGAGTTTTGGGCTTTCATTCATTAACGAGAGATTGTGGATTTTGGATTTGTCTAAAGTCTGAACTTTGTTGCATTGTCCTCGTTATTGTATGAAGTGTGCTATACAAACCCCGCCCCTCCCCTCTTTACCTTGTAGCTTGTGGCCTCCCTCACAATGGCCTTCCTCAGCCGGCTCAGAGTGTCCGAGTCCTCGAGGGATGACACCATGTGGTAGTCCCTGATGGAGGGAAAGGCCTGATGGTTCAGAAGTTCCTCACGGATCTTCAGAAGACAGGACTGGAGCTGGATCTCAGAGCTCTGGTCGGAGTGGGTCCCGACCAGCACCACAGGAGCCTGGGGAGCCACGGCCTAAAGAACACACTGTTATCATGATAAGCTGCTTCTAACAGTCTGTCTGTCTGGTCGGCTTCATTTGGTCTCATCAATAAGTAAAGCTGTGTGTAGGCAGTGTGTAAATAGAATTGGTCCAAGTACCGATCCCTGGGGCACCCCGAGAGCTAATTTAGAATAGGAAGCTCTATCTATTGACAGGCATTGAACCAGCTGACTGCTGGACATCTGCAGGAGGATATTAGTCAGTGGTGTTGAATGCTCAGGTTCAAATCTAGTTTAGTCCGGACCTAGTTTAGATCTGGTTTTAACCTGGACCTAGTTTAGACCTGGTTTGGACCTGGTTTTAACCTGGACCTAGTTTAGACCTGGTTTAATTAGACCCACTTCAGACCTGGGTTAAACATGGTTAAGACCTGCTTTGGACCTGCTATATGCCTGCTTTAGACCTGCTTTAGTCCTGAACCTAGTTTGGACCTGGTTAGGACCTTATTTGGACCTAGTTTAGACCTGGTTTACCTTGATGGTGAAGAGCCAGGGTTTGAGGGCCTCGACCTGAGCACTGCCTTTGCTGATGTCATAGACCACGAGGTACAAGGCTCTGGAGGTCATGAGGTGAGGGTGGGCCCCGCTGAACTCCTCTGCTCCTGGAGACCACACAAAGAAAACAAATCCCCTTCAGTCATTATAAAGTAGACTAAATCGCTTCTGCTAAATCAACTCTTTTTTCAGTCCCAGACCTGGAGTTGTGTTTATATTCATCCACGCTAACTCCGGCCCTTCTATCTAAAAGCTCGGTCTCGGTCTCAGTCCTGTGATATTGTGATTTGATCGTACAACTATGACAAAACATAATATAATAATTGTATCCATCAGTTGAACGATACATTGACATAGTAATTATTGTGACACGACAAAAAAATAAAATAAAATAAAAGTAATTATTGTGAGACGACAAATATTAGCAACACAATCAAAACAGGATCTGACCACTGCACAAACCTGGATGAAACCTGCACAGACACGAGGAGAACATGCAAACGTCAGGAACGGGGATTGAACCCAGGACCTCCTTGCTGTGAACAGGACACCTTTATTGACATTTGCCATTGACCTGAGTGAGCGGCTCTGACCTGAGAAGTCCCACACGTTCAGCACCATCTTCTTCCGGTCTCGCTCGCGGATCGTCCAATCAGAGACCTGGATGCTAGGGCTGTGTTTGGCTCTCCTGGTCCTGGTGAGAGTCTGGATCAGACTGGTTTTACCCGAGCCACAGTTCCCCACCACCATCAGCTTCATGCGGAAGTATGGGACAGCCTTCTTCAGCCGCTGCTGGAGGAACCTAAGAGACCAGGGTTTAGACTTGGTTTAGACCGGTTTTAGTCCGGTTTGAGTTCTGCTGTAAACCTGCTTTAGCCCTGGTTTCGCCCTGCTTTAGTCCTGGTTTAGTCCTGGTTTAGTCCTGGTTTAGTCCTGGTTTAGTCCTGGTTTAGTCCTGGTTTAGTCCTGGTTTAGTCCTGGTTTAGTCCTGCTTTAGTCCTGCTTTAGACCTGCTTTAGACCTGCTTTAGTCCTGCTTTAGTCCTGCTTTAGTACTTCTTTAGACCTGCTTTAGACCTGCTTTAGTCCTGCTTTAGACCTGCTTTAGTCATGCTTTAGACCTGCTTTAGTCCTGCTTTAGTCCTGCTTTAGACCTGCTTGAGACCTGCTTTAGACTTGCTTTAGATCTGCTTTAGATCTGCTTTAGTCCTGCTTTAGTCCTGCTTTAGACCTGCTTTAGACCTGCTTTAGACCTGCTTTAGACCTGCTTTAATCCTGCTTTAGTCCAGCTTTAGTCTTGCTTTACACATGTTTCCACCTGGTTCAGACCTTTAGTCCTTCTTTAGATCCGCGTTAGACTCGCTGTAGTCCAGAATGTGTTGTACCTGATGATGTCTTTGGTCTTGGAGCCGATTACCATCAGGTCCAGCTGGAGGCGGAGTCCGTCCAGGGGCAGGTCCCAGAGCCGCACCAGTTTCCCCATCTCGTCTGGAAACGAGCGCAGAGCCGAGTTTCTGCTGACGTCCAGAGAGGTCAGGCTCTCCAGCTGACCGATCTCCGCCGGGATCTACACACGCTCAAAGTCAGGCTCTGCAGCGCCCCCTGTGGCTCATCATTAGGCAGTTCACACTCAGAGAATATGCATAAAATACTTTCCTCCCTCACCAGAGTCTCCCGCTGGTCTCTCTCTCTGGACTTTCTCTGGTCTCTCTCTCTCTCTGGTCTCTCTCTCTGGTCTCTCTCTCTGGTCACTCACACTGGTCTTTCACTCACACTGGTCTCTCTCTTGTGGTCTCTCTTGTGGTCTCTCTCTCTCTGGTCTCTCTCTCTGGTCTCTCACTCAAACTGGTCTTTCACTCACACTGGTCTCTCTCTTGTGGTCTCTCTCTTTCTCTGGTCTCTCACTCTCTTTGGTCTCTCACTCACACTGGTCTCTCACTCACTCTGGTCTCTCTCTTGTGGTCTCTCTCGTTGGTCTCTCTTTGGTCTTTCTGCATGCCTCTGCACTCTGCCCACACCTCCGCTCTCTGCCCTCATCTCACTCTCTGGACTTTCTCTGGTCTCTCTCTGGTCTCTCACTCTCTTTGGTCTCTCACTCACTCTGGTCTCTCTCTTGTTGGTCTCTCTCTGGTCCCTCTGCATGGCTCTGCACTCTGCCCTCCTCTCACTCTCTCTGGTCTCTGCCAAAGTCTCACTCTGGTCCTTTTCCCCTCTGTCTCTTGGCGTGGCTCTGCTCTCTGCCCTCACCTCACTCAGCTGGTTGTGGCTCAGGTGAAGCTTCTCCAGACGATTCCACCTGAAGACCTCCGAGCTCAGGTCCAGAGTCTGGATCTGGTTCTTACTGAACATGAGCTCGCGGAGGTTCCGAGACGACCAGGAGGAGGGAGCGGGGAGCGAGGAGAGGAGGTTGTTCCGTAAGTCCACCGATCGCAGGCTGAGGGAGAGAGGAGAGGGGGAGAGGAGAGAGGGAGAGAGGGGAGAAAGGAGAAGAGAGGCTTTAATGGTTATATTTGGTGACTGTGGTGATAAGGCTGTGGTTATCGTTACCATGGCAGCTGGAGGACGGCGTCTGGAACGTGGCTGAAGCTGTTGTTGGCGAGTTTCAGAGTGGTGACTTTCAGAGGAAGGTGAAGGAGAACAGCTGCAGAACATTTAGAACATTTAGAGAGAGGAGAGAGGAGGAGAAAGAGGAGAGGGGAGAGGAGAGAGAAGGGAAGGGAGGAATGAGGCGAGAGAGGAGAGGAGAAGCGAAGAGAGAAAAGAGAAGATACAGATAAGATGAGAGGAGAGAGGAGTGAGGAGCGAAGAGGAGAGGATAAAGGGGGGAGGAGGGGAGAGATGAGTGAGACGAGATGAGGGGAGAGAAAAGAGAAGATACACAAAATATGATAGGAGAAACGAGTGAGAAGAGATGAGAGGAGAGGGGAGAGGAGCGAAGAGGAGAGGAAAAGGGGGGAGGAGACGAGAGAGATGAGTGAGAAGAGATGAGGGGAGAGGGGAGAGAGGAGGGAGAGGAGAAGGAAGAGAGAGGAGTGGGTCTGCAGAGGACTCACAGAGGCGGTTGGTGGAGGCGTTTAGCTGCTCCAGTTTGGGACACAGCTGCAGAACGTCCTGGGACACCACCTCCACATGGTTCTTACTGAGGTCCAGGACTCTGAGCTCGGGCAGAGAGAGGGGACAGGTGAGGGAGCTGAGGCTGTTTCTGCAGAGAGAGAGAGACACACACACACACAAACAAACACACACAACCAAACACACACAACTTCTCAGGTGAAAGACGTTCTTTACAATCACATGTCTGATTTCAGCTTTTTTTACCTTCCCTCTCTCCGGTCTTTTTTCTCTCTTTTTCTCTCTGGTCTCTCTTGCTTCCAGAGAGAGACTTGAGAAAGAGAGAGAAGAGAGGCCAGAGCGAGAGAAAGAGAGCTATCTTGAGCCCTAAAGTCTTACTTACCCCTCCAGTAGAAGTTCCTCCACGTTCTCCAAAGCTTGTGTGAGGAACAGTGGAAAGTGTAGCAGTTTGTTGAAGGACAGGTTCAGACTTTTCAGGGTGGGGCAGCGTGGGGGCTGGTCCGAGGTCTGGCCCGAGGTCTGGTTCGAGGTCCTGTCTGAGGTCCTGGACTCGGACTGGATGCAGTTGCGGGATAGGTTGAGCAGGCTCAGAGAAGGCAGGGTCAGCAGCTCCGTGGGGAAGCGGTCCAGCTGGTTCCCCTGCAGGTCCAGACGGGTCAGGCTCCTCAAGCTCTGGACAAAGACACAAACAAACATGTGGGTGGTCTCCAAGGAAGTGACCAGCATCGACCACACTGTCCAGCACCCAGTGGACTAAAGTAGGTCTAAAGCAGGTCTAAAGCAGGTCTAAAGCAGGACTAAAGCAGGTCTAAAGCAGGTCTTAAGCAGGTCTAAAGCAGGTCTAAAGCAGGTCTAAAGCAGGACTAAAGCAGGTCTAAAGCAGGTCTGAAGCAGGACTAAAGCAGGTCTAAAGCAGGTCTAAAGCAGGTCTAAAGCAGGACAAAATCAGGTCTAAAGCAGGTCTAAAGCAGGTCTAAAGCAGGACAAAATCAGGTCTAAAGCAGGTCTAAAGCAGGACTAAAGTAGGACTAAAGCAGCTCTAAAGCAGGTCTAAAGCAAGTCTGAAGCAGGTCTTAAGCAGGACTAAAGGCAGGTCTAAAGCAGGTCTAAAGCAGGACTAAAGCAGGACTAAACCAGGACTAAAGCAGGTCTAAAGCAAGTCTGAAGCATGTCGAAAGCAGGTCTTAAGCAGGTCTGAAGCAGGTCTTAAGCTGGACAAAAGCAGGACTAAAGTCAGGTCTAAAGCTGGTCTAAAGCTGGTCTTAAGCCGGTCTAAACTTGGTCCTACCTGGCACAGTTGCTGGGGGAAGTCCAGCAGGCTGTTGTGGCTCAGGTCCAGTCTCTGCAGATGTTCCAGCTGCTGCTGCACTGAGTCGTGATCCATCAGACAGCTCAGAGAGTCCAGCTCGTTCCCAGACAGGTCCACCAGTCTGATCCGCTCCCGGTCTCTGGGAGAAACCGACTCCAGGAACACTGAGAAGAAAGACGCACCCTTTACAATACCACAGAGCTAAGGTGGTGATGAGAAGGTGAGGAGTATCTGAGGAGTATCTGAAGAGGAGTTGAGGAGAAGCTGAGGAGAACATGTATCGTGGGTTTGTCACACTAAACACTCACATTTCTGCATTGAACCAGTGCGACTGTACTTCCTCTTGTCCTGAGGCTCGAAGTCCTGGAAAACACACAACTATTCACACTACAGGTCTACAGCAGGACTAAAGCAGATCCAAAGCAGGTGTTAAGCAGATCCAAAGCAGGTGTTAAGCAGGTCCAAACCAGTTTTAAAGCAGAACTAAAGCAGGGTTAAAGCAGTTTTAAAGCAGGACAAAAGCAGGTATAAAGCAGGACTAGAACAAGACTAAAGCAGGTCCGAAGCAGTTCTAATGCAGGTGTGAGACAGGCCTAAAGCAGGACAAAAGTAGGACTAAACCCTGTCCAAACCTCAGCGCTGGCGTGTCTCGTCCTGCTCTGCTTGCGGTTCCTCAGCTCCTCTGATGAGTGACTGTGGTGATGAGGAGACAGAGGTCCAGCTGCAGAGTCACTACCTGAAAACAAACAGGAGTGATATCACTGATATCTCTTTATTCAAGGCTAGGTGTAAAACAGTCCTCTTTAGTTTAGCATATGGTTAGGAAGGTAAGACTCAGGGAAGGCTAAACTCCTCAGAGTGTCAGTCAAGCTGCATAGGGAGTCAGTTTGCTGGGAGAAGTATGGTAACTTGAGCACTATCCTCTCCTCCTTCCTACTTTATCTGTTTAGCATTTTTAGGATTTTGACTGTAGTTTGTTCATTGCTATTCACCCGTTGTCCCATTGTCTGTTTCATGGTACGATGACGGGATCTCTGAGCCTGGCCTCCTCCATCTACGCCTGCGGACTGCCCCGCCCGACCCGCCTGAGAGTGCTTCAGTCCTGCACCGGACCTGTCCACGTTCAGCAGCCACTGGTCCACGTTCTGTAGCTTAGGTCCTGGATCATTAGCCTGTCCATCCGGAGGAGCGGATACCCTTCTCAAATGGGTCTCCCTCCCTGTGGGTTTCCCCAGTTCTCCCCAAGGTTTCTCACTTTTTCCCACTGGGTTTTTTAAGAGTTTTTCCTTGTTGATGCAGGAGGGTCTTGTTGGACAGTTAGTGTCCAACAGAAAGGATTGGTGATGATCAGGACACTTTAGCATTCTACAACATGTATGGACATTTTCTTCTGTGTGTGCTTTATATTTTTCATGTGTCTTAACTGTTGATTCTCTGACCTGTGTTGGTGATTTCAATGGTTTTGTTAAGTCCTCTGAGATGACTTCTGTTGTGACCTAGGGCTATACAGAGAATAAATTGTATTGTGTGTGTGTGTGTGTGTGTGTGTGTGTGTATCAAAAAATTGACACCCTGTCTCCTGATGGTCATGAGAATATTGAACAGTTTTGGTCCTAGTATTGACTCTTGGGGAACACCACTCTCTATTTTACATAGCAGTTGTAGCAGTAGCAGAAATAGAAGCCGTAGCAGTAGAAGTAGCCGCAGTAGTAGCAGCAGTAGCAGCAGCACCAGAAGTAGTAGCAGTAGTTTTTGCAGTAGTAGTAGTAGCAGTAGTTGTTGCAGTAGTAGTAGTAGTAGTAGTTGTTGCAGTAGCAGTAGCAGTAGTAGTAGGAGTCTCTACCATCGCTGTCCTCATTCAGCACCAGTCCCTCGTCAGTGGACAAACAGCTGAAGCTGGAGTCGTCGCTCTCGTCGGAGATGTAGCCAGAGGTCAGACATGGGTCAGTGTGGGAGCGCACAGGTCCAGGGGCAGCCTTCAGGCGCTGCAGGGACCGGACGAAACGGGAGAGGGCCACGCCTTTACCTGGAGATCAACCAAACTAAATGTGAACAGAGACCAGAGATAGAGACCAGAGAGAGACAATAGAGAAACCAGAGAGCTAGACCAGAGAGAAACCAGAGAGATAAACGAGAAAGAGACCATACAGAGACCAGAGATTGATCAGAAAGGGAGACCAGAGAGAAAGACCAGAGAGAGGCCAGAGAGAGGACTAGAGAGAACAGTGAGAGACCGGAGAGAGACAACATAGAGACCAGAGACAGACCAGAGACGTGGTCAGACGAGTGCATGAAAAGATGAATCACTCTGAAAACATAGAGACCAGTGGATCGTGGTCGTGTCTCGTGCATTTCTCACCGTTGGGGCGTGCGTTGAAGCTGTGGCTGCGGCCGCGCTCCGCTAACAGCGCGCTGAGCCAGGCCGCGTCCAGCCGCCCGAGCCTGAAGCCGCCCAGACACAGAGAGGAGCTGTGCAGGTCCAGGCCGAGCCGCCCCAGCAGCTGCACCACCGCAGGACCGTCTCCGCGCTTCACACACACGGCCAGCGCATGCCGCATATCCTGTTCTGAAGCGCCGCGAGACAACAGCAGCTCCAGCAGCTCCAGGGGCCCGCCACGAGCACACACCTGCACACAGAGTGACTGATGAAGCTTTAGAGCTGCTTTAGACCGACTTTAGAGCTGCTTTAGTCCTGCTCTAGTCCTGCTCTAGTCCTGCTGTAGTCCTGCTGTAGTCCTGCTTTAGACCTGCTTTAGTCCTGCTTTAGTCCTGTTTTAGTCCTGCTTTAGTCCTGCTTTATTGCTGCTTTAGATCTGCATTAATTCTGCTTTAAGGGGCGGGGCACAGACCTGGTAGATGAGTGGCTCCGTGGCGGTCTTTCCGTGGGTCTCGGCTCCGAGCTCCAGCAGACACTCGGCCATGGCGGTGTCTTCCTCCTCACACGCTTTTTCCAACATAGAGAAATGCAGCTCTGTGTCGAGCCACAGCCGTGAGAGCGCCACGCACACGGTCCTGCGGAGCTGTGGCGGAGACCAGAGGGAGACCGGGTCAGACCAGGACAGACCGAGGAGAAAACCAGGGAGAGACCGGGGGAGACTGGGGGGGGACCAGGGAGAGACCGGGTTTGGACTAAATTTTGTTGCTGTAGCAGCAGCAGCAGCACTCGACACTCAACATTCAACAACATTTATCATTTATCAACCAGGGAGAGACCAGGAAGAGACCAGGAAGAGACCAGGGAGAGACCAGGAAGAGACCAGGAAGAGACCAGGGAGAGACCAGGAAGAGACCAGGAAGAGACCAGGAAGAGACCAGGAAGAGACCAGGTAGGGATCAGAAAGATGTGTGTTGGCGAATTCCACAGTTTTGTAAAGTCCTTCGAGATTAATATTGTAGTGATTTTGGGCAACACAAAAATAAATTGAATTGAGTAGCATAAACAGTAGCAGCAGCAGCAGCAGCAGCAGCAGTAGCAGTAGCAGCAGTACTACTCACGGGGCTGATGCTGATGCTGGTGCTGTGCTCTTCTCTCAGTTGAAGAAAAACCTCTCGGTCAAAGTCGTGTTTCTGCAGTTGAGCCGCGGCTCCGGAACACGCCTCCATCATCCTCAGAGACACCAGGAAGCACTGCACACACAGGGAAAGGTGGGCATGTTGTTTGGCCCAGGTCGGCTTTTCAACACAGGGAGGACAACCGTGTCAAAACAAAACAAAACAAACATCCCTACTTTAAAAAGTATTCTTATGAAGTCACAACACAGGAGAGAGAGAAAGACCAAAAAGAGAGAGACCAGAGGGAGACTAAAGAGAGAGACCAGAGCAAGACCAGAGAGACTAGAGAGAGAGAAACCAGACAAAACAGGGGTGGGCGATATGGCCTAAAATTCATATTGTGTTATAATTTGGAACACAGACGGTAAACGGTATATATTGCGGTATAATTTGGTGTGTGAATTTCAATATAGGTCTAGCAGGTTCTTGCATAAAATAGTCAAGATTGTATACTTATCTGAAATTTCAATATTAGAGATGGATAATGTTTATTTATTTGATGTTTTTTAACCTTGCCTGCAAGCTGAATTCTCGCGGTATTTGTGAGTTCACAAACACTCGAGAATACATCTTGTACCGCTCCCGCTTACACTTTTCGAGTCGAACCACTGGGTGTGCGAGCCAATCACGCGCCAGTCTGGGGGTTTAGGGCGGGATATCCGGGTTTGACGAAAGCAAGAAGTGCCGGGCCGAAGCAAAACAAACATGGCTACGCAGGAGGACGGACGCAAAGTCAGTTTTAGCAGAATCTCCAATTTCTTTTTTGAAAGATGAACAGCGAGAGGCGCTTTGTACATTTCTGGACGGCAACCTTGGTAGGCGGGCACACAGCGTCACTTCGCCCAATCAGCTTCAAGTATTCTGCTGCTTACCCCTCCTTTCCCCGAAAGGATTCTCCGGGAGAAATCCCAGATTGAAATCGCGGAGAACGCGTTAGAGTTCTACACAATCATCAATCTGGCTTTTGCCAGGTTAGATGTTTTTAGCATTTCCTTGACATATAGTGTGTGACCTAGAGAGGGCGCCATAAAACCACCCATTTGTAAGTTCCATTGTTGCAATAAACAATTGTAATCATTTATCCTGTTATCATACATTCATACATATAATCATAGTCAAGTCTCGTTGAACACATTTATATAATAAACAAGTAAAGACAGTGAATCTAAAAGAATTAAACTGTATGTGTTTGCCTCATTTCCGTGTGCCTTCGAACGCATCTAGCTACTTTCTCTCTGAGCTTTTTTCCCGCCATTTCTCGTAATAAACCATGATACATATGAGCACAACTCAATAATATAATCTGTATATGACAACACAAACTTTGGCCACATTTTTATCGCATACCACTTATACCGTTTATATCGCCCAGCCCTAAGATAAAGGGACAAGAGAGACTAGAGTGAACCTATGGAGAGAGAGACCAGAGACAGAGATACCAGAGAGACAAGACAGACAGAGACCAGAGACAGTGACAAGAGTGATAAACCAGAGAGGGAGAGACCAGTGAGACCAGAGAGAGACCAGACAGACCCAAATGTCCTAACTTGGTCCAGACCTTGAGGACCATGTCACGGTCGTCTCTGTTCTGCCGCAGAGACTCCACCAGCACCGAGGCCAACACCGGTAACATCATCCTCGACAGCTTCTTCCTCACCACCAGATGCTGCAGCAGCGTCAGGCCCCAGAAGTGGATCTCTGCACAACACAGAGTCACAGGCTGAGATTGCACCTGATTTACATGCAGTGTTCCATTTACAAGGAGCATCAAGGGAGAATGCTTCTTCTACTACTTTAAGTTTTACACAAGGAACTGAGACTGTGGCAGAAGTCCATCAGAACAATATGAAGGGATACAGAATACTGCAAGTGTGTGTCTGTTTGTGTGTGTCCGTGTATGTCTATGTGTCTCTGTGTGTGTGTGTGTGTGTGTGTGTGTGTTCTAACCTCTGTCCTGCTTGAACATCTGCAGTGTGTGTAGTACTGTGTCTATCGCCCCCTGCTGGCAGAGGAGGTCCACTGCACCAGAGCTGTCTGACAGAGCACAGAGAACCTTCAGCCCCACGAGCTGCAGACTGGGACTGCTGATGAACTACACACACACAGGACCAGAGTTAAACCAGAGACCAGAGACCAGAGAGAGACCAGAGAGAGTAGAGAGAAAGAGTAGAGAGACCAGAGAGAGACCAGAGAGAGACCAGAGAGACCAGAGAGAGAGACCAGAGAGAGACCAGAGAGAGAGACTAGAGAGAGAGACCAGATAGAGACCAGAGAGACCAGAGAGAGACCAGAGAGAGACCAGAGAAAGAGACCAGAGAGAGACCAGAGAGAGAGTAGAGAGACCAGAGAGAGAGACCAGAGAGAGACCAGAGAGAGAGACTAGAGAGAGAGACCAGATAGAGACCAGAGAGAGACCAGAGAGACCAGAGAGAGACCAGAGAGAGACCAGAGAAAGAGACCAGAGAGAGACCAGAGAGAGAGTAGAGAGACCAGAGAGAGAGACCAGAGAGAGAGTAGAAAGGGACCAGAGAAGGACCAAAGAGACGACAGAGAGACAAAAAGACCAGAGAGAGACCAGAGAGAGAGACCAGAGAGAGACCAGAGAGAGACCAGAGAGACCAGAGAGAGACCAGAGAGACCAGAGAGAGACCAGAGAAAGAGACCAGAGAGAGACCAGAGAGACCAGAGAGAGACCAGAGAGACCAGAGAGAGAGACCAGAGAGAGACCAGAGAGAGAGACCAGAGAGAGACCAGAGAGAGACCAGAGAGACCAGAGAGAGACCAGAGAAAGAGACCAGAGAGAGAGTAGAGAGGGACCAGAGAAGGACCAAAGAGACGACAGAGAGACAAAAAGACCACAGAGAAACCATAGAGAGCCTGGGAAGAGACACCAGAAATTTGGCCCGCTGTGTCATTTTAATTTTTCCCCACACAAAGCAGCCATTGAGGCACTTTCATAGTGTCATCCAGCCAACTTCAGCTCCACAAATATACTCATGCTGTAGCTTGTTGTAAAGCTCAGAACGTCTGGAATCCATCCAGTGTTTGTATTTACGGACATGTGCTTTTGATAGTGGCACAAAAGTCGACATATGGTGCTACTGATGACTGTGGCGCGCAAATCACAGCCCAATTTAAAACCTGCATACAATTTTTGTCGGCCCCTGGATACGTCACGGTGTGTGAGGGAGAGGACAGAGGTGTTTTTGCACTCAAGTTTTCCTTCTGATATCTCTGGACCAGAGAGAGAACAGAGAGAGACCAGTGAGAGAACAGAGAGAGAAAAGTGAGAGAACAGAGACAAGAGAGAGACCAGAGCGAGACTAGAGTGAACAGAGAGAGAAAGAGAGAGACGACAGATAATGAGACCAGAGAGAACCCAGACAGACCAAAGACAGAACAGAGAGAGAGAGACACCAGAGATTGAGACCAAAAAGAGACCAGAGAGACCAGAGAGACAAGTTTTCTCTCAGGTTTTCCCCTTGATTTCTCTGGATGTGACGTTGTTGGACTTTCTGTGAAAACTTCACAGTGATGGAGCTTTCGCGAAAGTTCACTGTGGTAGACCCGGCTGCTGCTTGCCCAGATCTACAAGTCTGCAAGCCTCCGCCGCCCCACCTCCTCCTTCTCTCATCGAAACGTGCTTGCCTACTGCCTCTGCCGTCACCAGTGCCTAGGCCCCGGGGGGGATTATGCGCGCGATCAAGCGCCGCGCTCAACAGCATCTCTCCCGGGCCTAGGGCGCCAAACATGCTTAATCCTAAACTTCTAACTGCATTTTCCCTCATGGGTCTCTCCAAGGTGAAATGTTTGCGGGGAAGTGTGAAGTAGAGCAGTGTTTTTCAACCTTTTTTGAGCCAAGGCACACTTTTTTCACTGAAAAAATCTTGCGGCACACCTCCAGGAGAAAATGTAAAAATGTATACAGTACTAATGTAAAAAAATATATACTGTACATACTCTGTGTGATATATAAAGTATATCTTATCTTATAATGTATACAGTATACTCTGTAGCCTATATTCACAATATACAGTTATTCTCATCAAAATGCTTAAGTCCAGGCCTTGAAATTAAGCTTTATTTAATATTTCTCGATACAATTAACAAGAGTTTGGGAATAAAGTGGCACTAACTGTGTGGAAAAAAACTAAGAAAATCCACTCTCTGCCCAAATAGTCAAATAATAACTCACACAAAGAACATGCATTGTTAGTGCATGGGAAAAATTTAGGTATCCGAGCTTTAAATTCAGGAGTTTTGGATGAGGGACACGGGAGGTCCTGAACGCGAGTCCATGGTTCTGTCCGGTCCGCATGTCTGTGGTTCTGTCCACTCGACTATGGTCTGCGCTCGGTACCCAGTTCAGAAGTGCGTTCGCGAGAGCTGTTGTACAAAAATCGTACATTTCATAGTTAAACCACTACAACGCGGCCACAGCTGCCCCGGGGCAGAGCGGAGGATGTTAATCCTGTTCAGAAACGGCATAATTCATTTTCAAAAACGTCTCTATCACTTTCACTTCTCACTCGCCACAAAGCTCTTGTCTCGCTCCCTCACACATTTGTTGGTCGCATCCAATTTTACCTTTCTCGCCACAATGCTGACCTGTTACAGCCAGTGGTCGCATCCAATTTTTCAGTTTCAAAGTACTTAGCTATCTGCTGCCATCTACTGATTTGAAAAAGTATTACATGGTTACTCACAGTTCAAAACAAGTCACCGCTCGTCAACAGCGAATGCAGCTATTTTTAGACAAAGTAGACGAATTTCTCACGGCACACCAGACAATATCATACGGCACACTAGTGTGCCGCGGCACAGTGGTTGAAAAACACTGAAGTAGAGAACAGGTCCAGGTTCATTCTTGTCATTCCTGTGCAGTCTGTGTGGCTCTCACACTGATTACAGGTCCTTTCAAAGTAGGAGCAGCAAAGAGACCAGGGAGAGAGATCCGAGAGCGAGCAGAGAGAGACCAAAGAGAGCAGAGAGAGAGACCAGAGAAAGAAAGTAGGGACAGAGCAGAGAGAGACCAGAGAGAGGGACCAGAGAGAAAGATATCAGAGAGAGAGAGAGAGAGAGACTAGAGAGAGACCACAGACAGAGACGCTAAAGCGACCAGTGAGACCTGAGAGAGACCAAAGAGAGTGCGACCGGAGAGAAAGAAACCAGAGAGAGACCAGAGAGGGACCAGAGAGCAGAAAGAGGGACCAGAAAGAAAGAGATCAGAGAGAGAGAGAGAGAGAGACTAGAAAGAGACCACAGACAGAGACGAGAAAGCGACCAGTGAGACCTGAGAGAGACCAAAGAGAGAGCAGAGAGAGGGACCGGAGAGAAAGAAACCAGAGAGAGACCATGAGAGACCCGAGAGAGGCCAGAGAGAGACTAGAGAGAGAGAGACCAGAGAGAGACTAGAAAGAAAGACCAGAGAGAGACCAGAAAGAGGGACCAGAGAGTGAATAGACAGAGACACTAGAGTGAGAGACTAGAGAGAATCACATCATAATGGACTACAAGTTCTCCTCCATGTGGACGTGAACGTTCCGACCAATCAGAGCGCTGCTGATCAGCACGAGCCGCCGAGTGTGTTGCACAAAAGAGTGCATTTATAGAAAGCTGATAGATTTCAAAACAGTGAACACTGAGGTCTATGTGGAAATCTCCCAACAGCCCTTGTGGATTCAGGCTGCAGTACTGCGGGTGACCTCTAGTCCATGCGGAGACTGGTATTCGCTTGCAACACCCTCCACATCATAAACTACATCCATGCTTCCTACTTATTGTTTTCCCAGAACCACTTCCTGCTTCTCCTTTGTGCCGCCGCATTCCCGTGTTATCAAACTCACAAAAGCCCTCAGTCCGACTTTCTTCACCCACGGCTTCAGTTTGATCTCATTACTGCAAAGAAGAGAAAGTCCCCAAATCCCCCAGTTGTGTTTAAGGACTGGGACCGATGCTTTTGACTGTGACGTCTTTGTACGAGGACGGAATGTTTGAACGAGTCCATTTAGAGACATGTGACCGAACTGGGACAGCATTCGTTTAGTCCAGTAACTTCATTAAGAGACTTTGGCATTTCCTGTTTCAGAACGAGAACGACGAGTCAGGTCTTAAAGCTGGAGGAGGTTTTGGTTTAGTTTAATTCATTCATTCTGTTTGTCTGATTAGAGCGGGACCAGAGAGGGACCAGAGAGGGACCAGAGCGGGACCAGAGATGGACCAGAGAGGGACCAGAGCGGGACCAGAGATGGACCAGAGAGGGACCAGAGAGAGACTAGAGAAAGAGATACCAGAGAGACCAGAAAGGGACCAGAGAAAGGCACCAGAGAGAGACAAGAGAAAGAGATCATAGAGGGACTAAGAGGAGACCAGAAAGGGACCAGAGAGAGACCAGCAAGAGACCAGCGAGAAAGAGTGAGCAGTGAAAAATACTAGAGAGAGACCAGAGAGAGAGACCAGAGAGAGACCAGAGAGCGACCAAAGAGAGGGACTAGAAAGAGACTAGAAAGAGACTAGAGAGAGACCAGAGAGAGACCAGAGAAAGACCAGAGAGACCATAGCTTCACCGAGACAGGACCTCTGAAAGCTGAGCAGTGGTTTGGACAGAAGGGTTGGGGGAATGGTTTACCCGGTTCAGCGCCTGCAGAAAGAGCTTGTGTGCGGCCTCCACCACACACTGGTTCTTCAGAACTTTCAGAGACACATTGGCTGAGTCCGAGTCTGGGTCCGAGACCGAGGCCCCGCCGTCCCGTACACTCCGCTCTGCAAACACATAAGAGTTTAGGACTAAACTACAGGAAGTAATACACTTTTGATCACAGTTAGAGCACAAAGAAGGACAAGGACAAATTTATAGACAACGGCCAAGTGAAAGAAACTTTTAGTCCTGCTTTTGACTTGGTTAAGTCCTGCTTTGGTCCTGCTTTAGACTGAATTTTGTCCTGCTTCCATCCTGCCCTAGACCTGATGGAAGCAGGACTAAAGATCTGGTTTAGACCTGCTTCAGACCTACTTTAGTCCTGCTTTAGACCTGATTTAGACCTGTTTTAGTCCTGCTTTAGTCCTGCTTTAGACCTGCTTTAGACCTGTTTTAGTCCTGCTTTTGACCTGTTTTAGACCTGCTTTAGACTTGCGTCAGTCCTGCTTTAGACCTTCGTTCGACCTGCTTCAGTCCTGCCTCAGACCTGCTTAAGTCCTGCTTCAGACCTGCTTAAGTCCTGCTTCAGACCTGTTTTAGTCCTGGGCCTCTTGTGTACATCTGTGATCAGCGCTCTCCTTGTTGGGCTTGATAGTTCAGATAGACGGCCTTTGTCTTGGTAGATTTGCAGTGGTGCCAACTCTTTCCCTTTCTTAATAAAGGTTTGAGCAGTGCTATGTTTTTTTAAATAACTAAACGCTGCTTTAAACTTCTCGACAACTTCCTCCCTGACCTCTGACCTCTGACCTCTCTGGTGTGCTCCTTGTCCTTCATGATACTGTTTAGCGACCAGTCACCAGGAGACCAGAGACCGCAGCTCACACACTGGTGGGCTCTGTGTCTCTGTGTGAGGGTGTTGATACAGTAGGTCCCATTTCGTTTTGTCGCCTTTCACGCGTGAATCACACGAGACTCACGTGTGATTCACGCGTCTTTTATTTATTTTTTCCCCAGTGATGCTGCAATGACCCAAACAACCACCAGGTGGCACTTGTGAGCAGGGTTAGGAAAATTGGCTTCTCATCGGTCTTTGTTCTCTGTTCACCAGACAACTTTCTGTGACGTTATAGCTCAATGATAAGGATGTGGACTCTGGTGCCAGAGGACCCGGGTTCAAGTACAGGCTATGACACTTTTGATTTTGTTGACGTTTACATGTTTTCTAAAACATACTTAGTAATTAGGCCAACACATTTAAAATAGTTGCTAGACTGTAGTAAACTTCACAATCTGCACCAACCAAACTGCAGGAAAAAAATGCAACTTTATTCAGTAACGGAGTAATCTGATTCATATACTCCCCCCGCTAATAAAAAATTGAGGATTTGCCGGGGCTCAAACCCCGACCGTCCAAGCGAAAGTCTTGGACAATCCCGCTACACCACACAGGCGCTGGAGAAAACCCAGGATCTAATAGGAAAGACCGCTGAGTGAATGAGCCGTGCGTATGTGCGGGACGCTTAAAATGCCTTATATGCAAGTTAATGCAAATGTTTGCCATATGATCTGCTACTCCTGTGCATTTTAGAATTCCTAATTAATGGTAGCTATATGTGACATGTGTAGTTTAATTTTTTGTAATTATACACAGCCTATATATTGCTAATCTATGTAAAAGTATTCAGAATACAGTGTACACTCGTGTACATAACATCATAACTCAATACTTCAAAAACTCATAAACTTGGTACTTCACTCGGTACTTCAAAAACTCAGAAAACTCATAAAACATGTTCAGATCTTTCATAAAACTTGTCAACAATCTTCAGTAAAATACCAAACTTCATCAGTCGATGGTGGTTCCAGATATTGCTTTGAAAACAGTCTCTCCCACTTCTTTGTTTTGATTCTTCAGGCTGCATTTGTGCCGAGCCATGATTCTTTGGTGACGTGTCGTTCAATCACACGTTTCAGCTTCAGTGTCCAGATTCAGAAATCCAAATCAGTCCAAATCATGTCCAAATTGTGTAATCCAATTGTTCCAAATTATGTCCATGCAAAAGAGGACGATGGTATTGTCCATGTCTCAGCAGCTCACAGCCTGACTGGAATCAGGGGCTGTGCAGATTGTCCAAGTGCTGATCCAGATGCATTCTCTTGAGGTTTCTCAGTTTCGGCTTAAAAATAACAACACATTTTTGTGTAAAAAAAATAAGTCTTCTGTTCACTAGATGTTACAGACAAGGCCCGCATCCTCCACCACCTGAAGAAGATGACATGTCTGGGATCGTGTCTTTAATTCCGACAGAAGACATGTTTTATTGTCGATGGTAGAGACAGCACGAACAATAGAATGCAAGTGTATTATACAGAGCGGAGGCATGGAGACCTGACCTCCAATCAGCAGCTGCCACGGTGCCATGTAGCTTGGCCTTCAGATAGACAAAACAAGGGAAAAGTACTGGCTTCTGCACATTGATAGAATGATGAGTTTAACTGGAAATTGAATTTGGTATATCTACACATGTTTTTGTGTAGGTAATGGATATGTATGTGATTGGCTGAAAAATCACACTTTTTGCACTTCACACTTTCAAAATGTCTTTTGTCCTATTAGATTTTTAATTGGATTTTGACATGACAAGCTATAATCAATCATGATGAAATATTTCTCTGTGTGTGTGTGTGTGTGTGTTGTGTGTGTGTGTGTGTGTGTGTGTGCACTTGTTTTCAACTCCTGGTGGGTTCCATAACCTGAGATTCCACTCACGTCATGGGGACTGGTTTTACGTGGTGGGGCCCGAACACCGGACCCCACTGGTCCAAGCTTAATAATCAATGGGTAATGCTTTTCTAACGGTCCTTATGCAGTCTCTGTAAAAATATGGAAAGGACCCCTGGAGGTTTACTTTCCTGAAAAAATGTGTTATGTGTCGGAACCCTGGTGGTGGGTTGCGGGATATCAAGGAGGGGCACACTGGGGCAATTTCAGTCCAGCAGGCTGGAGCCAATCATGGAGCAGCACAACAGAGGAAATCAGGTGTCAGGCTAGAAAAAGGTGCAAGTGTGTGGTTCATTAGGCTGCAAGAAATCATGGAGGAGCACACTGAAGCGCACGCTTACTAACCACTGGTAAGTGCTGACTACAAGTCATGACTTCAAATTGTTATATAGAATGATTACAAATTATTTGTTGTTTGTGCAGCTTAGTCAAGAGTCCCTAATTGATGAAGTCGACTCAGATTCTGACGATTTAACTGTCAAGAAGAAACCTGTAAAAAAGTATGGAAAAAGAAAAATCAAAAACACTTTTGGACAATATATTTGGTACGGAATTGGTTGTATAACGGAATCTGGATCACCTATAGCTGATACGTGCGATTGAAAGACATCGTCACAGAAGAAGAATTCAGGGGCTTGACACTAATGCAGCCTGTAAGAAATTCAACGTCGTGAAGGGGAGAGGACTGTGTTCAAAGCAATATGCTGAGAACCATTGATCTGATGATGTCGTGGTGATGTTTTCTGAAGATTGTTTGACCAAGTTTTATGAATGATCTGAATAGGTTTGTATGAGGTTTTCTGAGTTTTTTTTGAAGTACCATCAGAGTGAAGTACCACGAGTTGTAAGTAGTGTGTTTATGTATGGTTTGTGCTACGTATATACTGTATGCTGTGTGCTATTTTGTGGTGCTCTATGCTGTAGATTTGCAAAGAGCATATGCAGTATTATATGTGATAAGACTTAAGTGGACATACATATCTAGTCTCACTAACAGACGGAGTCACTATGAAAACATGGAACGAAATTCATTTGACGTGTGGTTCATAATTACTCGGGTGTCAGGAACACAGACTCAGACCGTGTCATTGACATGGAAGTCTTCTTTTGAAGTAATGTTATGTTCTCTTTGATAGAAGGGTCGGGTTAGCTGGAGTGAGCCATGAGGTTTTGGCCGTTTGCATCTATAGTGTGTTCTGAGAAATGCACAAACTGATTATCAAAAGTATAGACTGTGCATTCGCAGGGACACACTGCCATGGCATCTCTTCTGCATTGTCCACATGTGGTACTGTATCTGTGGACTACTGTAGTACTCTCTTGGAGCTCTCCCTCCCCCGCACGAATAACAAAGCCCACCCCAGCCCTGCTGTTATAAGTCATTACCTAAATTTGCAAATCAATACATGCAAATGTTAGCAGCCCAACCTAGCATAGTGTGTATCATCTATGGTATTAAGCAACTTTTGTTAAAGTTAAACTCATCATTCTATCAATGTGCAGAAGCCAGTACTTTTCCCTTGTTTTGTCTATCTGAAGGCCAAGCTACATGCACACGTGGAAGCTGCTGATTGGAGGTCTCCATGCCTCCGCTCTGTATAATACACTTGTATTCTGTTGTATCTGTTGTTCGTGCTGTCTCTACCATCGACAATAAAACATGTCTTCTGTCTGAATTTAAGACGCGATCCCAGACTTTGTCATCTTCTTCAGGTGGTGGAGGATGCGGGCATTGTCTGTAACATCTAGAGAACAGAAGACTACTTTTTTTTTACACAAAAATGTGTTTTTTTTTTAAAGCCAAAACTGAGAAACCTCAAGAGAAACCATGCATCTGGACCAGCACACTTGGACAATCTGCACAGCCCCTGATTCCACTCAGGCTGTGAGCTGCTGAGACATGGACAACACCATCGTCCTCTTTTGCATGGACATCATTTGGAACAATTGGATTACACAATTTGGACATAATTTGGACTGAATTGAATTGCTGAATCTGGACACTGAAGCTGAAACGTGTGATTGAAAGACACGTCACAGAAGAATTCATGGCTCGACACAAATGCAGCCTGAAGAAACCAACACAGAGAAGTGGGAGAGACTGTTTTCAAAGCAATATCTGGAACCACATCGACTGATGAAGTTTGGTATTTTACTGAAGATTGTTGACAAGTTTTATGAAAGATCTGAACATGTTTTATGAGTTTTCTGAGTTTTTGAAGTATTCCGAGTTCTGAGTTTTTTGAAGTACCGAGTGAAGTACCGAGTTTGAGTTTTTAAAGTATTGAGTTATGATGTTATGTTGCTGTTTATCGATCCTGATGGTCACAGGTGAATGTGTGACCAGAGGGGGAATGTGAGATTTCATAACACTTTTAAACAACTTTTGTTAAAGTTAAACTCATCATTCTATCAATGTGCAGAAGCCTGTACTTTTCCCTTGTTTTGTCTATCTGAAGGCCAAGCTACATGGCACCGTGGAAGCTGCTGATTGGAGGTCTCCATGCCTCCGCTCTGTATAATACACTTGCATTTTGTTGTTCGTGCTGTCTCTACCATCGACAATAAAACATGTCTTCTGTCTGAATTTAAGACGCGATCCCAGACTTTGTCATCTTCTTCAGGTGGTGGAGGATGCGGGCCTTGTCTGTAACATCTAGAGAACAGAAGACTACTTTTTGTTTAAAGTCATAATTTCAATATTTTTTATTTTTATACACACATTATTAACTAAACTGTTGCGTTCTAATCTTTTTTTAGGAGGAGGAGAGCGCAGTCAGGCCAGGCTCGCCTCGCACATCTTAACACTAGAACTTGTTGATTAGCATTTGTATAGCTCACAGCATTGCCATTTACATGTTAAAGCCTCCTGTGAAGGAGGGAGGAGGGGACAACAAACTACCGTCAACAGCCGAATCCCAGAAGTTTCACAGTAATTAACAGGGCCGAAAAGAGAAAAAAATCACACTTTTCATGCAGTGATTGTTCTCAAATAAAAGATGACTTAAAGGAACAATATGTAAAAATCTGGCCAAAAGTGGTAAATAAAAGCAATGTAATTATACATAGTTTATGCAAAATAAATAAGCAATTGATGTCCAAAATAGGAGTGGGAAGAATGGATGTTGGAACGTATTTCTTCAGCGTATCAACAACAGGGAATGCTCAAGAGGATATCACCTTTCAATTTTATTTATTCCCTATTTTTTAGACAAACATGTAAAAGTTCCACATCAAAAAGAGACTAACATTATTTTAATTGGGGTACATGTGGTCTTAAATGATTATTTTTACAATTAAGCTATAATCTGCAAAAAAACGTCTTGACCTTCATCTTTTACCGTTTTTAGAGCAATCTGTCATAGAATGTGATAACATGCAATAAATACAAAAAGACATAGCCCGGGATCGAACCCGGGTTCCTGCATCGCAAGGGCACAGTCTAGACTAGAGCCCTGCACTTGAGCCCTTGGCCCGAGGGCCCCGACGGCCCGACAGCCCGAGGGCCGGGCTTCGGGCCGATGACCGCATAATGACCTCGGACACGGGCCGGGCTCGGGCTCTTCATTTTCAGAGTGGCAGAATAGATTTACGAGCGCACCCACTGAATATAGCGTTCTATCACGCTGTAGTGTTTGTTGTTCTGTGTAGTGTTGTCATTGACGGCACATAGCATTACTTATGTAATGTGCAGATGTGTTGCAGCATCGGGGGCATCATACAGATGCGGCCGTTCACTCTGCACCACTCCGCACACACAGAACTCATTGCAACACATCACTACCATGTATAACTCCGCCCTCTAGCTAAGTCTGCGTTCATATCAGTGCGCGGCACTATATACTACGCTAAAACATTGTTATGGGAGGTTACAAAAAAAAAAAAAGGCGGGCTTGATGCGGGTTTCGGGCCTGAAAATTCAGAAACCATATCGGGCCGGGCCGGGCTGGGGCGCCACCCCCTCGGGCCAGGGCCGGGCTCGGGCCCAGATAATAGGCCCGTGCAGGGCTCTAGTCTAGACCACTATACCACCGATTCACACGAACAGACACTGTGAAGAACGGATTCAAAGTAGAAAATTCTGCATCACACGTGAACTTTTATCAGCTGTCTCAATTGTTCAAAGGCATCCCGATATAAATCCTCGTTTTAGTCTTTATTTTGTCATTAATGATTTGAGAGTCATAACAAGACCTTTTTTAGTTCTGCGCCACATGTGTGCGTCACTAGGCAAAACAGGTTTGCACGCAGTCTTATACCTGAGCGTTTAAGTCGCTGGCAGAGCTAAAGCGGACTTAACCTGCCACCTAGTGGCGATAGGATGTAATATGTTTCACGCAGCTGCGTGATTCATGAAAAGCGTGAATGAAGACGACAAAACGAAATGGGACCTACTGTACCTGGACTGAGCAGCACCAGACAGCCCCTGAGCGCCTCCTGCTGGACGTCGGCCTCGTGTGTGTGCGTCCTCATGGTGGAGAGCATCTGGGACATAGCCATGCTCAGATCGTCCAGACCAGCAACGTTACTATTACACACAAACACAAAGAGGGACATAGATTCACAAAACAACCAGAGACTGTATACAGATGAGAGAGACCAGAGAAAGAGACCAGAGAAAGATTAAAGATAGATCTGAGAGAGAGACCAGGAAGACCAGAGAGAGAGAGACCAGAAAGAAACCAGAGCGAGATACCAGGGAGAGACCAGAGAGAGACCAGAGAGAGAGACCAGAAAGACCAGAGAGAGAGCAGAGAGAAGAGAAACCAGAAAGAGACCAGAGCAGAAAGATCAGGGAGAGACCAGAGAGAGACCAGAGAGAGACCAGAGAGAGAGAGACCAGAGAGAGAGCAGAGAGAGAGAGAGAGACCAGAGAGAGAGCAGAGAGAGAGAGAGACCAGAGAGAGAGCAGAGAGAGAGAGAGACCAGAGAGCAGGAAGATCAGGGAGAGACCAGAGAGAGACCAGAGAGAAGAAAAACCAGAAAGAGACCAGAGCGAGATACCAGGAAGAGACCAGAAAGAGATCAGAGAGAGAGATCAGAGAGAGATAAAAGAGAGACCAGAGAGAGACCAGAAAGTGACTATAAAAAGGACCAGAGAGAGAGACCAGAGAGAGATCAGAGAGATGGAGAGACCAGAGAGAATAGGGAGAGGACCAGACAGATCAGAGAGAGACCAGAGATGCAAAACAGAGGGACACTATGGAGATCAGAGAGACACCATAGAGATCAGTGAGAGACCAGAAAGACACAAAAGAGAGACCATAGAGACTTAAAATAAAGTGTCATGTTATACTAGCAGTTGTTTGATGTTGTTGGAGTGAACACACAGAGCATGAGAAGTACACAGTGAAATTGCACAAAATCGCGAGTTCAATAAAGTGTATAGTGTAGTGGTCAGTTGTGTACTGGTTTAAAACAACGGTTCAAATGTCCGTCTTCCGAGTCGTGTTCGTACCGTCCGTGGAAAAGCAGCCGCAGCAGTTTGCAGCCGCTGACCGAGACGCCGCGCGACATCTGGTGTTTCTTCATGATTTCCACTACGTTCACATGAAGTCCACTTGAGACCAGCAGGGGGCGCATTTTACCTGTTCAGAGAGACAGTGTGAGACTGCGAGAGAGGAGGGGAGGGTGTCTGCTCCATCCCCCCGCCCTGTCTGTCACATACAGCTGTTTTCAAACTCGCACCACAGGCACATCCCCACTGTAGAACTACACAGGAAATTCAAAGTCACACTACAGCGGTCTCTCTTTGGTCTCACGCTGTTCTCTCTCTTGCAGCTAGCAGCAAGAGAGAGCTCTCTCGCTGCTCTCTCTCTCTAGTCTCTTTGGTCTCTCTTTGGTCTCTCTCTGATCACGCTCTGGTGTCTGGTCTCTCTCTGGTTTCTGGTCTCTCCCTATCTCTGGTCTCTCTCTGGTCTCTCTCTGGTCTCTGGTCTCTCTTCTGGTCTCTCTCTTGTCTCTGGTCTCTTCTGGTCTCTCTATGGTCTCTGGTCTCTTCTGGTCTCTCTCTGGTCTCTGGTCTCTCTCTGGTCTCTGGTCTCTCTCTGGTACTCACTCTTGTGCATGAGCAGAGCGATGATGGCGCTGGTCGCGGCCTCAAACACTCGTGTTGACTCAGAGTGAAGCAACATGGCCGCCATCAGCTGCCGGTGAACAGGAGTTCTGCTGAGACGATGAGGAAGGAAGGACATTTACTTATATAGCACATGTTAGGGATATGACCGTCCATTCCGCCCATTCACAACTATGTAAAAAACATCACACGTTTTTTGTGTAGCGGTTGTGTGGCTATGGAGTAGTTGTGTAGTGATTGTGTATTGGTTGTGTAGTCATTGTGCAGTCGTTGTGTAACGTTTGTGTTGTTGTTGTTTGGCTGTGTATTGGTTGTGTGATTGTGTATCTCCTGGACCTGGTGCTGCTCTCCTCCTCAGACTGACTGAGTCCAGCTCCGTGCAGCAGCAGACTGTGGATGGCCCAACTCGCCGCCTCCTGAAACACAAGGTTTTAATCTCATTACATTCATCGGTGCAAAGGTCTCTGGTCTCTCTTTCTGATCTCTCCCTGGTCTCCCTTTTGTCTCTGTCTCTCTGGTGTCTCTCACCAGTCCCTCTTTTTGCCTCCCTCTGGTCTCTGTCTGGTCTCTCTCTTAGGCCTCTCTCGGGTCTCTCTCCCTCTTTCTGATGACTTAAGATGACCCTTTTATTTTGACACGCCTATGAGCTCTTCTCACCTGCACTCTAGGCTCCTCTGCATGGAGCTCCAGGGCAGAGCAGCACAACTCCATCCAGGTCAGCCCCTGAGGCTCCTCCCCTTTCTCAAGATTCCCCTCCCCCTCTGCCGGAGGCTCCTCCCCCTCCTCCATAGGCGCTGCTGCAGCCGCCGCGTTCTGCACCAGTGTCTGAGCTGAGAACAAGTCACATTATTTAGAATTCGCCAACAGCAGATTCAAAAACCAACAGTAGAACAAGTAGAGAGATGAGAAAGAGAGATGAGAGAGAAACCCAATGGGAGACCGGAGAGTGAGCCTAGAGAGAGACCAGAGAGAGAGACCAGAGAGAGAGACCAGAATCAGAATCAGAATATTTTTTATTGCCACGTAAGTAACAGGAGGTCACAGACTTGGAAATTGCTTTGGCTCAGTGCAACAGTCAATAGATAATAAAAATAAAGAATAAAAAACACTTCTAAGGAATACATTTAAATTTAAAATAGAGTTACAGTTACTATTTACAATATACAAGTGCACATGGTGCACACAATGTAAGGTGACAGCAGTACAGTGAAGTAAAGTGACGTATGATGGGCAGTAAAGTGACTTTATAAAGGGCGGGGGGACAGGTTAAGAAGTGTTCAAGAGTCCAACAGCAGAGGGGAAGAAACTGTTCTTTTGGCGGGAGGTTCTAGTCCTGATGGACCGCAGCCTCCTGCCTGAGGGGAGTGGTTGGAATAGTCCATGTGCAGGGTGAGAGGGGTCGGCTGTGATACGACCAGCCCGGCCTCGAGCTCGGGCGACGTACAGGTCCTGCAGCGATGGAAGGCTGCGGCCGATCACTTCCTCTGCAGAGCGCACAATGCGCTGTAGTCTCTGTTTGTCCCTGACTGTGGCTCCAGCGAACCACACGGTGATGGAGGAGGTGAGGATGGACTCGATGATGGCCGTGTAGAACTGCACCAACATCTGTGCAGGCAGCTTGGCTTTCCTGAGTTGCCGCAGGAAGTGCATCCTATGATGGGCCTTCTTGATGAGGGAGCTGATGGTCGGCTCCCACTTGAGGTCCTGGGTGATGGTGGTGCCCAGGAAACGGAAGGACTCCACAGAGGTGATGGGGGAGTCCACCACGGAGGGTGGTCCATCACCAGAGAGAGAGGGTAAAAAAAAAAGCTGCCAGAGGGAGCTACAAACATGTGGCTTTTACATGTGATTGTAAAAGAAAAAATTTCACCAAATAAATGACCAAAAAGGTATTTATGCTCAATATTTTTCTTTTAAAAGAATCAGCTTCAGTCCTGGATCTTCAGCCTCCGTCCTGGGTCTACAGGAGGGTGTGAGGACAGGGATGATCCAGGCTCCTGTGCATTTGTTCTCATAAAAAAGAAAGTTTTATCTTATCTTCACTTATAATTATTGAGCAAAACTTCGTCCATGAGCACTTCCCTATTGCGTTTCATTTCGAACACAAAGGCAGAGGATGTGAGAGTGTTGCGGTTTGGTTATTTTTATCTCAGTGGCGGAGTTTCCCTGTGACATAACACTTACTCTGTTGTTGACTCTCTGTGTGACTAATGTATAATCCACAAACTCATGTGGAGGAACTCTGCTCTGTGGAACACCATCTTAGAAAAACTCATTGTTTCACATTTTCTGGTCCATAAATAACATATTTTTGTCTCATGTTTTTACTTTTGAATCTATTGTGGCAGATTCTGAAGGGACGCAGGCTAGAACAGGCTGCGTTCATGGTTCTGAATAGTATGTCAGTATTTTAGCACACTGGACCAGGACTGGACCAAGATTGGACCAGGGCTGAACCAGGACTGGACCAAGACTAAACCAGGACCAGACCAGGACTAATAGAAGGGCCATAGAGAGACCAGAGAGACCGGAGAGAGGCTACATGTAGATACAGTATATAAGCAAAAGAGACCATAGAGAGACCAGTGAGAAACCAGAGAGAAAGAAGAGAATAGAAGAGACCAGAAAGAGAGACCAGAGAGAGAGCAGAAACCAGAGAGACCAGAGAGAGCAGTGGTCATAATGACGTCAGTGAAGTTCTAAAAGTGAATGTATTAGTGAAGGATATAATCATGGATCTATAATAATAACGGATATAATAAACAAGACCAGTGCTATTTCTGCTACTGTGTAAAACAAGTGGACCAGAGACCAGAGAGAGACCAGAGAGAGACCAGAGAGAGACCAGAGAGAGACCAGAGAGAGGCCAGGGTGAGGCAGACCATAGAGAGACTACAGAGAGACCAGGGAGAGAACAGAGAGAGACAGACCAGAGCGAGACAGAGACCAGAGAGAGAGAGACCAGGGAGCGACTGGAAAGACCAGAGAGACCAAATAGAGACTAGAGAGAGAGCAGAGAGAGATTAGAAGGACCAGAGAGAGACTAGGGAGAGCCCAGAGGGAGACTAGAGAGGGACAGACCAGAGAGAGACTACAGAGAGATTAGAGATAGAGACCAGGGAGCAACCGGAGAGACCAGAGAGAGACCAAAGAGAGACCAGAGGGAGACCAGAGGGAGACAGACCAGAGAGAAACTGGAGAGAGACTAGAGAGAGACTAGGGAGCAACTGGAGAGACCAGATGGAGACCAGAGAGAGACCAGAGAGAGAATGGAGAGAGACTAGACAGAGACCAGGGTGAGAACAGAGAGAGAGAGACCTGAGAGAGAGAGAGAGAGACCAGGGAGCGAATGGAGAGACCAGAGAGATCAAAGAGAGACTAGAGAGAGAGCAGAGAGAGACTTGAGAGACCAGAGAGATAAGTATCTCATCCACACACCGCAAAACCAGACACAACATATTTTGACAACTTTATAAAGAAGTTTTCCACCTTTTAAACCAAAAGTAATTCCCTTTCATTAGTTTTGGGGACTCCTCAGGTGAGATGATAGACCCAGATGTGTGGGACTCACTGAGGCTGGCGAGGCAGGACAGAGCGGCCGTCTGGAGCTCTGCGTTGTCTGGGAACGTCTCACAGGCCCGAACTAAAGACCTGTGCACTCCGTTTACCACCAGGATACTGCAGAAGCTCTCTGTGAAGGGAAAAAACGGCAGTCACTGAGAAGGAAAAAATATTGAACAAGAGCTGATTGGCCAAATGAGGCGGTCTTCTCTTTTCCTCTTTCCTGTCTGAAAGTGATATATAGGGTTAAGACTAGACTAGCTTTTAGACTGGACTAGAGCCAGACTTAGACCAGCTTTAAGAACAGATATGGACTGAGAGAGACCAGAGAGAGAGACCTGAGAGAGACCAGGGAGAGGGACTCGCTGTAAGACCAGAGAGAGACCGAACTTGGACCAGACTTTAGAACAGCTTTAAGACTAGACTATGGTCAGATTTGGACCAGACCAGGGCCAGCTTTAAGACCAGATATGGACAGAGAGAGACCAGAGAGAGGGACCAGAGAAACAAGATAGAGAGACTAGAAAGAGATCAGAAAGATTGAAACTGCAGAGAGATCAAAGAGAGAGACTAGCGTGAAAAACCGTGAGAGACCAGACTTGGACCGAACTTTGGAACAGCTTTAAGACTAGACTAGGACCAGATTTGGACCAGACCAGGGCCAGCTTTAAGACCAGATATAGAAAAGATAAGTATCAAACTTTAGACCATCGTAAGACAAGACTCGGAGAAGACTTGGACCAGCTTTAAAACCGGTTTTAAGACTAGACTTTAGACCAGCTTTAAGTTTTATAAGAACAGATTTTAGACTAGGACTACACCAGGACTAGTCTTTCGCCCAGACTTCTCTCTGACCTGAGCAGAACTTGTGAAGGAGGCAGCAGCCCACTTCCTGGATGTCTTCAACTTCTGGGAACGTTGTCATGGCGACGGTGACCACGCGGTAACAGCGCACGGCGGCGGACATCAGGATCTCCACGTTACTGTCTGAAAAGAGGGGGTTGGTCAGAACAAACGGCCACAACAGGAGTCCTCGTTTAGGCCTGGGTCAACACACGTGGGTGGTCCGAACAATGGTCTGAGAGAGAGACCAGAGAGAGAGACTAGAGAGAGAGACTAGAGAGACACAAGAGAGAGACTAGAGAGAGACTTTTGGAATCCAGCACGTTATTCCGGGTTACTGGGATGTGCGGCTTTATTTGAAACCTTCTTGTATGTGTTTTTTTTATCATTGCATTTCTTGTGTTTGAACGGTTTGATTCTCTGATCTGTGCTGGAGAATAAATGGTTTTGTAAAGTCCTCCGAGATGACTTTGGTTGTGATTTATGGGCTGTACAAAAATAAGTTGCATTGAATTGATTTGAACCAGAGAGAGAGACCAGAGAGAGACCAGAAAGAGACCAGAAAGAGAAACAAGAGAGGGACCAGCGGGACTAGAGAGATAGAAAGAGACCAGAGGGAGAGACCAAAGAGGGAAACCAGAGAGAGAGAGACTAGAGAGAGAGACCTGAAAAAGAGACCAGAGACAGAAGCTAGAGACCAGAGGGACTAGAGAGATAGAAAGAGACCAGAGAGAGAGACTAGAAAGAGACACCATAGGGAGAGACTAAAGAGAGACCAGAAAGAGACACCAGAGAGATACCGGAGAGACTAAAGAGATAGAAAGGGACCAGAGGGAGAGACCAGAGAGAGACCAGAGAGAGATAAGAGAGAGACCAGAAAGAGACACCATAGAGAGACCGGAGGGACTAAAGAGACAGAAAGAGACCACAGAGGGAGAGACTAGAGAGAGACCAGAAAGAGAGCGATCGATCCAGAACATAAGCCCTCCATGTTGCAGCTGGACACAGGGGGGTGGTCAGAACAACGGTCACAGAATGTCCTTGCGATAATGTGATTAAAGCTGCGAGACATTCATAGAAGTCATGAACACTTTCTGCAAACCCACATTCAACACAATTGTCTTTCGTTCCATTAAACATGTTTGTGTGTCTGGTATTTAAAACTATTCATAGAGCGGTTCTTAAAATCTGCATCTCAAGTCACTAGGTTTCACACACAGAGAGAGACCAAAGAAAGAGAGACCAGTGAGAGAGCGAGAGAGACTAGAGAGACCGGAGACCAGAAAAAGAGACCAGAGAGAGAGAGAAAGAGAGACCAGAAAGAGAGAGAGAGACCAGAATGAGAGACCAGATAGACCAAGACCTGAGAGAGAGACCAGAGAGAGAGAGATAGAGAGAGAGAGAGAGAGAGAAACCAGATAGAGAGACCAGAAAGAGAGACCACACAGAGAGAAAGAGAGACCAGAGAGAGCAGAAAGAGAGAGAGAGACCAGAATGAGAGACCAGAGAGACCAAGACCTGAGAGAGAGACCAGAGAGAGAGAAAGAGAGAGAGAGAAACCAGATAGAGAGACCAGAAAGAGAGACCAAACAGAGAGAAAGAGAGACCAGAGAGACCAGAAAGAGAGAGAGAGACCAGAATGAGAGACCAGAGAGACCAAGACCTGAGAGAGAGACCAGAGAGAGAGAGAGAGAGAGAGAGAGAGAGAGAGAGACCAGAAAGAGAGACCAAACAGAAAGAAAGAGAGACCAGAGAGAGCAGAAAGAGAGACTACAAAAAGAGAGACTAGAAAGAGGGACGGGAAGGAGAGACCAGAGAAAGAGAGAGGAACCAGAAAGAGAGACCAGAGAGAGAGAGAGACAGCGAGAGAGAGAGAGTTTTCCTCAAAAGAAGATGTAAACAGTATAAAAACATTTTACAAAAGACTCCTTCTATTTTAACTGCATGTGTTATTTATGAGTCTGAAGTTACGTACCCCAGCTTTAAGGAACAAAGAGTATATAATAATAAAAGTCAGTACTGGGCTGTAGAAAGTTATTAAGATAATTGGATAAATGTACAAACTTCCTGCTTCTGTGTGTGGCCGCTACAGACACAGGTTTCATTCATGTTTCAATAATCAAATCAAATGACTGTGCAGTGTCCTGTAGGGGGCACCAGAGAGCGTGTATGACCATAGTGTTTTCCTTAATATGGAAGAAGTCCATTTGAAGATAAGCTAGCAGGAACCAATTTCCTTATATGGGCATTTGTTCTGACGGCGTTAGCTTAGTCCACTCCTAATGCTATTCACATAGAGAGACCAGAGAAAGGGAGAGAGACCTTAGTGTGGAAGAAGGCCATTTGAAGTTAAGCTAGCAGGAGCCAACTTCCTTATATGGGCATTTGCGTCAGCTTAGTCCACTCCTAATACTAGTTTTCACATGGAGAGAGACCAGAGAGAGACCAGACACAGAGAGAGACCAGATAGCGGGACCAGAGACAGAGAGATCAGAGAGAGAAAGACCAGATAGAGACACCAGAAAGTGAGAGAGACCAGAGAGAGAGAAGCTAGAGAGAGAGAGCGAGACCTTAATGTAGAAGAAGGCCATTTGAAGTTAAGCTAGCAGGACCCAACTTCCTTATATGGGCATTTGTTCGGACGGCTTTAGCTTTGTCCACAGCTAATGTAGGCTTTATGGTCTGATAGCAGGATGATTGGGGGGTGCACTTACTGAGGCTGGCCAGCAGGAGGAGTAATCTCAGCCCGTGCAGCTGGAGCTCTGGACTCTCTCTGAAGCTGCGCAGAGACGACAGGACGCAGACGTGGTTCTGACGCTCCACAAAGTCCAAGAGCAGCTCCTGTCGCTCTGCAAACGCACAAACCCATCCAATAACATGCCCCGTAACGGGTGAAACCGGATCCCCCTCCTCTGGTCTCTCTCTCTGGTCTGGCCTTTATCTGGTCTTTCTCTGGTCTCTGTCTGGTCTCCCTCGGGTCCCTGTATTTGGTCCCTCTATTTTCTGGTCTCTTTTAGTCTCTCCTTGCTCTTTCTTTTGTCTATCTCTGGTCTCTCTCTGGTCTCTCTCTGGTCTCTCTCTGGTCTCTCTCTGGTCTCTCTCTGGTCTCTCTCTGGTCTCACTCTGGTCTCACTCTGGTTTCTCTCTGGTCTCGCTCTGGTCTCATAGTGATGATGTACCTGTCTGCAGCAGGGAGCAGAGTGCGGAGCAGCCCTGCACCTGCGCCTCCTCGCTGTGGGAGAACCTTGTCATGGAGGAGATCAGCAGCTCAAACACGTCCTCCTCCTCCAGGACCAGCTCACGGAGCAGATCTGTGAGAGGGCGAGTCGCAAGACACAAGCATGAGCTCAGGGTTCACAGCAGGCATGTCCAAACAGAACGATACCAGAGAGAGAGACCAGAAAGAGACCAGAGAGAGAAGCTAGAGAGAGAGCAGGAAGAGACAAGAGAGAGACCAGAGAGAGACCAGAGAGGGGCCAGAGAGAGACCAGAGAGAGACCAGAGAGAGACCAGAGAGAGACCAGAGAGAGACCAGAGAGAGACCAGAGAGAGAGAAGAGAGAGACCAGAGAGAGACCAGAGAGAGACCAGAGAGAGAGAAGAGAGAGACCAGAGAGAGAGAAGAGAGAGACCAGAGAGAGACAAGAGAGAGACCAGAGAGGGGCCAGAGAGAGACCAGAGAGAGACCAGGGAGAGACAAGAGAGAGACAAGAGAGAGAGAGAGAGCGCCATATGAAGAACAGGACCATGTGTAGTTGTATGATCTCCATCCTCTAATCCACAAAATAAAATAAAAATTACGGAGACTTTAAGACATGGACCTGATGTGAGCAGCAGGGCCAGAGCGCGGAGAGCCACCATCGTCACTTTGGCGTCCGAGGCGAACTGGGACAAGACCTTCAGGATGTGTCTGGAAATACACAGACGTGAGAGAGCCATCAAAACAGCAGCCAGTTCTTTGAGTTCGAACCTGCGAGCTCAATGAGGCCCAATAGGGAAGTGCTCGTGGACAAAGTTTGATATCAACCTTGTTCTGGTTCCTATTGACTTACGTGTAGAAGTAACCGTTCATGTCACACTCACTCATTTTGGGCTTTAATAAATCTGATCTACAGCCTCAGTCCTGGATCTACAGCCTCAGTCCTGGATCTACAGCCTCAGTCCTGGATCTACAGCCTCAGTCCTGGATCTACAGCCTCAGTCCTGGATCTACAGCCTCAGTCCTGGATCTACAGCCTCAGTCCTGGATTTACAGCCTCAGTCCTGGATCTACAGCCTCAGTCCTGGATCTACAGTCTCAGTCCTGGATCTACAGCCTCAGTCCTGGATCTACAGCCTTGGTCTTGGATCTACAGCCTCAGTCCTGGATCTACAGCCTCGGTCCTGGTTCTACAGCCTCAGTCCTGGATCTACAGCCTTGGTCTTGGATCTACAGCCTCAGTCCTGGTTCTACAGCCTCAGTCCTGGATCTACAGCCTCAGTCCTGGTTCTACAGCCTCAGTCCTGGTTCTACAGCCTCAGTCCTGGATCTACAGCCTCAGTCCTGGTTCTACAGCCTCGGCCCTGGATCTACAGCGTCAGTCCTGGATCTACAGCCTCGGTCCTGGATCTACAGCGTCAGTCCTGGATCTACAGCTTCAGTCTTGGTCCTAAAGCCTCAGTCCTGGTCCTACAGCTCCAGTCCTGGTCCTACAGCCTCAGTCCTGGTCCTACAGCCTCAGTCCTGGTCCTACAGCCTCAGTCTGGGGTTGCTGTACTCACTGGTGCACGCCCAGGACGTCCCAGTCTCTGGCCTGCAGTGGAGCAGTGACCTGAGCCAGAGTCTGAGGCCGGATCTGCATCAGACGACAGAGAAGAGACCACCCCACCTGAAAGAGAGTGGACTAGAGCTGACTGCATAAGGAGTAAAGCTTAAGAGAGACCAGAGACGACCAGAGAGAGACCAAAGAGAGATCAGGGAGAGAGACCAGAGAGAGAGACCAATTCAGTTATCTCGGAGGACTTTACACAACCGTTGAAATCGCCTACGCAGATCAGAGAATCAAACAGAGAAAGACCAGAGAGAGAAAGAGAGACCAGAGGGACACCAGAAAGAGAAACCAGAGAAAGAGACCAGAGAGAATGATAAGAGAGAGAACAGAGAGAGAGAGACCAGAGAGAGACCAAAAAGAGAGACCAGAGAGAGAGACACCAGAGAGACAGACCAGAGAGAGAGAACAGAGAGACAGACCAGGGAGAGAACAGCGAGACAGACCAGGGAGAGAACAGCGAGAAAGAGACCAGAGAGAGAACAGCGAGAAAGAGACCAGAGAGAGAACAGCGAGAGAGAGACCAGAGAGACACCAGAGAGAGAGACCAGAGAGACAACAGAGAGAGAGAGACCAGAGGGAGAGACCAGAGAGAGACCAGAGAGAGAGACCAGAGAGAGAACAGAGAAAGAGAACAGAGAGAGAGAGACCAGAGAGAGACCACCCTACCAGGATGAGTGCAGATGAGGGCAGACTCCATGGGGATTAGAGCCATGACTGTGGTTCTATAAATACCGTGACAGCCCTGAGCAGGACGTCACGGTCTGAGGAGGCATTATTGTGTAACGAGTTTGAGACAGGGGCGATCGAACAGAAGGGGCGGCGCCATGCTCCTTCTGTTAGCGTGGAGGAAGCTAAACACAACTACAGGTCTGCGACTGAGGAACAGTGTTGTTGATATTTACAGTGTATGGAACATGGAGGAAAGTCATAAAGAAAACAAGAACAAGGCAGGTCTAAAGCAGGTCTAAAGCAGGTCTAAAGCAGGACTAAAGCAGGACTAAAGCCGGACTACAGCAGGACTAAAGCAGGACTAAAGCCGGACTAAAGCAGGACTAAAGCAGGTCTAAAGCAGGACTAAAGCAGGTCTAAAGCAGGACTACAGCAGGACTAAAGCAGGACTAAAGCAGGACTACAGCAGGACTAAAGCAGGACTACAGCAGGACTAAAGCAGGACTAAAGCAGGACTAAAGCAGGTCTAAATCAGGACTAGAGAAGGTCTAAAGCAGGACTAAAGCAGGACCATAGCAGGACTATAGCAGGTGTAAAGCAGGATTATAACTGGTCTAAAGCAGGTCTAAAGCAAGTCTAAAACTGGTCTAAATCAGGACTAAAACTAGTCTACAGGAGGACTTACTTGCTGCACTGTTTTGCTCTGGATATTGGTCGACAGGACGATCATCAAACTGTTGACGTCAGATTCTGCAAACAGCTCCACGGCTGAAACCACAGGTCAGAGGTCAGAGGGAGTGACCACCCCCAATGCAAGAAAACAGCAGGAAGCATGTCATTGTAATCTGTCATTTCTGGAGCAATCCCCATGAAACAAAAACTGTTGTCGCCTCTAACCTCTCTCCTCTCCATATCCTTCTCTCTCACCTCCTGTACAGTTTAGACATCAGAATCATGTTATAATATCAATAATAACAATTATTATTATTATTATTTCACAAATGTCTTCTTCTGTCTTGGCTGAAACACTGAAGTTACTGTTGTGGACTTCAGAGGAGTTTCCTCCGGTGTCTGCGTGCTGCTGTTATGTCACTGTGCATGAGAAGAGCTGTTTCACAAGTTTGTCCTGAGCAGAGACTGAGTGTGACATCACCACAGTGTTACTGTGGAAGAGGCCGATTTGAACATAGGCTCGCTGGAGGCAATTTCCTATGGGCCTTTATTCACCAGCGTTCGCTCCTCGCCCTATCAGGGGCAGACTTGCTGCTAAGTTGGTAAGGCAGGATAAAGTTTCCCCCGTGAATGATTTGATTGGTCAGTCGTTTTATAGCTCATATCTAGAAAACTGACACAAACGGTTACTGAGCCAGAAAAAAGATTTACATGTTACTTTTAAATGTAAATCAATAGGAGCTATAAATGAACTTCCCACATGAGCACTTCCCTACTGGGCTTCATCAGTTTCCATCTGTGTACAGTCTGTGGTCCTGCCGCCTCACTCACATCACCGTTAGTTTCATGACTGACACTAGTCACTAGTTTCTTCAAAAGCATTTGTGCTGAGAGGATCTGGAGGTTTTGGACCCTGATGATCTGGAGGTTTTGGCCCCTGTGACTGTCCCCTCGCATTGGGGGGCAGTCGGTCAGAGCTGACCCCAGTGTGGGGTCACCACCTCTGTTCACCAAAAAGTCTGTTTTCAAACTTACATTTGCAGATCCTTCAACTCTTTCCCCCAGTAAAATGACGTTCTTTATGATGATGTCACATGACATGGTTATAACCATGTTCCACCTCTTCCACTCTTTTAATTTCTATTTCATAAAGTTGTCACATTCTAATATAATGTCAGGATATGCTGTAAGAACAAATCTGCAGCAGAAAACATGAATCACACAGAGACAGCCACAACTGAGGATTTGGTCATTGTTTTTGTCCTGATCTTAATATGGAATGAGGAGTAGAGTAGAGTAGAGTAGAGTAGAGTAGAGTAGAGTAGAGTAGAGTAGAGTAGAGTAGAGTAGAGTAGAGTAGAGTAGAGTAGAGTAGAGTAGAGTAGAGTAGAGTAGAGTAGAGTAGAGTAGAGTAGAGTAGAGTAGAGTAGAGTAGAGTAGAGTAGAGTAGAGTAGAGTAGAGTAGAGACCGTGTTCCGAGTGGGCGAGGAAAGCCATGTCCTGCAGGATCTGCTCCAGCGCTGGGAGCTGCTCCGGGTGCTTCGGGGTTTTAAGTCGGACCCAGAGCTTCTGCAACTTCTGCCCCAACTCCTCTCTCTCCCGGTCGGACATGGTACCCGCCCAACTACCACTCTAGAGGGGGTAAAAACGGTCTGGGCGAACACACGCATCAGATCGTCGCAAAGAGCCGCTCAGAGGTACATGACAGCGGGTCTACTCGTGGCTGGAGTCCGTCCCAGAGAGCGTCCGTCCCGGTGTGGATCTCAGCATGTCTCCGCTCTCACAGTTCTGGCCTCTCGTCATATGACAGGGACTGGACCACGGTCATAAAGCGGCGACGGGTGTCAAATACTGCCCTCTGGCGGCACGCATGCGCAATCACAGAGCAGTGTCCTGTTCATCTGAGCCAAAACGTCTGTTTCACAGCTTCTCTTAGTGTTCTCGTTCACTAATAAATGGTGTTTTCAGGCTCTTTCACATCTTTAAATCAACTTTTTCAGACAGAAGAGTGAAAGAGAGGACTACCCTCACCACCATCAGCTCTCAGCCCAACGCCTCAAATAGTGAAACAGGGGCTCTTTCTTACACAAAATGTTTTCAGATGAAGAAACATGTACTCTTTCTGTTCAAAATACATGTTATTAATGAGACTCAAGTTACGGCCCCCAGCTTTAAATATGTGTTAAATGTAATAGAAATTCCAAACACCCCATTACACCGCGGAAGACTATTACACGTCTATTATATCACTATTTCACCCTTATTACTATCATACACCTTTATTGCATTATGCATAAATTAAACAAAGACAAATACTACAAAACTCTAAAATGATCATACTTCAAACCATTATAAATCACATTATCATTATAAAAATGCATCGGTTTTACATGGTACTTTCTCCGATGCTTCACATGTCATTATTCATTCACTCCATACACGACGTGTTGTACTACTGTAGCCACAGCTGCCATGGGGCACACTGACAGAAGCGAGGCAACCAGTATGTGCCATCGGCCCCATCTGAGCACCACCAATCATTCACACACACACACACACACACACACACACACACACACACACACACACACACACACACACACATACACACACACGGCAATGTGGGTGAAGTGTCTTGCCAAAGGACACGACGACAATTTGACACTTTCCAGCCGCCCCACTTTGGCACCTGGAGTTCCCAGAGGTCTCCCATCACAGTATTACCGAGGCCCTGCCCTGCACGGACTGATAGGTCTGACAGGATCTAGGTTTCACATGCAAGAATGGCCACAAAAGTAGAAAAGAAGCGAAAAAGTACAAGTTGTAGAACTACAAATAAAACCGCAGGACTAAAACAAGTCACATTTCATCACAAGGACGACAGTAGCTCAGTTGGTAGAGCATTGGCCCTTGGCCCTGAAGGTCGTGGGTTCGAGCCCACCGTAAGACCTACTTCACGACTCCCACTGATGACTGCTGTCGTTGTGTCCTTGGGCAAGACACTTAACCCTACTTTGCCCAAAGCCCCAACTGAAAGATCTCAACTCCTGTGGACTCACCACCTGCAGAAGGATCAGTGAGGGGCTGGTGCTGTGTACTGGGTGCAGCTCTGACTGTCACCCCCCCGACCCAGAAATGGACCCAGAAAATGGATGGCTGGACATTTCATCACCCGTTATCAGCTACATTCATATTTTTCTTATTGTAGCACCCCCTAACGGCCGGGACCAACACTGCATGTTGGCAGCGGTTTGAGTTCAGCCTGGAGACCTCTTTGGAAACACAAGAAACACCACAGCATTTCAGTTTTACATGGTCTTAAAAGTTTTATTTACAGTTATTTTATAAAATGCATCAGCATAAACAAAGGTAAAGTATTCGTAGTTTCCTCAGAGACAAATGTGATGGCGAGGAGGAGACTCGTACCGTGGTTACCGCGGTAACACAGGGTATATGTGGAATGATAATACTGTCGAGGACCAGAACAGTTTTTAGAAGAGTCCTTTTCTCCTGGGGCCAGCTGGAAGCACACAGAAACCAGGGGAAAGACCAGGGGACAGACCAGAGAGAGACCAGGGTCAAGGAATGGGACCAAGAGGATAGAGAGAAGTGAGAAAAGTCTGGATCATACACTGTCGCAGAGTAGATGTAGCTGCAGCTGCCCTCAGAAGAAGTCAAGAGTGAAATATTCACAAATAATGTTTTTCAGTCGATGATCCTGCTGAAGATTTGAACATTGACAATGTATACGTCAGGCCAGACCAAAGGACCTAGACCCAGATCCTAAGACTAAGACCAACAGACCCAAAGTCCAAGGCACCACACAGATACATTTCCACTGTCGGGATTCCGTACCGTTAGAACAGCTCGTGTTTCTGGCATGTAAATTTCTCCTCTGTGAGATAAGATAAGCTTTATTTATCTCGTACCAAGTTTAAATCCTTGTGTTCATTCGGTCTCAAACATCTGTATTGTAGTGTATTTCATGATTTAGAACAACTCAAGTATGAAGACAGAACCACAGGATCCGTCCTGTTCCTAGTTTGAAGTCAGCTCATATATTCCATCTGTGGTGCTTTTGAATACATTTATTTACATTGTAGGAGGATTTTCGACAGAAGTATCACTTTTCTTTAACATGAACATGTTTGGTGTTGTGGATGGTGTGGGGCTCAATGCTGCAACACAACAGTACCGTACATCTTGGGTTTTTAGGCACTACTTTTTTGCTACCATGGTAACCAGGGAGGATGAGGTCTTAATTTAGCAGTTGTAGAAGGCTGCCGTAGAACTGAGAAAAAGAGACCAGAGAGACAGACCACAGAGCGGTCAGAGAGAGAGACCACACAGGTCAGAGAGAGATACTAGGGTGAGAGACCAGAGCACAAGAGAGAGAACAACCACAGAGGCCAGAGGGACCAGAGCAAGAGAGAGCAGAGATAGGACCCTCTCTGGTACCTCCCGGGTCTGATGGTAATCTTGTCTCCAGCAGAGGGAAATATTCACGTTTGGGGCTCTTTACCACTCTTAAAACATGCATTTAAATCAAGGTTCAAGTTTGAGGCAGCGTAAACGTCAGCGCCAGGCTCCAGCGTGATGAAATACCAAGATTATAGTGAACCTTGCAAAAGTTGGCGTTCTCAGATCCTGTGCCGTTTCGGATACGTGGACTTTACAACATGGAAACGTGCGGCTTACGTTCAACTGCGTTCTGTTGTACTAAAGTCATTTTCTTTTCAAATGTAACCAATGCACTCAAACACCCAAGAAGTATGGTATTTGGTGCCAGAAGTCCCTGACATTATTGTGGTCTGATGTGTAGAGGAACGATGGTGCGACATGTTTAAAAGAGAAAAAGCAGGTTTCTGCATCAGCGGCCTCTTGTGATGTGTGTGCACAGAGTTCCAGCTGAACTCTGAGTTATTAAACCAGCAAAAATAAATCATCATTTAAAAAGATCAACAATTATACACTAGTTCATTCCTGTTGTGCATTTAGTGTCTCGCATCTGCCCCTCGGAGGGCAAGCGTCCGAGCTGCAGAGCTTTGGCCACGCCCCTAAATTGAATCCCTCCATCATCATAAACCGCACCCTCCAGATCCAGATCATGCCCCCATCTCCAAAAGCCACGCCCCCAGGCCAGTCTCTATAACAGGAGTGGAGACTTAAGCAGTTTGGAGCCTAGTTACATCATGGCAACCAAACAGCCAATCAGGAGGTTCGTAAAAATCAAGATATGACCAGAAATAACCTAAATAAAACCCCAGGATCATGAAGAGCACTCAACCCGAACATTTGACCCAGACCAGCAAGTGTTGGTGCTCTGTGGTATCAGGCCGTGGTCTTGGTCGGTAGCTCAGTGCTATTGTGCCGTGTTTTGCGTGACGTGCCGTCGTCTTTGGGCCGGGCTTTCTGCAGAGACGACATGGCATTGGTGCGCTCAATGTCGATGAGCGTGTAGAGCTCTGTGCGGCGTGTGGGCGTGGCGGGGGAGGTGGGGGTGCGCGGCGTGGAGGGGCTGTGATTTGTGTCAGTCTCTACCTCTACATAGTTCAGCTCTTCCTCCAGGGGGCGCCTGGGGAAGTCAAAGTTAAAGACAATCGGAGCGTCTGCGGCGCGCTTGGCTCTCATCGCCACACAAGCGCTCAGCGGCGCAGTCACATTCTCCGTGTTCACGTAACAGTGCGCACTGTGGGACATGGCGCTGAGCGGCACCGCACTGTAGAGGGCGCTGTGCGGCACGCAGCCGTTCACAGTGCTGTGGGCGGGGCTCAGCGGCGTGGGTGGCTCCTCCTCTGTGCGTCGCACCTCCCACACAGGAGGCCGCGCCTCCCACACCGGGGCCCGCCCCTCCCACACTGGCGGCAACGACGGCAGGTTCTCATAGAGCAGCACCGGCGTTGGCCGCCGCAGCGCTGAGTTGTTCACGTTGGGGTCTGGCGTCAGAGGAGGCGGTCTCTGTCGGCGGGACGAGGGGCCACAGGGAACAGTGCCAGTAGAGGCAGGCCCACAAGGGGCAGAGCCATTGGGCTGAGGGCCCGCCTCCTGAGCCTTACTACTGATCTCTGATTGGTCTTTGTGTGTGTCCGTCTCTTGGTCCTTCTGTCTCTCCATCTGTTGGCGCTGCACAGGTGTCGGTCCCAGGACAAAGCGCACCGCAGAACCCTCCAGTGTCACCTGACCCTCAGGGGGAGGAGCTTCTGCAGTCACCTGACCCTCTGTGGGAAGAGCCTCTGCCATAACCTGACCCTCTGTGGGAGGAGCATCCGCCGGCACCTGACCTTCTGAAGCTGGTACAGGGGCAGGAGGGGCCCGCGGAGGAGGTGGAGGCGTGGGGGGGCAGGTGGGGGAGGTGGGACTCTCCAAAGGAGTGACAACAGTGAATGGACTGGACTGATCCTCGAAGCCTGCGGTGTTGACGTACGTGTGCACCTGCAACACATAGGACTGTTACCATGACAACAAATACTACGAATACAACACAACAAATGCCCACATAAAGGAAACTCGCCCCAGTAAGTTTATGTTCAAATCGGATTCTTCCACATTAAGGCTAACACTATGGTGGTCAAACCATAGTCAGTCCACTCCTTAAATACATTGTAAAAAAGTGTTGCTTTAATCAGAAAAAAAAAATACCGTAATAGTACTCAAAGAGGCCGATGGAACCTATCAACTTCAGCTCTTTATTAAGTAATAAAGAATATTAAATTCAATTCGACAGAATGCAAAACTATTACTTTGAAGTGATCAATTAACTTAATATTTTTGTATCCATTCAAAGCAAAACTAACTTGGAGATAATTCATTTATTTAATATTTGCGTCTTTTCAAAGCAATACCATAACTCCTAGTTGATCAATTTACTTAATATTTTTGTGTTCATTCAAAGTAACTAACTTCCACCTGGAGGAAACTTGTCAGATCTTTTAATGCCTTGATAGTAAGGTCCTGAACTCTGAAACTCTCTTGGGGAAGAGTAATGACACTCATAGTTTGATCAGAGCTTGGTTGCTAGCAAACATAATTACCACTGTATAGTGTTAGATCAACATAGTAAGATACCCCAGGAACTATGTAGGGCTGCTTTGGCTTGGCCATCTCGATCATGGTGGGTAACAATAAATACAACTAGAAACTTGCAATGGCTGAAGCCATTGCGATTGACTGCGGAACAGATCTAATGTGGAAATCTGCTAAAAAAAATCCTTGAAATCCTTTAAAAGGCCTTGAAACTGTTAAAATACTTGATAGATATTTGAAACTCCTGAAGTCCTTGAAATTGTTGAAACCTTTAAACTCCTGAAATCCTTGAAACTGTTGAAACATTGAAACTCCTGAAATCCTTGAAACTTTTTTTAAACCTGGAAACTGTTGAAAGTGTGGAAACTCCTGAAATCCTTGAACCTCCTGATATCCTTGAAACTGGTTAAATTCTTAAACAGTTGAAAAATCCTTGAAACTACTGAATGTATTGAAAGTGTCCTTGAAACTGAAAAATCCCCTCACCGCTGAAACAATTTGGTTCCTGTAACTAAGGAAACCTGGTCTGTGGTCATTATCTGGTGGTGGTCTGAGTCTTCGTTTGGGTCTTGGTCTGGTGGTATAATGCAACCTATTAGGTTGCATTATACTGGTTTACATGGAAAAATCCCTATTAGGTTGCATTATACTGGTTTACATGGAAAAATCCCTATTAGGTTGCATTATACTGGTTTACATGGAAAAATCCCTATTAAGTTGCATTATACTGGTTTACATGGAAAAATCTCTATTAAGTTGCATTATACTGGTTTACATGGAAAAATCCCTATTAGGTTGCATTATACTGGTTTACATGTACAAATCCCTATTAAGTTGCTTTATACTGGTTTACATGTAAAAACCCCTATTAGGTTACATTATAGTGGTTTACATGTAAAAATCCTTATTAAGTTGCATTATACTGGTTTACATGTAAAAACCCCTATTAAGTTCCATTATACTGGTTTACATGTAAAAACCCCTATTAAGTTCCATTATACTGGTTTACATGTAAAAACCCTATTAAGTTGCATTATACTGGTTTACATGGAAAAATCCCTATTAAGTTGCATAATACTGGTTTACATGGAAAAATCCCCATTAAGTTGCATTATACTGGTTTACATGAAAAAAACCCTATTAAGTTGCATTATACTGGTTTACAAGGAAAAATCCCTATTAAGTTGCATTATACTGGTTTACATGGAAAAATCCCTATTAAGTTGCATAATACTGGTTTACATGGAAAAATCCCCATTAAGTTGCATTATACTGGTTTACATGTAAAAAACCCTATTAAGTTGCATTATACTGGTTTACATGGAAAAATCCCTATTAAGTTGCATTGTACTGGTTTACATGGAAAAAACCCTATTAAGTTGCATTATACTGGTTTACATGGAAAAAACCCTATTAAGTTGCATTATACTGGTTTACATGGAAAAAACCCTATTAAGTTGCATTATACTGGTTTACATGTAAAAACCCCTATTAAGTTGCATTATACTGGTTTACATGGAAAAATCCCCATTAAGTTGCATTATACTGGTTTACATGAAAAAAAACCCTATTAAGTTGCATTATACTGGTTTACATGAAAAAACCCTATTAAGTTGCATTATACTGGTTTACATGGAAAAATCCCTATTAAGTTGCATTGTACTGGTTTACATGGAAAAATCCCCATTAAGTTGCATTATACTGGTTTACATGTAAAAAACCCTATTAAGTTGCATTATACTGGTTTACATGGAAAAATCCCTATTAAGTTGCATTGTACTGGTTTACATGGAAAAAACCCTATTAAGTTGCATTATACTGGTTTACATGGAAAAAACCCTATTAAGTTGCATTATACTGGTTTACATGGAAAAAACCCTATTAAGTTGCATTATACTGGTTTACATGTAAAAACCCCTATTAAGTTGCATTATACTGGTTTACATGGAAAAATCCCCATTAAGTTGCATTATACTGGTTTACATGAAAAAAAACCCTATTAAGTTGCATTATACTGGTTTACATGAAAAATCCCTATTAAGTTGCATTATACTGGTTTACATGGAAAAATCCCTATTAAGTTGCATTATACTGGTTTACATGGAAAAATCCCTATTAGGTTGCATGATTACACTGAAGTCCTTGAAACTGCTGAAGTCCTTGAAACTGCTGAAGTCCTTGAAACTGCTGAAGTCCTTGAAACTGCTGAAGTCCTTGAAACTGTTGAAGTCCTTGAAACTCTTGAAATCTTGAAACTGCTGAAATCCTTGAAACTGTTGAATCCTTGAAACTGTTGAATCATTGAAACTGTAGAAATGTCTGAAAGAGCTGAAGTCCTATTAAAATGCATGGGCCTATTAAAATGCATTGCAGAATTCTCAATGCAGATTTTTGTCCGATTGCGGAAAAACCGGAAATCGCTGAAGTCCCAAAAGTAATAGCAATAATCTCCCAAACATGTGGAACGTTTTGATGTATAACTTGTGGAAATTGTTGAAAATGTGAAAGCTGTGAAACGTGTCAAAAAAAATGACGGAATAAAGAAATACAAAACCAATGGTTGACTGCGGAAGGTTCCGCAGTCAATCAATTACTTATTTGGTCAAATTAGTTTATTTAGAATGTTGCTCAAGTAATTTGCTTTAGGACTTGCTTTATATTCCCTCTCAAAATTAATGCTCAAATGGAGAATTTTTAAGAAGTTTATATTTTTCTCTGCAATGCATTCTGGGTAGCGTCACTGCTTCGCCACATTTTGTTTTCAATCAACACAATATATTTGTGTTGTCATAAATGGACCCCCAGGCTTACAAAAGAAACACCCAAAGTATTTTCACTGATAGCAATAAAATCAGTATTGTACAGGGAGCTATGATAATATTATACAGTACTTATTTGTCAACCAAAAATAGAAAAGAGTGGAAAATGAAGTATATAGTAATTACTTAATAATTTACATCTAAGTTTGGTCTGATTCTTTTATTACAGTGTACTCCCTGGTTAAATTCAGGATCAGAACCTGATCCAGAAGACTGACCTGGTCGTCGGACACCAGCAGCGGGTGCGTGGACTCCTCTCCCACACTCGGGAGGCGGGTGCTGGCCACAGACGGGTGTCGCGTCGATGGGTGAGACGCGTCACCCACAGAGGGCAACCGGGTGATGCCGTTTGGGACCGTGGGCACAGAGTATCCCTGAGCTGAGGAGAGATTACAGAGATTACACCTGGGTTTTCTCAGTACTTGCACCCATCAGTACCGTATATACACAGTATCAGGTATACTCTCATAGCTGAGGAGCAATGAGAGATGACACCTGAATTGTCCTGTTTGTGAAAGCGCTCTCACCTGCTGGAGTGGTGCTGTGTGGCGCCCCCTGGTGACTGGGTTCCAGTACGGCCTCCTCCACCACGCTGATGCGGTGCCGGTGCATCACCTCCTGCAGCAGGTTGAAGATCTCCTCGGCGCGCGCACATTTGAACGCAAAGATCCCTGTGCACAGAAAACACAAGCTCAGAGGAAGCACAAGGGCTCAGAGGATGCACAGGCGCACTCAGGACGTGCAATAGAAACACAGATTAAAAAACTAATTTCAAACACACGTTTTACTTCTTCATTTGTCTCTTAAACATGATCTTGGGAATTTTCACTTTAGAATCTTCTTTCTCAAACACACAATTTCTACATTTGTACGCCACAGCCGCACAGAGATGAAAGCAGCGACTAGTTTTAACATTATAAAGGCTAACACATAAGCGCAAACCTTTGATAAATATACCCCTTAACTCGGCCCAGCATCACAAACTTTGAGACCCCTCAGCCTCACTTCAGTGATGTGATGTAAGAATTGTGGCGAATACAAAAATCAATGTTAATATTGCCGTTATGGTCGATACCGATATTTACTAAATCGGTAGATAAATAAAGATTATTTACTGACGTTGATATATTTATGTAAAACATCACTTTCTTTCCACCTTCAGCACCTGTTTTGTTTTGACTTTTCAATTATTTCGTTGTCCAAATGAATGTAATATTTTTGTTCCAATTAATATTTTTGTTTCTGTTCAGACCAAAACCTGGAAAAAATTCAAATGAACAAATATTACAATTTGTTCCAATATATTGCACTCACAATACTAAATTAAAAGACTATATTACCCATCATGCTCGGTGCCAGGGTAATATAGTCAGGTACCGGACACATCACTCTTGACCGAATAGTGCACATACAAGGCGCACGCGACCGATTGCGTCACATAAAGTCCATTTAAACAAGCAGGTCTTACCGGCTGCCTCCTCAGTCTTTGATTCGCAGGTACTACTCACAAGAGCACGTAAACTAACTTTAATGCGTTCTTGTTAACCTAAAAAACCCAGAAGCGCCAGTCCGCCAGTTTAAATTGTCCGGGTTAACCACGACCGTTACGGGCATGCGTGCACAGACGCAATAAGCACTTCAGTGAATCCCCTTTGATTTTGATGCTCATACAGCCCTAGTTATAATACTACTCTGGGTTCTTTGTGAGTTTCTTACATACGTGCTCCTGACGATACGTGACGCTACTCTACAGAACGCAACTGTGCACACCGACATCAGACTATAATATGTCAGCGGCTGGTATATTGTGAATCACTACTCCAAAGTGAATATTCTCTAGACCATGTTGTTGTTTGAGGCACATGAACTGGGTGTTGTACAGACTGGGAGCAGAGAAGGAGACACAGAGACAAACCAAGACACACGTTACTTACCGTCCTCCTCATCCTCAGAAGCACAAACCACACATTAAAACACAAAATGATCAATCAACAGGCTGCAATCAAACAGCTGCTTTTTCTCGTTCTGTTCAGGCTCAGAACCATAGACTGTATAAGGAGAGGACATCGCCATAGTGTTAGCCTTAATGCGGAAGAAGCCATTATGAAAATAAGCAAGCTGGAGCCAATTATCCTTATGTTTGCATTTGTAGCACAGCGTAACACACAATATCACATTATTAACACCAAGCCCAAAAGGGTGAGTGTGACACAAACTGTTACTGAGCTAGGAGTTACAAGTAAATCAGTAAGAGCCAGAGCGAGTTGGAGCCAAACTTCACCATGAGCACAGCTTTATTGAGCTTGCGGGTTAGCATTGTCCATACAGTCTATGGTGAGAATAGAATCTACAGGATAGGGCTGGGCGATATGGCAAAAAAAATAAATCTCCGATTTTTTCACACCAAATCCGATTTTCGATTTTAATCGATTTATTTTTTTCTATTTAAAAACAAACTACAACTGACAAAGAAATAGATTTTCCTTTATGCAGTTTAATCTAAATCCCCATGGAGCATAAGTGTAACAGGAATTAAGCCTTAAAACATGCTTGTAAACGAGATGGCTCTGCCATTGTAAACAGTGAAAATGTAGCTTAACAGTTTTATAATAACTTCACTTACAATGACACTATGCACCTTCAAAATAACTTAAATCACACAAACAAGGCCCATCGCAAATATATCAATCCTATTAAACACATGCATTATTTACATGAAATATCACATTTTTAAAACTGATTACTCAAAGTAGAAATGTTGTAACAGACAGTCTTTTCCAAAAGCCTCCTCGGGTTTTCATGCTTGTTCTTTCAACTGTGCCTGAGTAACTGTGCTGTAGTACAACGCTCGGTCCAGCTGGTGGCGCTAATACTAACTTCAGTGACTCCCGCATTGTGCGAGCTTCCTGTTTACATTCTGATGCTGTAGCTAACAGCTACTGTAGCAGCTACTGTAGCTAACAGCTACTGTAGCAGCTACTGTAGCAGCTACTGTAGCTAACAGACAGCGGGGAACACGTTGTTTGTATCAGAGCAATGAGAGCAATGTGTGAGACGTGTCTTTCCCCAAAGTGCAGCGGCTCAGTGGGACACGAGTGTGTGCGCGCCACGGACACGGGAGTGCGCTTTGGAATAACGAGCGTGAGAGAGCGTGAAAGATGTGGCGTACGAACATGGCGTACAAACATGGCGACCGGAGCCTGCGTGCGTGTGTGTGTGTGTTTTGGCGATTAAATAAAGTCTGATTCTTGAACGTTTGAAGTGTTATTGCAACAGCACCAACTGTGAGAGCGAGCATCAGGCCAGAGGGAGACTGTTAGCATTAGGTTAGCTTCAAAATGACTGCTCAACACCATAGACCCGCGGTTAGCGCGTTAGCGCTGTAGTTCTGCGCTGGAGAAAATAAAAATCGAAATTTTAAAAAAAGAAATCGCCCTAAACGTAAAACTCGAATTAATGATTAAAATCGATTAATCGCCCAGCCCTACTACAGGGTTTTCCAGAGTTCTCCCAATTGAGCTGAATGATTCTGTTCAAATACAAATATTCTGACAACAATGATTATGATTAGAGTTGTGGTTTTTACTTTCAGTCCTGGGTCTACAGCCTCAGTCCTGGGTCTACAGCCTCAGTCCTGGGTCTACAGCCTCAGTCCTGGGTTGTAGAACATATGCATGAGCATTAAACACCCTAACAGGCCACATGAAGAGGCACTGTACCTTGGCCGGTCTGGCAGCGACGTCCCGACTCGAAACTGAACAGGTTGGAGTCATATCCATAGCGACGCAGACACAAATACGGCCACCGCACGTCGTCACGCCGATGCGTGTGCAGCACGAGCTCCGCCTCCGTCAGCTCCATCACTCCACAGCCGAGCTCGTTCCCATCATCGTCCACGTTTATCACCTGCGGACACAAGTTTTAAAGCTGAGGTACCTGACTTCAGCTTAAGTTTGTGCGACAGAAAGATTTGTAAAAGTACAATCAGACCACATGCCCTCATGAAATTTATAAATAATAATGCATCGGTTTTATATAGCACTATTTTGGACACTCAAAGACGCTTCACGTGTCAATATTCATTCATGTGTGGTGATGAACTACTACTGTAGCCACAGCTGCCCTGGGACACACTGACAGAGGCAAGGCAACCAGTACGTGCCATCGGCCCCTCCGACCACCACCACAGGCAATGGGGGTGAAGTGTCTTGCCTAAGGACCCAACTGCAGTTTGGCACTTTACAGCCGCAGCCACCCCACTGTGGCACCTGGTGTTCCCAGAGGTTAAGTGTCTTGCCAAGGACACAACGACAGCAGACATCAGTGGGATTCAGTGGAGAAAGTCTTGTGGTGGGCTCGAAACCCACAACCTTCAAGCTCAAAGGCCAATGCTCTACCAATGGTCTCTCTTGCTCTACATCTGTTCTCTGGCCCATACTCTCCTCTACACTTCTCCATAGACCACACAGGGACACCATCAGAAGCCGTGTGACGTGAGCCTCCTCTGCTGAAGGCAGGTACTCGTCACTCACTGCACTTGCTGTGTGTACAAACCGTTAAGAGTCAGAATCGAGTGACACATGGTTCTGTTGTTGTGGTCTGCACACCTTTAACCCTCTAGGTGCCACGGTAGACTTAAGTCGACAAGCTGCGGTACCGTTTAAAACGGCCGAGTGTGTCAAACTGAGTGTCAAAATTAATTCATACTCCCTGCCACTAGTTGGAAGACATATCAGACTACCTCCCTGGGCCCAAAAAACGTTATGCTCCCATACAAAATATTCGAGCAAGACCGCATTGAAAAAGAGCGGAAATCATAGCGAAGCGACTACAGCTGTGAGGCTGCATGCGAGTGTTGTACCGCACCAAACACAAACTTTAGACACTTTGAGAAACCCTGTTCTCACCACTGACTCTGTGCAGAGTCAGGGCTGTCATTGGAAAGTTCTGAGACAAGTTAGATATGCGGAAAAAAGCAAATTAGATGGGGGTACTTATAATCTACATAAACTTTGGACCATCCTTAATATTTTTCACTATTATCACTTTTAAGTTATAGCCTTTTGAAATTAAGATGTCAAAATCGAGCATTTTAGACAAAAAACCTCTGGCGCTTAAAGGGTTAACTTCAGTAGAGCCGGAGAGGACTGGGACCTCTGATGCCGGACTCAGGTCTCCGTTTGAACTCACCTTGAACTTGCTCTGATGATTATCTGGGATGGACTCTTTCTCTGGACAGCTTAAACAGCCACCCATGGTTCTTCACAGCACCATCTGAAGTCTGCGAACAAACATGCAACATCACATTTGGTTCAGATCTCACAACAGTGATGCTCCTCTGATCCTGCTCGAGGGTCTGGGTTCTCACCTAACTCGAGCCTCCAGTTGCTCCGGTTCCATCTTCAGAGCCGCAAACGCTGACATTACTGTGGTCATTCTGGTCCAAACTCATCGATGGCTCTGGACACACAACAGCTCGGTGTCAGAGGAAAAACAAAACACACACAACAGCACAAAGACTCTCTCTCTCTGGCCTCTCCTCCCTATCCCTCTGGCCTCTCCTCCCTATCCCTCGCCCTCTGGCCTCTCCTCCCTATCCCTCGCCCTCTGGCCTCTCCTCCCTCTCCCTCTGGCCTCTCCTCCCTCTCCCTCTGGCCTCTCCTTCCTATCCCTCTGGCCTCTCCTCCCTATCCCTCTGGCCTCTCCTCCCCATCCCTCTGGCCTCTCCTCCCCATCCCTCTCTCTCTGGCCTCTCCTCCCCATCCCTCTCCCTCTGGCCTCTCCTCCCCATCCCTCTCCCTCTGGCCTCTCCTCCCTATCCCTCGCCCTCTGGCCTCTCCTCCCTCTCCCTCTGGCCTCTCCTCCCTATCCCTCTGGCCTCTCCTTCCTATCCCTCTGGCCTCTCCTTCCTATCCCTCTGGCCTCTCCTCCCTCTCCCTCTGGCCTCTCCTCCCCATCCCTCTGGCCTCTCCTCCCTATCCCTCTCTCTCTGGCCTCTCCTCCCCATCCCTCTCCCTCTGGCCTCTCCTCCCCATCCCTCTCCCTCTGGCCTCTCCTCCCCATCCCTCTCCCTCTGGCCTCTCCTCCCTATCCCTCGCCCTCTGGCCTCTCCTCCCTCTCCCTCTGGCCTCTCCTCCCTATCCCTCTGGCCTCTCCTCCCTCTCCCTCTGGCCTCTCCTCCCTATCCCTCTGGCCTCTCCTCCCTATCCCTCTGGCCTCTCCTCCCTATCCCTCTGGCCTCTCCTCCCCATCCCTCTGGCCTCTCCTCCCCATCCCTCTCCCTCTGGCCTCTCCTCCCCATCCCTCTTCCTCTGGCCTCTCCTCCCCATCCCTCTCCCTCTGGCCTCTCCTCCCTATCCCTATCCCTCTGGCCTCTCCTCCCTATCCCTCTGGCCTCTCCTCCCTATCCCTCTGGCCTCTCCTCCCCATCCCTCTCCCTCTGGCCTCTCCTCCCCATCCCTCTCCCTCTGGCCTCTCCTCCCCATCCCTCTCCCTCCTCTCCCTCTGGCCTCTCCTCCCCATCCCTATCCCTCTGGCCTCTCCTCCCTATCCCTCTGGCCTCTCCTCCCCATCCCTATCCCTCTGGCCTCTCCTCCCTATCCCTCTGGCCTCTCCTCCCCATCCCTCTCCCTCTGGCCTCTCCTCCCCATCCCTCTTCCTCTGGCCTCTCCTCCCCATCCCTATCCCTCTGGCCTCTCCTCCCCATCCCTATCCCTCTGGCCTCTCCTCCCTATCCCTCTGGCCTCTCCTCCCCATCCCTCTCCCTCTGGCCTCTCCTCCCCATCCCTCTCCCTCTGGCCTCTCCTCCCCATCCCTCTCCCTCTGGCCTCTCCTCCCCATCCCTCGCCCTCTGGCCTCTCCTCCCTCTCCCTCTGGCCTCTCCTCCCTATCCCTCTGGCCTCTCCTTCCTATCCCTCTGGCCTCTCCTCCCTCTCCCTCTGGCCTCTCCTCCCTATCCCTCGCCCTCTGGCCTCTCCTCCCTCTCCCTCTGGCCTCTCCTTCCTATCCCTCTGGCCTCTCCTCCCTCTCCCTCTGGCCTCTCCTCCCTATCCCTCTGGCCTCTCCTCCCTATCCCTCTGGCCTCTCCTCCCCATCCCTCTGGCCTCTCCTCCCCATCCCTCTCCCTCTGGCCTCTCCTCCCCATCCCTCTTCCTCTGGCCTCTCCTCCCCATCCCTCTCCCTCTGGCCTCTCCTCCCTATCCCTATCCCTCTGGCCTCTCCTCCCTATCCCTCTGGCCTCTCCTCCCTATCCCTCTGGCCTCTCCTCCCCATCCCTCTCCCTCTGGCCTCTCCTCCCCATCCCTCTCCCTCTGGCCTCTCCTCCCCATCCCTCTCCCTCCTCTCCCTCTGGCCTCTCCTCCCCATCCCTATCCCTCTGGCCTCTCCTCCCTATCCCTCTGGCCTCTCCTCCCCATCCCTATCCCTCTGGCCTCTCCTCCCTATCCCTCTGGCCTCTCCTCCCCATCCCTCTCCCTCTGGCCTCTCCTCCCCATCCCTCTTCCTCTGGCCTCTCCTCCCCATCCCTCTCCCTCTGGCCTCTCCTCCCCATCCCTCTCCCTCTGGCCTCTCCTCCCCATCCCTCTGGCCTCTCCTCCCTATCCCTCTGGCCTCTCCTCCCTCTCCCTCTGGCCTCTCCTCCCTATCCCTCTGGCCTCTCCTCCCCATCCCTCTGGCCTCTCCTCCCCATCCCTCTCCCTCTGGCCTCTCCTCCCCATCCCTCTTCCTCTGGCCTCTCCTCCCCATCCCTCTCCCTCTGGCCTCTCCTCCCTATCCCTATCCCTCTGGCCTCTCCTCCCTATCCCTCTGGCCTCTCCTCCCTATCCCTCTGGCCTCTCCTCCCTCTCCCTCTGGCCTCTCCTCCCCATCCCTCTCCCTCTGGCCTCTCCTCCCCATCCCTCTCCCTCCTCTCCCTCTGGCCTCTCCTCCCCATCCCTATCCCTCTGGCCTCTCCTCCCTATCCCTCTGGCCTCTCCTCCCTATCCCTCTGGCCTCTCCTCCCCATCCCTATCCCTCTGGCCTCTCCTCCCTATCCCTCTGGCCTCTCCTCCCCATCCCTCTCCCTCTGGCCTCTCCTCCCCATCCCTCTTCCTCTGGCCTCTCTCCTCCCCATCCCTCTTCCTCTGGCCTCTCCTCCCCATCCCTCTCCCTCTGGCCTCTCCTCCCCATCCCTCTCCCTCTGGCCTCTCCTCCCCATCCCTCTCCCTCCTATCCCTCTGGCCTCTCCTCCCTATCCCTCTGGCCTCTCCTCCCTATCCCTCTGGCCTCTCCTCCCTATCCCTCTGGCCTCTCCTCCCTATCCCTCTGGCCTCTCCTCCCTATCCCTCTGGCCTCTCCTCCCTATCCCTCTGGCCTCTCCTCCCTATCCCTCTGGCCTCTCCTCCCTATCCCTCTGGCCTCTCCTCCCTATCCCTCTGGCCTCTCCTCCCTATCCCTCTGGCCTCTCCTCCCTATCCCTCTGGCCTCTCCTCCCTATCCCTCTGGCCTCTCCTCCCTATCCCTCTGGCCTCTCCTCCCTCCCCTCTCAGGCCTCTCCTCTCCTCTCTCCGGCTAACTCTTTAAGCACCAAAGTAACAACTCCTAAGTCCAGGACACTTTTCTAAACGACTTGGTTTCACACAAACGTCTTACATTGTTCTGAGATAGTTTTCTTCTCTGTATTTTGGTTCTTGATTTCACAGTACAATTCTTAAAAGACCCCCTTTCATGTTTATCGTTTTTATGGTATGTGACTAAAGCTGAGCATCCATCTGTGGTAGGGCTACGCAATACGGCCAAAAAAATTATACGAGAAGGGAATATCACGATAACAATACACAAATATCACTAGAAAAGACATCTAACGGCTTTTTGTCTTAATGTTCTAAAACAGATTGCTTCTATCACTTGTTTTAGGGATGTTTCATGGTAGGGCTGGGCGATCTAAACGGTATAAGCGGTATGCGATAAAAATTTGGCCAACGATAGAGATTTTTGTCATACCGGCATATTGCAATAGGTCATAATGTCATCAAATTGCAACACGCTTGGCATGGTGGGACCGGCAACAACCAGGAGGAGTGCGGATGTTGGATTTGTCCCAGAAACCAGATTTGTTCAGTTTGCACATGTCAAAAGTGTAAATAAACATGTAAACAGTTTGTGTTGTCATATACAGATTTTATTATTGAGTTGTGCTCATATGTATCATGGTTTATTACAAGAGATGGCGGGAAAAAAATCCTTTTAGTAGCTAGATGCGTTCGAAGGCACACGGAAATGAGGCAAACAGTTTCATTCTTTATTAGATTCACTGTCTTTACTTGTTTAATAAATAAATGTGTTCAACGAGACTTGACTATGTACAGTGGGGCAAAAAAGTATTTAGTCAGCCACCGATTGTGCAAGTTCTCCCACTTAAAATAATGACAGGTCTGTAATTTTCATCATAGGTACACTTCAACAGTGAGAGACAGAATGTGAAAAAAAATACCGGAATTCACATAGGATTTTTAAAGAATTTATTTGTAAACTATGGTGGAAAATAAGTATTTTGGTCACTTCAAACAAGGAATATCTCTGTCTCTGACAGACCTGTAACTTCTTCTTTAAGAAGCTCTTCTGTCCTCCACTCGTTACCTGTATTAATGGCACCTGTTTGAACTCCTTATCTGTATAAAAGACACCTGTGCACAGCCTCAAACAGTCAGACTCCAAACTCCACTATGGCCAAGACCAAAGAGCTGTCAAAAAGAATTGTAGCCCTGCACCAGACTGGGAAGAGTGAATCTACAATAGGCAAGCAGCTTGGTGTGAACAAATCAACTGTGGGAGCAAATATCAGAAAATGGAAGACATACAAGACCACTGAGGATCTCCCTAGATCTGGGGCTCCACGCAAGATCTCATCCTGTGGGGTAAAAAAGATCATGAACGGTGATAAAAAATCCCAGAACCACACGGGGGGGAACTGGTGAATGACCTGCAGAGAGCTGGGACCAAAGTGACAAATTGAAAGTCCTGGAGTGGCCTAGCCAGTCTCCAGACCTCAACATCATTGAAAATCTGTGTTGCTCGGCGACAGCCCCAAAACATCACTGCTCTCAAGAAGATCTGCATGAGGAATGGGCCAAAATACCAGCTACTGTGTGTGCAAACCTGGTAAAGACCTATAGTAATCGTTTGACCTCTGTTATATTACAAAGTATTGAGTTGAATTTTTGTTCTTGACCAAATACTTATTTTCCACCATAATTTACAAATACATTCTTTAAAAATCCTACAATGTGAATTCCTGGATTTTTTTTTTTGTCTCCCACAGTTGAAGTGTACCTATGATGAAAATTACAGACCTCTGTCATTATTTTAATTGGGAGAACTTGCACAATTGGTGGCTGATTAAATACTTTTTGCCCCACTGTATACATGTATGAATGTATGATAACAGGATAAATGATTACAATTGTTTATTGCAACAATGGAACTTACAAATGGGTGGTTTTATGGCGCCCTCTCCAGGTCACACACTATATGTCAAGGAAATGCTAATATATCAAATAAACAAACATTATCCATCTCTAATATTGAAAATTTAAATAAGTAACAATCTTGACTATTTTATGCAAGAACCTGATAGACCTATATTAAAATTCACACACCAAATTATCCAGCAATATATACAGTTTACCGTCCGTGTCCCAAATTATACCGCAATATGAATTTTGGGCCACATCGCCCACCCCTATTTTATGGTTTTTACTTGCCTGATCTTTACAGCTGTTGTCCTGAAGTAGTTGTTTACGGTAACTTTGTACGCAATAGTGGCAGTAGTTCTCATTAGAAAACAAGGACAGCAAAAAAAAAAAACATGCAAAGTATGCAACATGTTGATGGTGGGAGCAGCACCACTAATCTGCAGCATTGGAGGACTGAACATGAAACGGAGCATACAGGGATTGTTCAGCTAGACGTTTCACTATGGATATTTGGAGTTCAGATGTCTGTCAATGTCTTTACTCAGCAACACAACTTATGATTTAAAGTGTGCCGTATTGCATGCTCGTCAGTTGCGCGGGTCCCATACAGCAGATCGCGTTTAGCACTGTTCAACCATGTATGGAATAATGTATAAAACGCAAGTCATTATTGTGATTTTTGAGCGGTGCTACACCATGGATCTGTGTGGCCAAACTGTAACTTACTGGTAAAACATTGAGTTTACTTGCTAAATAAAATAGTTGACCAATGATAAAAAGCCTTGGAGTGGGACTCAATCGGATTTGAAGTTAATAATCTGAGGCAAAAAATAGTGTAACCTGTAAAAGAACCCATACCTTAACCCAAAAATGGCATGTTGTGGTCTGACTTGTTCACAAACATTTCACTTTCAGACCTTTTATGTATTATTTATGAGACTAAAGTTACATACCCCAGCTTTAAATTCAGAAAACTTTATTGTACATTATAAATATATACTTAGTATTGGAGTGTGTTCACAGTAAAGTGACAATTTAAGTATCTGGACTTTAAAAGGTTATAACTTAAAAACTAATTACTTTCATAGATTGGAAAAAAGATTTCAAACACAGACAGATTGAAGAGATAGTGTGGAAAAAAATCAAAAGGAAAGATTGACATAAAAATGTTTAGCAACATTTTAAACGACCAAATGAGCCTCTGATTGGACCATTCTACTGTGACGCCAGTTACACAGAAAATAAAACGTCCTCAGTCTGAAAAAGCAGAAGATGAAATCCCACAAGATTTACATGGTTAACACAACAGAATTAAATCACTTGATATGAAAAGGAATCGTAAAAAAATAAAATTAATTAAATGACCCCTGAAAAATGTATAACGGACGTGATGAGGACGGTCCTCTTTTCTCTAAAAATTAAACTTGAGAAAAAAAAAAATCTGGTCTGTTTTCACATTTAATTGCTTGACAATATGAAAGTATCACTTTGCATCTATTTTGTGTAAAAAAACAGAATCTTTGAATCAAATGTGGACATCTGAAAATACCTATCAAACTTCCACAAAGCTCATTCCGTCAAATCATCACGTCCGTTACATAAAATAAACAGGGCCGCTATAGGAAACTTGTCAAATGTATAAAACAGTTATGTTCTAGCAACTTCTAAAGGACAGAGGAGGTGTTTGGAAACATGAAAAACATAAAATATCTTCTGATTATTAAAATCTAATTTTTGGCCTTTTGTCACACTTTTGTGCCCTTTAGTGTGAACAAGCCCATTGACGAGACACCGCCACGAGATTTTCCAACTGGTGAAGAGAAAACAGATTTCTCTTGCACATGCGCAGAAACCCGAAAGAACAGTAAACTGGCGGGCAGACCACCTCGACAGAACACTGGAACAATAAGTGGTTTTCTTAATAATCTGGAAAGTTCAATGGTTTTATTTATGTTTATTTTTTCACATTATGAAAGTATTCCAGCAATAGGATTACTTCAAATTAAAGTCAAGAGTTTGGATATTTTCAGGGAGATTTTTCAGACTCTAGAATGGGAGGGGTTCCACCAGTACCAGGTCCTTCTGTAGTCCCTCTTGGCCCTGGGTCTATCCAGGGCAAGCTGGTACTAAAGTATTCCAACTGAAAGAAATTGGCCAAAGTGATGCTGGAAGCCATGACTACCAAGGAATTTTTTCCCGGATACTGCTTTGTAGTTGAAAAGGTTGCTAGGATCCAGTACCAGATACTAAAGCAAAATGGAAACACATCTAGGTAGAGAAGAGTAGAGTTGAGTTTATAAATTTCTGAGTAGCACACATGGCACGTAGTCACAACATTTTCAACGGCTTTTGTGGAGTTCTACAAATCTCATGTCAAAGTGATGATTTTATGAATAGTCCACACACATATTATCAACCTATATATCAAAATATAAAAACATTTCATTGATTCATATTTTATTGTCTTTTATTCTTTGAGTCATTATTTATGTCGAGGATGAAAACTCTTCCAGATCTACTCATTTAAACGTCCCTCTTTTTTTGGATAGGTTTTTTAAATAAAAATGTTAAATATCTCTCCAGTCTTTCTTACACCAGACTTATTGTACACATTTGACATTTCAAATCAAAATTAGAACACACATGCATTCCCCCGATTTTAGAGAAAAAGACTGATTTGGACCTAATTATAGCTTCATAAAAGGTTACATTAGTTCAAAAAGAACCTATTGAAAACCTCTTAAAGGGAGACTAAAGGACTTTTTTTTACGATTGGAATGACTACTGTAACCCTGAGTAAACCCACATATAAAAGCGACATTCCAGACAGTGTTTACATTGTAGAACTATTCACGTCTGATCAGTGATTCGCAGCTAAAATGTTATATTAAAAACTATGTCAAGTATAAAAGACAGAACTATTGAATTATATTTGATGAATTGTCAAAAGTCTTGTGTGTACAGTTAACAGCAAACAAACACGGATATGGAAACAAGACCAAAATCAACCTCTTACAACAAGGACAGGTCACGAATAAGCAGCTAGAGGACAATATAAAGCCTTAATGCGTTTTTGTGTTGATGTTTTACGGTCAGATTAAACCCATG